ATGTTCCTGCTTCCTCACTCACATTCTTTATTCTTAGGTTATGTATCTTTTTATCATCTTCCAGTTTTAGAATTGCTTCTTTCTGGTTCCTTGTTATTTTTAAGAGGCTTTTTCTTTCACGTTCATAAGCCCTAAATCTCTCTTCAAGTTTCAGAAGGTTGTCTTTAGTTTCTGTCAAGGCATTTTGCCAATATTCAATGGAGTTCTGAGTTTCCTGATATTCTCTTTGGATCTGTTTCATGTTTTCTAAGTTATGCTTAAATTCTTCTTCAGATGCTTCTCTTTCTTTTCTGATTTCCTCAGTTCTTCCATCTGTGTTCTCTTGGGCGGGGCTTGTCATTTCTTTAATTAATCTCTTTATATCTTGCCTCACTTGGAGCAGGAGTACATCTTTAAATTCCTCTATGAGATCATGTAAGTACTTTTTAATTTCGGCTGATGCAGTGTCGAGTAGAGGATGGTTACTGTGCTTGTTCTCTTCAGTGTTTAGTTCTCTTGGGTTTAATTTCTCCTGTTGAACAGCTGGAGGTTTTTTTTTATTTTTATCTCTTGTCATGTTTCTGGTTTCTTTCAGACTGTCCTGGAGTTCTCTGGCCCTCTCCGAATTGCTTAGGGCCTTTCAGAAGCGTGCTGGCTTGAGTTTTTGCTGTCCTCCCCAATTTGCTGTTATCTGGGGTAGGCTGGGATGTAGGGGCGGTACAGTCTAGTCTCTAGCCTCTGTGTCAGTTAGTTCATAAATTAGGCTGTACTTTCTGGTTGTCACTGAGTTGTGACTATTTTGTATCTGCTTATTGGGCCCCAAGCAGAGGCTTGGTTTAGCCCCAGAAGCTCCTGCCAGTTCTCTTTGAATCAGAAGCAGCTGAGTAATGGCACAGGATTCTGCCCAGGTCCCAGCCGTTCTCTTCCAAACCTCTCTGTGATAGGTGCACCAGAAAAGCAGATCTGCCCAAAACAAAGATGGCTCCCACTAAGTTCTCTGTGTGGAGCTGAAGCCAACAAGTAATCAGGCTCTGCCAGGACTCAAGATGTCTTCCACCAGCCCTCCCTACAGGGGTACCTGGTGATGTTACCAAGCTGCGATTTCTGCCGCCAGGCTAATATGTCTGCACCAGATTCTGTGTTATTGATTTCCCCGTGGTGGCGGGCCAGCTGTTCTCTGGTCAAACCCAGCAGCGGCGGGGTTTTCTGTACTCACCAGAGTCCGGTGCAAGTCCTCGTTCCGGGACCGCCGCACACCAAGCTGTCCACTTTTCCCCCACTCGCGGCTCAGCGCTGACCGGTCAGATTTCTGTGCACCGTTTAGATTTGAATCGCCAGAGCTTTGTACATCCGCTCTGGTGCAGCGGTGCAGAACTGGCTGCTACTTGGAGTCTCGATCTGGGTCTCAGTTTCCCGCGGTCTCCAAAAGCAACTCAGCTTTTCGTGCTGGGTCCACGAGTCTGTTTGTTGATTTAAGGGCGCGGGATTTGTAGCCTCCAGTCTCAGCACGACTTTAAATCCTCCAGTTGTACTGTCTTGGTTAATAAGAATCGCTATCGATTTGTCTGGTCCTCTCCATGCTGTCTTTTTTTATCTTTGAGTTTGAATTCTCTGGAGAGATTCTTCGCTCGATCCCCTAGCTCGCCGCCATTTTCCAATCTCCTAAAGTTAGACTTTCAAAACTTGTAGATTTACAATGTGTGATCGTGAAAGGAAAGATCTCTTAAAAATAACAAGAAACCAGGAAGTAACAATACAAAGTCTAGAAGACGACAAGAAGATCTGTAACTTAAGAATAAAAACGTGAGCGAAGAAGGAGTAAACACAAAGAAATACAAAGGCTATTCACAGAAATAATTAAGGAAAACTTCCCAAGCATAGGAAAAGGAAAACTAATGGAGAAACAAGATGTTTCCATGACAAAGAGGAACTGTGGGAGTTCATGACCACCAATCCAACCCTATAAAAAATACTGAAGGATATTCCAGAGAGAGAAAAAAAAATCATCAGGATTCCAGCAACAGTGGCAGAGAGGCCTTAATGAACAGGGCAGACAATGGAACGAAGGAGAAAAGTAGACAACCAATGGTAGAAAAATAGCATAGCAGAGATGAGGCAGAAAAGACTGGCTATATTCTCTAACACAGATGGCCATGATACACTAACAAAAAGAAACACAGGCAGAGTAGATCAGGAAATAGGGTCTATAGAGATGCTCTGAATAGGAAATATAATCTACCTGAAAGAGGATTAATGAACCAAAAGTCAAAGATGAGAAAACAATGCTCTATGTGACAGGGAACCAGAGAGAAATACGGACAGCTCATCCAGCAGCTAAAGACAGGTTGGAAAGTCATGACACTTTTGTGCAATGGAAAACTACTCAGCTATAAGGAAGGAAAACCTTGAGGCTTTAGTAGAGTAAAGGAATACAGCTCAAGATCAAGCTCAGGGGTAAAAAACATTCAGAACCACTTAGGTAGATAGCAGGTTGTCCCCCTAATCTAAAAACTAAAGGGGCCCAAAATGTACAAAGCACCCTGAGAAAGGCAAAAGGGAGGAACTGCCTAAAAAAGAAGGCAGAGGACATTGTTAATAGTATATCAGTATTTAAAAGCCACATTAGTCTTATCACTCTGTTCAGTTTGATTTTATTCTGTTTCAGTTTGTCTAAATTCAGTCAGTACTAGATTTGAGGGCACAGAAGCTATCCCAAAAATAAGAGGATACACTACGGTAACTATCCTTAACTTCCTATTAACTTAACCTGAAGTCCTGTATTACTTACACAGTCTTACTATGACTGATCTTACTTGAATCTGGTTTATTAGATCACTGTTTTGTCTTGACTGACTATTCAAATTTGGTATGCTTGATAGTATCAAGTCTAAGAGTAGAGGCAACTACTCTGAAGACGACAAGATGCAATAGGATCAAACCCACTCTAGTTTGATTATTAATTGCTTTTGAAGTCCTATAATGTCTCCAATGTTGTGTTTTTATTAATATTGCTATGTAGTGCTATGTTCAATTATGTTATGTCTGATGATATAGACAATTCTATTAAAAACAACAAGAGACATCATAGTAACTACTGTAGATCTCCTAGTGTTGTGGTTTTATGTCTTTTTCATTGCATGTTTTTCTAGGAATTTGTTTTGTTGTCTTGTTTTGATTTGTTTTTCCCTCTAATACAGAAAGGATAGGTATACATGTACAGATTCATGCATGTGTAGAACTTTTAAACAGTTTATGAGAATAGATTATATAATGCATGATGTAATAAACAGATACTCAGAGACACCAAGATACCCAGTGCTAATTCTGTAGTGTCATGCTATAAAATCTAGCAATACTATTACCCTATGTCCAAAGTGATATTAGTCTGTTTTCTTTTAATTTCAACATACATAAAGATATGGACAGCTATTTTGAAGAGAATGAGAGACACTATGGCAGACATTGTTGACTTCCCTATTGTCTGGTCTTGAAGACCTAAAATGCCTTTATCATCCTGTTCTGATCAGTTTAGTACTATTTTGTTCAGTATGAAGTCACTGTGTGTGAAGATATGGACAACTATTTGGAAGAAAACAAGAGACAATACGATAGACAGTGAAGATCTCCGGTGGTCCTGCTTTGAAATCTGTGTTTCTTAAATTGTTTTCTTTCTGTTTCATTCTGTTTTGTTATGTTTAATTTTACCCTCTTTAAAATAAAATAAATAGCTGCCCAGATTATCAGATACAGGCAAACAAATTGATCAAACAACGTAAGTTCCTTTCAATGAAGTAATACAATGACTAATACAACTGTCTTGCTATCGTGTGTGTGTGTGTGTGTGTGTGTGTATTTCCCCCCCTCTTTCTTGTTTTCTCCTTTCTCCTATCCCAGTTCTTCCTTATGAGTACTTTCTTTCCCTTTCACATCTATTGTACCTTTGAGATCTTATTTACTCTTTCAGTTTCTTATACTAGGGAGAAAATACAACACTTACACATACAAGTATGATTTATTTCACATTTGAGTATGGTCTCTAGTTGAATCTATTTACCTATAAAAACCTTGAGTTCATCTTTCTTTATGGCTGAATAGTACTCCACTGTATAAAAATACCACATCTTTTTTTATCCATTCCTCGGTTAATAGGCATTTGTGTTGTTTCTAAGATTTAGTTATTATAAATTATGATGCTGTAAATAGTGCACATATATCACTGTAGTATAATGTTTTCAATTCTTCTGGAAAAATATCCAGAAGGGAATAGCTGAGTCAAATGGGACCTGCAATCCTAGGGTGTTTTTTTTATTTTTATTTTTTTGGTACCAGGGACTGAACTCAGGACCTTGTGCTTGCCAGGCAGGCACTTAAGCCACTCAACTAAATCCCCAGCAATCCTAGGTTTTTGAGGCATCTCCATACTGATTTCCACAGTGGTTGCACCAGTTTACACTCCCACCAACAGTGGAGAAGGGCTCCTTTTTCCCTATAGCTCCAACAACATTTGTCATTGGATCATTTTTTTTTTTTTTTTATGACAGCCATTCTTTCTGGGGTGAGATGGAATCTCGGTGTTGTTTTATTTTGCATTTCTCAAATAACCAATGATGTTGAACATTTTTTCATGTATTTATTTATTTGCATTTGAAATGCATATTCATTTCAGATGCCCAGTTTTGGGTTGGGTCTTTGAATTTGAGGGGCTTTATATTACTATTACTTTCTGTTATTTCAGTTCTCATATTCTACAGTACCTCATTAAACCTATTATTGCCAATGTCTAGTTTAGTGTTGGACACAGCACTTTTCAATAAACACAGTACTTGATTGATTACTGAATGAATGAAACAAGGATCCTTGCAAAACAGAGTTCCTGTTTATGGCAGATGCTGTCTTTATTACCCATAGGCTATATCTGCTTTGGAACATATCAATTCATTTTAAAGTTAATCAACATCAAATTAACATCATCAGTTTTTGACGTTTAGCACCTAAAATACAAATGCAACCCCTTTTCTTACCTAACAAGCTGACCAGAATCTTAAACTGGGAAACCACATGGATCTAGAAAAGAGCAAATTAGACAAAATTAAACATTGTAGACAAGGTTTAGCAAATGTTCACTTAACAACAGCGCTAAGAAGGGACTAAAGAACCTAACCAGTTACAGGAGTCTGACTCATTTTTGTGTAACCACAATTTCTGTTATGAAAGAGGATTTAGGTACATGATATGTGGGCAGAGAACAGAGGAGTCAAAGAGTTAAAAGTAACATCAAAGTTCTAGCTTAGGTATGATTTGATTATATCAGGTGTTGGTCATGTGCTGAAACCTCGGTCTTCAGTGTGGTGATATTAAGAGATCAGGCTTGGAGGAGGTGCTAGATTGTTGGAAACGGACCCTCAGAAGTGACTAACACAATTCTTATGGAACCCTTACATTAGACTCACGAGGCTTGTTACAAAAAAATACTCTCTAGCTGCCCATTTGGAGACAGGATCTCTCCCTCATCTGTGTGCTCCTGCAAGGAAGCCTCATCAGAGAAGGGTTGATGCTGGTTTCAGGTCCTTGAACCTCCATAATGTGAGCTAAATGAATCTCTTTCCTTTATATACTAGCCTGTATCAGTTATTTCATTATAGTAATGAAAGGCAGACTAATACAGCAGAGTGTCATAAAGTCAAATATGCTTGTAGCACCCATCATCACTCCTTACCTGCTGAATCTTTTTGGAGAAGTTCTTATTGGATTTCTCTAGAGTTACTTCGAATCTGTTACAACCTATGAAAAAGAAGCAGATATGCAAATCTCTAAATTCAGGGATGTATATAAAGGCAATCACAACAAAAATACTACTTATACACAAATCTTCAAAAATTCCTACAAGACTAAAGTCAAGAGATTTGCCGGCAGTCTTTACTAAGCACAGTAAGTTGCTTTCAACTCCAAGTTTAGGACAGAAGGTTTCATGTACCTTTGGTATCAGTAGAAAGGATCACAAAAGTTGGCTGACGCTAAGTCTGAAGATCTTACCCAAGTACCTTGGCCAAGTATATCACAAGAAAGAATGTAAAAAAGTCAAATATAAGAACCCAAGCAAGGAAAACCAGCTCAAAGCACACGGACATCTAAACCAACAAATTCCCAGCAGCTGCCCTAGTCCTAGATCCCAAGGACAGAGCAAACACTTAATGCCACCTCCAGAGCTAGACCATTTAGTGATCTACACTTACTGCTGCTTTCAGGTGATGCTACATCTACTGGCATTGTTGCAAAAAAGGGGAAGAAAGTTATAAACCACAAAAATCAGGTGAATTCAGCTTTGCTGAGGATGACTAAAATATTCAGTCTCACAAGTCAGCAAGACATCAAATAACAGTAATTATTGTAATAACAGCAGCTATCATTAATCAACAATAGATAACAGGTTGTGGGTTTGAAAAATTACACTTTTTTCTGTAGCCTCCACAACCCCCCAAAAGTAGATTATTATTCCTGGTTCATCTTTAAGGGATCTGGAGGATCAAGCACTTAGGAAGCAGCCATTGCAAGCTGAGCCTGGAAATAAACTTGGTGCTGCCCCATAGCTTGCTATCCTCCTCCAACTTGCTGGAAGAAACCGCCACAGTTGGGCCTCCTTCCCCACAGCTTGCCACATGCTGGCGCAGGAAGCTGGTGGAGACTGAGGCTGCCACATGACTTCTTCTCTGGCCAGACTTCCTTCTGTGAGTCCCTCAGCATGAGAGATAATAAAGACAGGCCCTACAGTGGCAAACAAGGTATTCTATCAACAATAATTCTGTTTGTGGAAATGTTCTATATTTGTAAAGGGCCCTATTATTATACTTAACAATTCTTTTTTTAAGAATTCTCTAGGTCAGAGATTGTCAACTTTTTGGTATCAGAGTCCCTTAATAATTAACCTTAAAAATTACTGAGAATTTTCATATGGGTTAACTACAAATTCCTACATTTTATGTATATGTGTGTATGTATGTATGTGAGTATATATATATATATATATATATATATATATTTTTTTTTTTTTTTTTTTTTGTACTGAGGATCAAACTCATGACCTTGCACTTACCCAGCAAGCATTTGAACTGCTAAGCTAAATCTCTGGCCTCAAAATTAGAGAAATATTTAAAATATATACCTATAAATTTATCATTATATTTAAAATGTATACTTAATTATTAATTAAAAATAACCGCAATAAATTCATTACAAACTGGCATAAATAACATTGTTTCGTGAAAGGGAAGTTTTTACCAAAAAATAAAAATAAAAAAAGTACTGTTTTGCATTTTTGTAAACCACTTTATAAATTTCTGGCATAATAGAAAACAGTTGGACTTTTATATCTAATTCTGCATTCATTTACTTACTTTTTGAGGCAGGGTATTGCTATGTAGTACAGGCTGGCCTTGAACTCATGGTGATCCTCCTGCCTCAGCCTCTCCAGTGCTGGGATTAAAGGCAGGTGCCAATCAGCCCTGCTACTTCTGCATTTAATCTGTTCTTTTTTTTTTAATGTTTATAGTGCTAGAGATCAAACCTAAGGTTTTACAAATGCTAGGCAAGTACTATACAACCAAGCTATACCCACATTCCTGTACTTAGTATGTTCTGATATGTAGTTTTAGGTGATATGACAAAAATCTTTCCTCATATGAATATACAGTTGAAAAAAAGAAAGAACTATTTTAATAGATTTTTCAGATAATTATGAATCTTCTTTGATACCATTAAAAAATTTGGCATATGGAGTTTCTTTGTAGAATTAATTTCAGGGGATCGAGAAAAGATGGTGGATAGATAACAGTAGCTACAGAGGCTCTCTATGATAGCCAGCTTAGATTCTAGGAATGGTGTGGTGTGAGGAGTCCCAAGCAAAGGGAATATACCCTGTCAACCCAGGAATGAACTAAGCTGAGAGAAACCAATTGGAAATGCAGTCCCAGTGCTACAATTGGAGCAGCTAAAGTCTCGGTGTCACAGCTTGAACTTGCGGATTGAATCCACTGCTGCTGCCACACCTGAATTGGTACAGCCGGGATAGCCTGCCAGTTTCAACTCACTGGAGATGTGAACACTCTGAGAGGGGGAATCGGTGAACCCAACTGAGAGCAGAGCTGGCAGGGAACCCTGTATTAACCTATGGTAAGTGAGAGAAATAAAGACCCTTCCATAGACAAAGAAGCTCTAACAGAGGACATTCTGGGACTGGGCAGATTGGCCGGAACAGGGTGCTGCAGTGACTTCAGTCACATATTCCCCTCTCAAGCGGGATTGGTAGGGAGTGTTTGACCTGGGTGACACCACGAACTGAGGTCCAACAGGCAAGCCCAAACCAAGTCCCTGTAACTGGCAGTGCACCCTAACACAGTGAAGCCTTCAGTAGGTTGACCTGGAGCGGCATCATAGGCTGCCTGGGTCTGTACCTTCTAGTATACTGCAGTGGGTGGGATCACCTAGTCAGCACGCTTCAGACAAACTAAAACCAACAAAGAAAGTTAAACTGGGCCTCCAAAATATGCCTATGTGGAGGGAACAAAAATATGAGAAGAGGAGGCAACAAGAAAGGGTTTTTAGTCCCCAATCCTGAGAACACTGATCCAGGAAAAGTAAATGCAAAGGAGAATGAGAACAGAAAACATGCAATATCAGGCATGGCTCCAATAGACATAGAGTGATATCTTCGGGACCTCATAGACGAGTTCAAAAGTGAAGTATTTAACCAAGTAAAGCAAGATATAAATAGAATAAAGAAATGCTAAGCACCTCCCAAGAAAAAAACAGGTGGTAGAACGGAAGAACAAAAAAAAAGGGGAGAATTGTTTGATGGAGAAAATAGAGAAAACACAGAATACATGAAGCAGGTTCAAAGAGATTACCAGGAAACTAAAAATTCTATTGAAAGCTGGCATAACAACTTGAAAGAAACTATGGATAGAGTATCTAAACTGGAGGACAGATTTGTAATGTGGGGACATGAAAGGAAAAACTTCTTAAAAATAACAAGGAAACAAGCAGTGACAATACAAAGGCTAGAAGATGGCAAGAGACTTAAGAATAAAGAATGTGAATAACTTAAGAAGAATGTGAATGAAGAAGCTGGGGTACAAACAAAGGAACTGCAAAGGCTATTTACAGAAATAATTAAGGAAAACTTCCCAAACATAGGAAAAGGAAAAGATGCTCAGATGAATGAGGCATACAGAACTCCAGTCACCTACAATCAGAACTACACCCAGGCATATAATAATCAAGATCCCAGAAACCCAACATAAGAACAGAATATTAAAAGCTGTCAAAAACAAGAAACAGATCACTTACAAGGGAACACCCAACAGAATTACAGCAGACTTCTCGGCACAAATCATCAAATCTAGAAGAGCGTGGAGTGAAATAATCCAAGCCTTGTAAGACAAGAGTGATATATCCTGCACAACTGTCCCTAGAAATTAACGGAGAAACAAGGTGCTTCCAAGATAAAGAGGAACTGGGGGAATTCGCAACCACCAATCCAACTCTACAGAGAATACTGCAGGTCATTCTAAAGAGAGAGAAAAGTACCAGGGTTCCAGAAACAGTGGCAGAGAAGCCACAATGAATGAAGCAGAAAGTGAAATGAAGAAGACAGACAACTAATGACAGAAAAAGAGCACAACAGAAATGAGGCAAAGAAGGTTGGATATAATTTTTAATATTGATGGCCTAGATACACTAACTTATGGGAAAAAAGAGAGAATCACAGGCAGAGTAGATCAAGAGGTTGGGTCCACTGAGAGGCTCTTTATAGGAAATATAATTAGCCTGAAGAAGGTTATATGGACCAAAATCAAATATGAGAAAACGGAACTCGATGTGATAGGGAACCAGAGAGTAATAGGGGTAACTGGACCAGTATTTATGGATAGGTTGAACAGACAGGCTTTAATAAATGAAGAAATATAACTAGAAATCCAGCCCAGGAGTGAGAAAATTCAGAAACACTTAGGTAAATAGCAGGTTGCCCCCCGCAGTATAAAACCATGAGTGTTGGGGAGACCCTAAAATACACAGTTCATTCTGGGGGAGTAAAGGGGAGGAATAGTTTTCAAAAAAAAGAAAAGAAACAGCAGAAGATATAGCTAATAGTGTATCAGGAATTAAAACCCTTATTACTTGCACCACTCTGCTTGGTTGGAACTTGTTCCGTCCTAGTTTGTATACAAGCACTGTATCTGAGGGCACAGACAGCTGTCCTGAAGATATCAGGACATAGCACAGTGGTCATCTTTAATTTCCTATTAACTCAATCAGGATCCCTGTATGACTTATACTGTTATATCATGACTGATCTTAGTTAGATCTGACTTGTTTGATTGCTTATTATTGACAGATTTTATTAAAACTGTTAGGTTGCTGGTATCAAGTTGAGGAGTACAGACAACTATACTGAAAATGACAATGATTCACCATGATATCCATTCTGATTTGATTACTGTTTTTGTAGCTCTACACTATCTATAAAGTTGTATTTTTGTTAATTCTGTTACATACTGATATGTTCAATTATACTTTATCTGACGATATAGCTAATTCTGTTGACGGTAACAAGAAATAGCACAGTGACCATGGTAGAACTCCTTATACAGCCTTTTTATATATCTTTTTAGCTTTATGTGTCTATAGGAATATGTTTAGTTCTGTCCTGCTTTGTTCTGTTTCTCCCTCTAATATAGAAAGGATAGAAATACATGTTAAGACTCATGCTTGCATAAAACCTATAAACAGTTTGTGAGAACTGATCTTATGACACATGATGAAATGAACAAATACTTTGAAGGAAAGAAAGGGGCACTGCAGTGATTCCAGAGTGTTATGATGTGAAATCCAGCAATATTATTAATCTTTGTTCAGAAGGATTTTAATCTAATAAGTTTTGTTAGGTCTCAACATAAATGAAGATATGGATAAATGCGTACATGTCTAAGTGTATAGGACTGATAGCCATATTAGTTTTTATTGGATACTTGAACAGAACTGTTTGCTGTCTCCCTGGTTGAATTCCCATTTATATGTTCCACTTTGTATCTTGAACCACTATTTATGGGGGGACAATATGTATACATCAACTAGTGATTTATTACTGTTTATTTCTTTTCTTTGAAAGTATGTACCATTTCTGCCCATTTTCTATTTTGTTTTGTCTTTCTTTAAGTAATAATAATAATAATAAAAGAATCAGTTTCAAACCTGTCCAGGTGCTTTTTATACTCTTGGTACAGTAAAACCCAAGACTCGTACTCATGCCTTAGAAATTTCAAACACTGATCACCTGGAAAATACTAGATAACTGAATTATGAGGATTTACTGTTTTACCAAGAACATTCCTTTTTGGGTTGTTTTGTTTTATTTTGCTTTGTCTTGCTTGAGATAAGGTCTCTCTGTCCAGTTCAGGTTGGCCTTGAACTTACAGCATCCTCCACCTCAGCCTCTGATGTGTGTGTGACACCACACTCAACTCTTGTTTTTTGGTTAGACTGATGTTTGAGCCAGGGTTTTACTATGTAGTCCAGGCCGGCCTTGAACTCACTATGCAGCCCTAGGTTGGCCTTGAACTTCGAATCCTCCTGCCTCAGCCTCCCAAGCACTGGGATTACAAGAGGGTGTAGAGATGACATCTTGAGAAGTGCTGCTGTAAAGTGACAATAATGTGGAAATAAACAAGGAGTTATCCTAATCTAACCCATCTGTCCAGGCCACAGTAGAACGAAACCTAAAGACATTCATTTGGTATAAATCAGGTCAGAATACAGGTCCTCTAACCTGTGACTTTTCCTGACACTGTAATACCTCCTTTCTCTTTGGAAAGACAGTTTAGATTTTAATATATCAAACCTAGAAACCAAACTGTCTCAAGACTAACTCAAAGAGGCCCACATCTATTTTTGCCCCATTCAGCTCAGAGGCAGGTGTAAGACTGTTCTCTACAGATATAGGGAGAAGGGAAGCTTCTCAAAGTTTTAAATTATATTTGGATTTCTTAAGTGCCATAGAGAGGTTAGTGGTGTTATTCGAGTTATCTATGGAAAAACTGAGGCCCAAGAAAACAAAGGAATTTGTCAAAGGCCACATGGAGACCTGCACAGGCATGAAATGGTCCACCCTTCAGACCAGGGTCTGAAGTCAGGTGAACACTAACATCATTAGAGTATACATTGCATTGAAAGTTCACTTTTTTTTTCTTTTTGAGACAGGGTCTCACTACACAGTTCGGGGTGACCTTGAGCTCACTTTGTAGCCCAGGATGGTCTCAATCTTGCAATGATCCTCCTGCCTCAGCCTCCTGAGCACTGGGATTAAAGGAATGTCCCACCATGCCCAGCAAAAAGACTCACTTTTATAGTTTAGTTTTCTAAACTTGATCTTAGCCAAAGGCCAAGAAGCAATCATGGTTTGGCTTCCAGTTCTCATCATCTATATCTGAGGTCAATATACAGCAAAACAAACAACACACACACAAAACAGTTGACACTGAATAAAATCAAGACAAATTTTTTTTTTTCTGAGCTGAGAATGAAACTTGTGCCATTGAACTACATCTCCAGGCCCTTTCACTTAGTTTTAAAATTACTGACCAGGAATATGTCAAGAAATGTAAATAATCTGACTCTGAGAAATAAAAATTTAAAGCAAGCATCAGCAAAGTACTGCCCATGTGCCAAACTGAGCCCCCTGTGTGTTTTTGTAAATAAAGTTTTATTGGAACACAGCCATGCTTTTCCTTTACAAATGGTTTATGGTTTAGCTCATTCTACAGCGGCAGTCACAATAGGGCTCTTAGGAGCCACAAAGCCCATGTGAACCTTTTGCAAATAAGTCTGATTTAAAGTAACGTTGACAGGCAGAAACAAAAGTAAATTCTCCATTTTCTTTTGTAGTTTTGCTTATTTCTCTAAGCAGAACCTGCCTTCTGCTCTCCCTCCTGCCTCTGGTGCTTTTTCTTCTCCATGTTACATAACCCCTGTTCCAAGCCTCTATTTCCACTCTTTTTTTTTTTTTTTTTTTTAGATTTTATTTAAGGAGAAAAGAAAAAAAAAGCAGAGAAAGGGTACAAGTTATACAGATTTGCAGAAAAAAAATGAACAGTAGGAAATCACTAGTTAATGGATTACATATTGTCATCTTAGAAATAATTGTTCAAGTCACAAAATTAAAGCTTGTAAAGTGGACATTCCATCAATGATACTGCAAACAGTTCTGTTCAATGATCCGATAAAACTCTGTGATATCATATTCTATCTTATACACTTAAATATACATGCAGTTATATAGTTTAGAGCACTTTCTTTTCCTCTCTTTTGTACAATGACTATTACACATTTTGGGTTTCATTGCTCTCACAGTTCTTATTACTTTTTTGGAAGAGAGTAAAACCAAATGTGACATAACAGAACAGAATCGGTCAAGTCAAAAGGGTGGACATAATAGATAATGTGAAAACATAATACAAGGTGATCAACAATGGTTACCATAATGCCTCCCGCTATCTCTAATAGAATTGCCTATACCATTAGTTATAATACAATTGAACAAAACAGTAAAGAACAAAACCGACAAAGCCAAACCATTGGAGACATTGCAGGTCTTCAAAAGTAGATAAAAGTCAACGAGAATGGGCGTTATAATGAATCTCATTATCTTCACTATTTCCACTCTTACCTTATTTACTATGGAAACAGATCTTAGGCTGAAAGCTATGAAACTGCTATTTTTGTAAGTCTTATTATGATTGAATAATAACAATTTGGTTCAATCTACTTGACACTGACAACAAATTTCTGTAGATTATGGGTGTAAGTATAATATCCAAACATCATCTGTTTATAAAGGAGCACAGAATTAGGAAAAGGGAGTGAGACTGTTTTTCTCCAGTAAAGGATATTCTTTTTCCTTAAAGGACTGGGTCGTAGTATATGTCTAAATCTCAGCATTTGGTAAACTGATGCAAGAAGATTGCCACAAATTCAAGGCCAGCCTGGACTACATAGTGAGACCCTGTCTCATTTAAAACAAAACAAAACAAAAACTAGGTCTTGTTGTATTTGAGGCTTGTCTCAAACTTGTAAGTCTCTGCCTCAGCCTCCCAACAGCAGTAAGATTACAAGTATGTGCTCTACACGCAGCTAAAGCAGGATTGCCACAAATTCTTTGGCAGAACAAATTTCAAATATTTCAGTTATTATTCTCTATTACTGAAAAAGTCATTTGATTAGACATTAGTTTTCAAGTGCCTCATGCCTATTATTTTATCTGTTCCCAACAGCTTACAGAAACAGACAAGACAGATTACAGAACAGAAACCTGACACTGGAAAGGACCTGCCCACAGTCATGAGGACAGAGAGAAGTAAAACTAAACACAAAGCCAGGTCCTCTCTTCAGAGTTTGCCCATGACAAGTTCACAACATCTTCTAAAATCAATAGTTCTGAAATTTTCACCCTCCTACAACACACACACTTTACACAGGACTCTTATTCCCACCTGTAATGTTTTATATTGCTAGAAGTGAGTTTACGAGACGCAAAGAGGGAGGAATATCTAATCCTACCTCCACATGAGGGTAAAGGTTAGGGATTAAAATCATAAAGAGTCTCACATTTCTTACCATTTCTAACAGTGCTCCCTCCGATCCCCAGCCACTCTTTAATGATCCAGGAATCACTGATCTCACAATTGTATAGTAGTCACCTAGCAAAACTTTTTTTTCTAGTAAGTCATTTCTTCCCATTTCTTTCTTGGTTCTGGAAGTTTGTCACTTACCAACATCCTTCCGAATCCTATAGAGAAGAAGATGTCCTTGTTTGGTTCCAACAAGAAGCCATTCTTCTGCAAGGTAAAAGTACCAAGAGAAAGGTCAACTTTGCAAGCTTTAATAAAACTACTTGTTTACCTGGGTCTTATGATAATCAACTAGTCAAGAAAATGAGCTGCCTTTGATAGCAGATGTCTTGAAAAGCTAAGAAATACTTATATTCAAGAAATATCTGAGCAGCTGGGCATGGTAGCACATGCCTGTAATTCTAGCACTCAGGAAGCTGAGGCAGGAAGATCACCAAGAGATTAACGCCACATAGTAGAAGGCATTCTGAGCTACACAGTGAGATCCTTTCTCAAAAAAATGAACAAAAAAAAAAGAATCTCAGTCAGTATCTTTTTTTCTTTCTTTGACAAGAGCTCAGCATTTATTATATTTATTTCTTATTAAGATACATTTTTGCTGGGTGCAGTTGGCACACACCCGTAATTCCAGCACCTAAGAACTGAGGAAGATCACAAACTGGAACCCAGACTGGGCAACATAATTTTGCGAGTCCCTGTCTCGAATTAAAAAAAAAAACAAATTAAGAATTAAGGATGTAGTTCAATGCAAAGGTCCTGGGTTCAACTCCAGTACTAAGCAGGGGTAAAAGATATTTTTTATTTTAGTAAGTGTATATATTTTAGTGCAGCTAAAAAGAATATGATGGACATTTATAAAGTCATAGTATGGATAGCATAAACATGAAACTCAGAAATAACAGCCAAGAAGAATCTTTTTAAGTTTTAATAATTTTTATATCAGGGGAAATAAGTGCCACAGTATACTAATCTTTTTTTTTTGTTAGACATCACTAAAGAAAGTATACTAATCTTACAGAATTTAACAATCTCAAGGATGGTCTAGCTAAGTGCTGACAACAATGTGAAGAAATTAGAAACATATATTGTTAACAGGAATGTAAAATGGTATGTTGCTTTGGAAAACAGTCTGATAGTTCTCCAAAAGTTTAAACAGAGTAACCCTTTAACTCAACAATTCTATTCCTGGGCCTACCACTAACCCAAGAGAAATAAAAGGGAAAAAAACAGCCTGGCATGGTGGTGCACACCTGAACCCCACCACTCCGGAAGCCTGAGACAGAGGATCTAAATTTGGCCCAGCATGGGCCAACTTTGCAACTTAGCAAGATCCTGTCTCAAAACAGAAAAGTACCAGCTAATGATGTAGCTTAGTGCAAAGGATCCCAGTACTGTAAAACAAAAGATAAAAACTTATTTCATAGTATGGTTGTGAGGGTTAGTGAAGTAACAAATGGCATGTGCTTTGCATTTCCTGCAAAACAAAGCATGCTCAATAAATATTATCTATTGGTAGCGTGATCCAATACCCTCTTGTGCCAAATAACAATTCTCTGATAAACTCCTCACATGACATTCAAGTCTATTTCCCATTTTCACCGAAATGCTTATTTATCAATAAATAAATCTTATTAAATGTCTGTTCAACTGGCCATAAAAGAAAATCAGATTACATTTACTGAAATTAAAAAAACTTTAACTTTCATGTATTTATGAGGAAAAATATATTTATCATATATGCAAAGTATTTAAACTCCTTTTTTTTAAATAGTAAAGACACTACACACATACTAATTCCTCATTCCAAACTCATTATGATAAGCAGTGGGTCATCCAGCTGTGTGAAGGGCAAAGAACTCTGAGACCCAATTCTGCATGTCAGAAAGTGGGACACATGATATAAACAGGATGTACACAAACAAATCAGCCAGCCAGTCCTAGACAACCTGTAATGGCCTAATAATGGGCCTCCAGGTTGAACTTGGTCCCTCCTGGGAAATATAGCTGGATGCTTTTGCTTATAATTACCCTAATGAAGCTCCATTCAACAATGTAGTATAGCCCACCTTCATGTAATAAACAACTTCACTGCTGGCCCAGTGCTGGCCACAACACGGAACTAGGGAACAGGGAACAGGGAACAAGCAGTGAATAAGGTAGTTAAACAGGCAAAGCACATGCCTCTGACTAGCTGTGTCAGAATCTTCCACACTTTAAATTAGAAATGCAAATTCTTGTATAGTACTTAGGAGGCTGAACTAGGATGATCACAAGTTCAAGTCCTGTCTGGGCAACTTAGCAAGATTCTATCTCAAAATAAAAAATAGAGCCAGGGATTTAGCTCATAAGCAAAGTGCCTACCTGGCAAGCGCAAGGTCGTGAGTTCGATTTCCAGGACCAAAAAAACAAATAAAAAAAAAAATAAGAGGCTAGGGATTTAGCTCAGTAACATAAACATTTGCCTGATAAGCACTAGGTCATGAGTTCAATCCGCAGTACCCGCCCCCAAAAAAGAGAGAGAACTAATGATGAAGCAAGCAGTAGAGTATTTGCCTCACATGCATGAGGTCCTGTTCTTAATCTCCACTACCACAGAAATAAGAAAAGATATTAATATTTATTAAAGAGATTAATAACTTTCATTTATTGAGTACTAATCTATATTCATAAAAATACATTCATATTTACTTACATTTTCCTAAGAAACAATGGAAGGACAAACAGAAAATTATTAAATCTTATCTATAGCAGGAGGGGAGGAGAGAGGAAAAAAGAAGAGCTGAGGGATGCAGGAAGGCTCAGTATGAAGGCCCCAAGTTCAACTCCTGGGTGGAAAAAAAAAGCAAATTCCCGAGCCCTGCATCCAGAGATTCTGAGTCAATGATTCTGGGGCGACAGAAGCTGCATTTTTAAATATACTCATACATACATTATGTGGGTATGTGTGTGGTACTAGGGGTTGGGCCCAGTGTTTTGCACACGCTAGGTAAATACTATACCATTGAGCTATACTTCTAACCCCTAACTTTGTTTTTTAATAAAGCCCAAACTATAAGAAGTCTAGTTTTGATCATTTAACATTCAAGCTTTATCTCTCCCTTTTGCCACAGATAAGATTTAATAATTTTTGGTTTAATAATTGATATAATAATTTTTGGTCCTTCCATTGTTTCTTTGGGAAACATTAAGTAAATATGACTATATATTCATAAATATAGATCAGTACTCAATAAATGAAAGTTAATATCAATAATAAATATTAATATCATTATTCATTGATTAAATGAATATTTAACAGACATTCATTGGGTCACAAACTGTTTAAGGTACTGGAGAGACAGCAATGTACAAAACCAAGTACCTGCTATGAAGGAATTGATTTTTCAATGTGGAAAGTGATGGTAATAAGTATATAAAATTACCCGAGTGGTTATCCACCATAAAGACAAGAGTAAGCGAATATTGTACTGGTGGACATGACATTCTCTTTACAGTGTATTTAGGAAAGAGTTTGCTGTTTAAGTGGCATTGCAGTAGCCAACAAGGAGTGATCCCAGCAAGTGCAAAGGCCCTGAAGGACCAGGTGTTCTGTCTGTTCGAGGGACCAGGAACACTGTGACTGGTACTAAAATGGAGTAAGGGGTAAGTCCACATGAGACTAAGTGAGGGAAGTAGCCACAGCTTGAGAATGCTGACTGTTGCCATAGTTAAGGACTTTGGAAATCATTCTAGCTGTGATGACAACTAGAAGATTTTGAGCAGAACAGTTATGATCTAAGTTTTCAAAGGTTTACTCCATGTAAATTAAAAAAATCTGAAAATGACACAAAGGCAAACACAGGGTGACAAAACTACTCAGTAATTCAGAAATGATGGTGCTTTCCTCAAGAGTAGTCTAGATTTGTTCTGAAAGCAGAGCATGCAAAACTTACTGATGGACTGGGTAGATTATAAAAGAGAATAAAAGAAATCAAGAATAAGTCCAAGGTTTTGGCTTTAGGCAAAGAGGTACGGAGACTCCATCTGGTGAGATGTGGGGTACAGGAAGACAGGCAAGTTTTGAATGGGTTTGGCCATACTGCCACACATTCAAATGAAAAAGCCAGAAAAGTAACTCAGAACTTGAGGCAGAAACCACCAGTCTTCCTCATTTCCATTTCCCAAGACATGGATTATGTTGTCACCAAGACCTTCCAGCTCAAATTTTGGCCCTTGGTATGACTCCAGTAGATTCATGGATGAACGCAGATACGAGGCGGTGATGACTAGAAATTGCAATAATTTTTGCTGCTCAAGTCTTGAAAATTAATAGTTTTGAGGCAGGAGGAAGTACATCGCCTCTTGTAGCCCACTACTCACCACAGCAACCCAGTAAAGGCATTACTCCTGTTTGGTGAGTGACAAAGGTAAGCCAAAAGCTACCTATCAGTCCAAAATTGTATTCCTTTAAAAAAGCATAGGTATGAGGAATCTCTAAATGTGACAAAGTGGTGTTAGCAAGACAGATACATGGTCCCACAGGAGACCAGGGTCAAAGATTCTGACAAACTAAATGTGATAAGCAGCTAAATGCATCTGTTTTAGACGCACGTATCTTGGACTGAGCTGGGTACCCATCCTGCACACTGCATTAATAGGCAGCATATGTCTCTAGTATCATTTATCTTTTAACATAATTTCTTCATGTGTTTTTATTCTCCACTGTGTTTTAGCAGCACACGCACTGTTCCCCCCCCCACACACACACACTTATTAGTGCATACTAGTAATATAGGCTGACGGGTTTCATTTAGTACTTAAAATATTTTAATCACTTCCCACCAACTGCTCCACTTGCCCCAATTTCCTCCCTAGTTTCATATTTGGACAAAGGTTCAGTGTGCACAGTGATCATAGTCAGGACCTCTCTTATCTGCCCTCACAGTCCTTCTCCTCTTTCCTTTACTTTCTCTTGTCTAGTAATAGTCCCTCCTTTATTTTTTTGTCATCTATTTTAGGTTGCACATATGAGGAAAACATTCAGTCTTTCCAAGTCTGACTTACTGCACTCAAGGCCCAGTTTCTTACTCATCTCTGCATTCCTTCCTGTCCCTGGCAGACAATGGTCCACGCAGGCACCTAGTATACATTTTTTTTTCTAATATACATTTGAGGCAGCAACAGAGAAATGAATCCTTCCATGCAGTCTCAGGTCTTTCATTTTGCTAATTTATTTTTCACTTTCCTCTATTAACTTTTCCTCAATGAAATGGAGGTTTTCTTGAGGCATGCAGACAAAATAAAATTCTCCCCCTAATCCAAAGGACCACAGCTTCCTGTGGAGGGACAATTTTTAGAGCAGCCCAGGGCTGCTAGTGGAGGAGGGCACACACTAACTTGAAGATTTAGCTGGGTGTGGTAGTGCAAGCCTGTAATTTCAGCACTCTGAGAAGCTGAGGCAGGAGGACTGCTTGCTGGGTGTTCAAGGTCAGCCTCAGATACAAAGTGAGTTCAAGGTCAGCCTGAACTGTATAGTAACACCCTGTCTAAACAAACAAATGACCAAACAAACATGAAGATTTACAGTGAAGGAATCCTACTCAAGGGGCTATGAAGAACTGTAAGCATGAGAGGTCACCATCAGTGGATGAAGCATAGGATCCCAGCCACTAAAATTCCATGGGGTTCCTGTTATGGATTCAAAGATTCCATAACAGAATAAAATGTGATAAGGGTTCTAAGCCATCTTTTTATAGCCCTTGATTTCCAAGTCCTGGACATTAACAGGAATGACTGAAATTATTTCTGATTTCTGGGGACTGTTATTGGACACAACTACCTACAGGCAGGTGCACAATGTTTGTGGCTGACAGCCAAGGTTTGCTTAGATCCCTGAAATCTTCATTTTGTACTCCAGAACACACAGAGATACCTGACTCTGCTTTCTGCACTAGTCAATCCCAAAAGGATTATACAAGGTTATATGGGTTATCAGACAGCACTCTGGTATGATGCTCTTCCACCTACAGTTAGGCAATTTGAATATAAGACAAACAATTGGTTGCATTAGGAGATTACCGATATTAGCTATTTACAGCAAGAAAAAGTTAATTACGAGGGCACACTATGGGGGAAAAAAGCAGATGGTGTTAATTTGCTTTATCCTCAATAAACCGCCTTTCACCTAGAAAATACCACCATTTGACAAGTACAAGCGCCTGGCAGAATGCCTGCCCACCACTTTGCCCCTCTACACAGATGACTTTTTGGGATTCGAAATGGGCCCAAAAGAGTACAGACTTCAACCTCTGACTGCACAGAGCGGGTAGTAGGTCCCTAAAAGTCTGGGTCCTCAAGGGATCGCCCGAACAGCTCCCACAATCATCACCGGGTCCCTCGTCCAGGACCGCTCTCGGATATCATTTGACCGGGGTCCATACAGCCAGACGCTGGTCCACTTCTCCAGCCTTGCGAAAGGTCCAGGCCGCTCTCGAGCAGACCCGACCTCGACCCCAGGACCCTCGGCTCACCCCAAGCAGCCAGGCAGTCGATCTGCAAAGGAAGCTTCTCTAGGATCGGAACCGGCTCGAAAGCGTCGTGCATAGCGATGCTGAGGGTCACCGCTGTTTCCTCGCCCCAAAATGGGTCGGGCTCGTGGTAAGAACCAGGGTGAAGGATAAGGTAAACCGATATCCACCGGGAACTCTGCTACAGCAGCTTCCGCAACACATCCATCTTCAAAGAAGCACTTCCGGCCAGGTTAGGCCCGCCCCTTCCGCCTGCGAAGCCCCTCCCTTCCGCCTTGTCCTCACTGGCGGCAAGGAGTGTCCTCAAGTAATCTGTTTACTGGCCTCGCTGGCAGCGAGGCTGGCTCCATCTAGGGCTCTACTCGAGTTGGCGGGCTTCCAAAGGGGACAGATCTTGAATCTTTAGCCAGGCCTCAAGCAATCAACGTGATGCTGAAGTACTCGTGAGTTGTTGTCAGATTGGAAGAGGCCTACCATTTAGGAAATAAATTGGTTTGGGGGACTTATTCCCAGTCTAGCCCTCATTTTCCTAAACTATGAAATGGCTTTTGTGTAAGTTCTATTGTTCCCACTTAGCAATACTGATATACTCTAACCAGCCAATGCATAAAAGCTTCAGTATTACCATTATATCCCAACTAAATTAACTGCCTGAAGCTTACATTTTAAAAGTTGTAGCACATGGGTTTCAGTGTGATTCCTAAAGCTCAACTTGTTAGAAACGGAGTCTCGGGCCTCACTCCAGCTCTTCTGTTCTAATCAAATTCTGAAGAACAGCTATCTTTTAGTAGTCTCCCAAGGTGAACCCTTGGGTTTAAAATCTTGAAAACCCCTGTCCTAAGCTTATCAACTGTAGCACTACTAACATTTAGGACAGGATGGTTGGAGGAGGCACTGTTTCTGTGCATTGTAGGCTATCTGGCAGTAGTTTACCAATAGTACATAGATGCCAGCAACACCCTTCCTAGAGATCAGAAATGGAACTCTAAACACCTTCCTTTGCTAAAGTCCCCTAAGAGACAAAATCCCACCTGTGAAAACAGTTCCCAGCAAATCATCAGATGTCATTACCTGGGATTTTGGTTAAGGAGAATCAGTGGAGTCCTCAGTTAAGCATTTCTAACTAGCTTGTGCATGTGGCTAATGCTATTTTTTCTAAGACCACATTTTGAGTAGTAAGGATTTAGACAGCAAAATTTGATCTGTAATTCCTAGAAGTCAGTTAAAAACAAATTTAAACTGATCACACACCTGCCAAGTCAACTCTCCCCAAACCGTGTCTTACATCCTAGTTTCTTCTAGGAAAGCAAGTGACACAGCTCTTAGGCCTCTGATAGGGCCATACTCTCTGAGGTTACAATATTCACACTGGAGACTTAAAACAAAAACTGAATATGAGCTGCAACAATGATCTGAGTTTGGTAACTGCCCCTAATTAAAGCACCATGTATGTAATAAGCTTTTGAAATTAAAGCAAAAAATCTAAAAGGATAAAAGTTTTAAAAAGTCCTAGTGACCATATTTTTATACAGTATCAGTTTCTTCATATATAAACTAAGGGTTCTTAGGTCACATCTTTATCAAATGCTGTTCTAATAAATGAAAGTAAATTTACAAGCAATTAGAAACACAAAAATTGCTCAACTATTCTTATATTATGTTTGATTTTTACCATAGAAATGGATCACTCCCTTCAAAATTAAGAATTACCCAGAAAAAGTCTAATAACCTGGTGGCTCCAGATTCGAGGACCAAGAATAATACAAATAATATTAACTATTATTTGTCAATGTGAAACTGTAAATTCTCCTTGAACTTGCACTAAGAAATATATATTATATTCAATCCCAGTAAACAGACACAAATAGAATTAAAAGGCATCAGCCTACAAAATGTGTCCTATATACTCATGTTTTAAGTCTGTTTTTCTAGCCTCAAGTTAACATCAAAACAGACTAAACAATATTTAACCAACTATCCTGCAACATTATAACTATGATTTCACCTTACAAGGTTTAGGGTGCAACAGTAACACCAAATCTATCCTAGACTTTTACTATAGTAGTTTGTTTAAGAACATAGTAGTTTAAATTATTTTTTCTTAGAAATACTGCCAGTGTGATCTAAAAAAAAAAAAAAATCACCATAACAAAGAGGTGTACAAAAATGCTACCTAAACATTAACACTTTCATTACAGTGTAAGGACTGTGATCACTGGTTTTAACAGATAGTCTAGAATAAAACTATGGGGGGAGGGGGAATCCCACAAGAGTAACAGAGAAAGATGTTTAGAGAAGGCTTGAAATAAATGAGGAAAAATATTTTGTTAAAATGTTTTATATTAAAAAGTGACACGAACTTATGTAGAACACAAATTTTGGGAATCCCATCACCTTGTGATGTCCCTTATAAAGTCTCTAAACCAACACCAGACACGAGAACAGTCAATCCTAATGAAGGAGCAGCAGCCAGGGCCTCCCCACTACTTCATGCAAGAATAACTGTTCAGCTTCAGCCAGCAGGAACTGTTTCTTCTGTGTAAGCTCCCACTTCTAAAGCTTGACAGTCTTCCTACCAGGATGCTCAATCACAGCACTTAAATAGGTGCTTCTCAGCATCTGGTGCAACTCTCAAGAAATGGCACTCAGGCAGACAGGCACTGTAAGACTCTCCATGCCACCTCTGGAGGCTTACAAAACAGCAGTTAAAAGTTTCTGGGTGTGTACCACATTGCCAGCAATGGGATGCGTCACAATAGCAGATGTCAGGAGTGAAGCTAATATTTTTCTTTAAAGTACATCTGAAATACAAAAATCTTTAATATACACCATTTATAAACAAAAGTGCACTTGATTTTGCTTTTTAAAAATGATTCACTATAACTGCTTTTTTTCTTTTGATCACTGACAGAACCACCTCTCCTTAATTCAGAAGGACTCTCTACAAGATGTAACTTTGAGTTCCCAGGAAACTGAAAGATAAGCAACAATTTCTCCCATCACCCATGAAACTCCCTAAATAAATAAAAATTACAGGCAATTGCTCTTGGAGATTACATACAATGGTGTTGTTGACAGTCCTTTAGAAGACATTAAACTTTAGTTTGACAGATTAAACTGAAACACAGGAAGTTCAGGAACAACACATAAGTTGTATAAGCATCTGTGTCAGAGTTTGGGAGGGAAAGGGCATCAATGTTGTAAATAAGAAGCTTGTAGGTTTTTTTTTATCCTATGAACATGTTTTCACAAGATATTCTCCTTGTTCTGACACCTCTCGCCAGCTCCAACACACAAAGATCAACAAAGAGATCAGGATGTCACTGTCTCCTTTAATCCCGTGGACCACTGTAGAAGACACACAGAAGCCAATCTCTTCCTTGATACTAGCCATCTTCAATAGCAAATCTTCCCGTTCGTTACTCCATTTTGGACCGCTCAAAGTGTGTGATCATTCGTTCCTAGAGGTGAAGAAAAGGTTAATTCTAAGTGTATTAATTTAAAATGGTCTACCTGTCAAATACCTTCTATGGTACAAGGTTCTTATATGAGGATTTTGTAAAACAAATACACAGGCCCACCAAGATCAATCGAGTCAAAATGTCCAAGCTTTCTAGACAACAAACCACAACTCACAAAGAGATGTATATTTTGGAGCCAACTAAGATGACTGAATAAATATTTTATTTCTATGTTTGAGACAAAGTCTCACTATGTAGTTCAGGCTGGTCTCAAACTCACAGCTATCCTCCTGCCTCCGCATCCTGAGTGCTAGGATTACAGGTGTGCACCACCACACCTTTCTGATTAAATTTTAGTTAAGAACATGCACCTCTCCTAGTTCAGGATTTTTTTTTTTTTTGTCTTTTTTGAGACGGGGTCTCGCTATGTAGTTTAGGCTGGCCTTGAGCTCACTTTGTAGCCTAGGCTGGTCTTGAACTTGCAACAATCCTCCCACCTCAGCCTCCAGAGTGCTGGGATTATAGGCGTGAGCCACCATGCCTGGCTTTAAATGTGGTTTTTTTTTTGTTTTGTTTTGCTTTGTTTTTTTTTAATTTTTAATGGTGTTTTTACCAAAATTTTAAAAATCATGTAAAAATTTAACACAGTTTGATTATAAAATAGTATTTACATGTCCTGTTTTAATATACTATCAAATTTGATTTACTCTGCAATTTTTAGTATTTTTCTCAGTTTCCCTTTGCTTTATATGCTAAGTACCTATCACAGATTTGTAAATTTTTAAAAATATGGTTAATTGCATCCAATAATCTTTATTCTTCTGTTATCTTACAAATACATTTCCTGAAAGTCTGTTTACCTATTTCATTCCAGCTGCTTTCCAAGCCTGCTGTTCAGCTGTCATCCTGAGAATTTATGTTGTTACCCCAGGAATCTTTTTTCCATCGCTACAGTGTATCCTTTATTTCCAGGACCAGTCTTTCCTAATTTCCTCATTTTAATAGTGAACACCTTCCTTTATTTTCTTGAGAAACATAAATAAACTGTCAATTCTTATGTGATACATCTTTAGTTACTATTGATGATTTAGATAGTATAGAATTCTAGGTTGAAAATATTTTTTCTCAGAATTCAAAGGCATCATCCTAGTATATTCTGACTTCCAAAATTGCTGTTGTAGAGTCTGATGCCATTTTGACTTCTGTCCCTTTATCTGCTTTGTTTCTTCTGTAATTCATTTAAGATCTTTTTAAATTTTTTTTAAAAAAATAAGTCCGTGGAAAGTTATGACAGCCTAATGGCAGAATAAAAAGCCTAGGTTCTCTTTCCTTATGAACACGCTAACTGAACAATGTGCAGAACGATCTCTTTGTGGGAAATGCAGAAACCAGTTAAGGGGCTCCTGTATCACACAGAAGCACTAACCTAGCCATAGAAAGCCAAGAGGAAAAGCTGAAGTGTTTTTTTTACCATAACTTAACCCCCAAATGTGGCACAGTACTACCGGATCTGGAAAAAACTCTTAGTTCCCAGCATCTACATGGGGAAGAAAGGGAGGACTGGAAAGCACATTCAATATCCTGACTTGTTTAGAAGCTTCCCAGTAGAATGGCTTGTGTCTTGCCTTAATTTGAACACTAAAAGCAAAGGATCCCAGGCTGGAAACCCTTGAGAACAAAGGCAGATGTCCAGGCAAAAAGGCACACACTTGCCAGATCCACTCCCCAAACCTCTAAATTTAGCGCAGAGCAAATGAAAAAGTCCTAAACCCCAGTTTCTGCCTCAAGAGGAGAGTTGGACCACACTCCAAAATTTCAGGAAGTTGTCCAAAGACTAACTTCTTAGAACACAGTGGAAACTCTATACTTAGGTGCCTGGGGGTCACTGTGAACAGAAACAAAAAAGAAGATGAAGCATGCTCCTGCTCCCCCAAGACCCCCAGTACACCAGAGAGACAACAGAAGAGAAGCAACTTTCAATTCCTAGGAGACAAAAGCAAATCCCTCTGAGTAGTAATTCATACACACAAGTCCAAAGAAGACACATATATAGAGAAGACTGGAGGAGCTCTGGAATCTTGGGCCAACCTGACTTGTTTTTTTTTTTTTTTTTGTCTTTTTCCTTTTTGTCGGTACTGGGGATCAAACTCACGACTGCCTGCTTACAAGGCAGGCACTTATGCCACTGAGCTAAATCCCCAGCCCCGGGCCAACCTGACTTGTGAAGGTGAAGACAAGTGTACAAGAAAGTCTATGAACATGGGAGAGGTTGTTGTTTTCTCTAATGCACAGATACCAACACAAAGAATGAAGAAAAATAGTGTAACAGGCAATTAGATCCCAAAGGAGGACGATATAGCTACAGATCAACCCTAATGCAACAGTTATATGAAATACCTGACAGAGAATCAAGATAACTAGCTCAAGAGAACAAGATAATTCAACAAGCCCAGAACACTGCACAAATAATGTAAGAATTTCAACATAGGAGTGAAAAATATTTTTAAAAATATGCTGACAAGCCAGGCATGGCAGCACATGCCTGTGATTCCAGTACTTGGAAGGCTGAGGCAAGAGGATCACTCAGAGTTCGAGGCCAGCCTGGACTACACAGTGAGTTCAAGGCTGGCCTAAACTACACAGTGAGACACTGTTTCAAAAATAAACCATAAACAAAACCAACTAACTGGATAACCTAGAAAAAAATGGATAAACTCTTAGGAATGTACAGCCCACCAAGACTGAGTTATGAACAAACAAAAAAATCTAAATGGACCTGTAATAAAATCTCCCAACAACAACACTACTCAGATGGCTTTATTAGTGAATTCTACCAAACAATAACCTAACCTTTTAGAACACTTCCATAACACAGATAAAAATAAATTCACTTAGAAGTAACTTCCAAGCTGGGCGTAGTGGCACACACTTGTAATTCCAGCACGTGGGAGGCTGAGGTGGGATCAGTGTGAGTTCTAGACCACCTTGGGTTACAGTGTGAGCTTAAGGCCAGCCTGAACTGCACAGTGAGACCCTGACTCAAAAAAGACAAAAAAAAAAAAAGTAATAGTAGTAGTAGTAGTAACTCCCAAATATGTTCTATGAAGACAGCATTACTCTGATATCAAAGTAAACAAAGATAACACAAAAAAAAGAAAACTACAGGCCAATAGAACTGATAAGTATAGATCAATAGCTGGACCTGGGGAGGGCATACCTGTGATTCTAGCTACCTGACAAACAGAGGCAGAAGGAGCTCAAGTTCAAAATCAGCCTGGGGAACTTAAGACCTTATCAATAATAATAATAATAATAATAATGGATTAAAAATAAAGGGCAAGGGATATAGTTCAGTGATACAGTATTTGCCCAGCATGCACAAAAGCCTGGGTTCAATCTGTAATTCTGAAAACACAAAACAAAAACTTTAATCAATACTCGCATACCAAATTTGACAGCACTTTTTTTTTTTTGTCTTTTTCGTTTTTATTGGTATGAGGGATCGAACTCGTGACCACACACTTGCTAGGAAGGCGCTTATGCCGCTGAGCTAAATCCCCAGCCCCCATGACAGCACATTTTTAAAAGAATCACATACTGTGAAAGTACAATTCATCCCCGAAATAAAAGGAAGTTTCAACATACACAAATCAATTAGTATGATACAACATAAGGACACAGTGAAGGTCAATACCACATGATCTTATGAACTGATACAGAAAAAGGAACAAAACTTACCTTTTTATAATAAGAACTAACAAAATGGGAACAGAAGGAAACCACCTCAATACAATAAAGTCCATAAATGAATGGCTCACATAGTATTCAACAATAAAAACTAATGCAACAATGCCAAATCACACCACTTTTGTTCAACACAGCACAACACAGGAAGCTGTAGCCACAGCAATTAGGTAACAGGAATAAAAGTATCCAATCAGAAAGGAAAAACTGTGAATGTAGAACACATGCTGCACAATTACATTTATATGAGGGATCTAAAACAGTCAAACTACTGGGCATGGTGATGCACGCCTGTAATCCCAGCACTTAAAAGGCTGAGGCAGGAGAATCATTGTGAGTTCAAGACCAGCCTGGGCTACAAAGTGAGTTCAAGGCCAGCTCAAACTACACAACGAGACCCTGTCTCAAAAAGAAAAAATTTAACACTCTCAAGAGTCAAACTCATATAAGAAAGTAGAACAGTGTGTAGCATGGAGAGGAGACACAGAAAGAACCCCTTAGACAGCAGTAAAAGTTTCAGTTAGGCAATCCAAGTCCTATAGATCTGTATAAACCATGTTCATATTTAATGCTATAACATATACTTCAGGGCGGGGGATTTAGCTCAGTGGCATAAGCGCCTGCCTTGCAAGCAGGCAGTTGTGAGTTCGATCCCCGGTACTAATAAAAAGGAAAAAGACAAAAAAACAAAACAAAACAAAACAAAAAAAACCCATATACTTAAAAAATTCTAAGGGCAGATCTCATTGTTATGTTGTTATCGCAATAAAGGGCCCTGATACTTACATATACTTGAAAAGACAGCTGAAATCAATGGTAATCCTGTGTTTTAATGAATGGCACAACTGCTTTCCTACTGTCATCCTCCTAGCCTGGCTGGAGAGCTGAAGCCAAAGGGAAACCCTGATGGCAAGTAATTAGCAGGGAGAGACTCCAAGCGAGAGATGTGGAAACTACAGAAGACACTATAAAGAAACAAAGCACTTTGTGGACAAGATCAAATCTGAATAATAAAATGTCAAATCTGAATAGTGGAATTCTCAATTATTTCAGTGCAAAGGACAAGTAAGGAATCTGACACTGCATGTATGTGCTGTCACCAAGCAGGTCAGTGGGAAAGGTACAAATCATTTTTAGCTACCACCTCAATATCATTAAGTCCAAATCAGGGAAGATGCTTCAAAAGGCTTTCTGAAACCAAAGGACTCTAGAACTAGAGTCTAGCATTCAAAACGTATCTAGAACTAGGTCCCATAAACTCATATCACAATTCCTACATAAGACTATCTATGTGCCATCTTCTAAAGGAACTGAATGGAGATATATTAAAAGCCTAAAAAGCAACATAACTATTAGAGGTAATTATAATCATACCAGAAGAGGATGGTGACACAGGAACATTAAATGTAAAAGGTAACTTGATATTTTTAGTCTATAATATTCCTTTCTCAATTTTTCTGTTAATCTTGGCAAGATTAGATAATGATAATTTGAATTTCTTAAAAACAAACAAACTAGACAATGGAGAGTTCAGTATTTGTTACCTAATTTAAATGAAAACATTTCTCAAGTTGGACGTGTAATTTTAGAAAAGAAAAAGGGGATGTGGACAAACAGATGTAAAGAAAGGAAACTCTTTGAACATTTATGTTCTATTCATAGACATATTCTATGAATATGTCTATTCATTTATGTTCTATTCATTCTCTTTTTCAGCTTTACCAACCTAAGTCTTTAGTTCATGACTACTGAGTCACTAGATCCACAGTTTATAGACATAATTTGATTACTAACCTCATCTGAATCCAGAAGGGCTGGAAGTGCTCTGTAGAAAGAAGGAAATACTAAGTTAAACAATGTTAAATAAGTTAAATAATTCATAAAGAACAATGAGATAGTGACTACAATTTAAAGCTTTTCCACAACTTAGCTAAGATTTGTAACTTATTAATGGCCCTTTTAGAAAAAAAAAGGCAAATAAAGAGAATTGTGTTCTGGAATATAAATTAGTGATTCATTCATGTTACAACTTTGGAAAAGAACTTCAAAATTATGGAAGGACCATGCCACTGATTTTGGGAAGAGCTACAACTAAATCTAACAGAAATGTCATCTGAATGAATGATCCTAATTATTTTTAAATCATTCTTTACCATCTTGTATTCTCATTAGTAAGCTTTAAAATAATAAAAAACAAAGTAGTACTAACTTTGAAATAGGATTCTTAATAGTAATGATTCAAGACAGGCATGGTGGCACGTGCCCACAATCCCAATACTCAGGATGCTGAGGTAGAAGGATCACCCCAAGTTTGAGGCTAGCCTGGGCTACATAGCGGGTTCAAGGCCAGCCAAAACGAAGTAACAGTAACGATTCAAGCGCTTACACATCTGTTACAGAAGAGGGAACGTTCTCTTCCACCCACTTCAAGTCATCTTCCTGCTGGGAACACACAAATACTAGGCCTTATACAATGCACCACATAACACAACTCAAGCAAAGCTCTAACAGGCTTTGAGATCTTTTTTTTTTTTTGATAGCTATTACAAATGGAATATTTTCTTGATTTCTTCCAGATAATTCATTACTGGTGTATAGAAATACAACTAATTTTTGCACAGAGTTTTTATTTTGAAATGTTATTAAATTCGTTAGTTCTGGGCCATGGGGTTAGCTCAGCAGCACAAGCTTGCAAGCATGAGGTCATGAATTAGATCCCCAATACCCTCCCCACCAAAAAAAATTAGTTCTAACAGTTATGGAGTCTTTGGTTTTTCCTATATGTAAGATCATGTTATTTATAAACAGGAACAATTTAACTTTTAACATAGATGCCTTTTCTCTTGCCTAATTGCTCTGGGTAGAATCAAATAATTTAATTTTTAAAGTCATATAAATATAATATCCTCTATTATTAAATATTCTTCCAATTGGCCTAATGCATGAAGTATATTTCACACAGGCTCTGACCCATAAGACTAAGATAATTTCTAAAGAGGCAGAAACACTTGCCTAAAACATCTGACAACCAGGGTTCAATCGCCATCACCAGAAAAAAAAAGAAAAAGAAAAAAAAAAAAACCCTGACAGACGAGATCTAGGTCTTTACTCCAAAAAATAGCTTAGGTTATTAATGGGATTGTGACTTCACTACTGCAAACCACTATACAGGACAACCACAGTGATCTGCTATATATTAGAATAGAGAAGTAAATCATCTTGTTAAAGATTACTATACCTTAGTCTCATTTGCTGTCTGATTCTGAATGTGGAAATTAATATATATTAAAAGATTTATAAAGCAAGTCTAATTATAGCATAGGCACAAAAACCATTAAGGCTTATATATAACTCCTAAGTTCCAACAAGGACTAGAAATTTGGGTAAAAAAGAGGAAGGAAAAAAGTCAGACTTACTGCTTTGTTTACTTTACTATTTCCATTTGGTTCCTGTTTGGTACTTCTCATTTTCATTCCTTCTGTAAAAGAAGAAAAGTATGCAGACTGATTAACTGTGTAAACAGATCAGCAATTATTGCAAAAAATGGATTGAGAACTTCATTTTAAGCTTACCGACTGTGATTTATACAACAGGTGACATTTCCCCATCTTTGCATTTATACTGGGAAGTTCAAAGCTAAACTCACAGTAGAATTCTAGCATTAAACCAGACATTTGATGTTAAACTGTTCAATTTATCACTGCTTCAGCTTAAAACTTACACCTTTATCTCCCTTCCATCCTAACTTTATCACACACCAAACTGAGGAATAATATGTTGGTAAAGAATGAACAATGTACTAATGTGAAAAAGATAGTTAAAGTATAAGTAAAAAATGAGTTTTATCACTACCAAAGCTTTCTTTCAGCATTGGTTCCTTTTGCTCATCTTCCTCCTCTTCTTCAGACAACGGTGAAAAGGCAAACCTGTAAGAACAAAGGCAGATGAGAAAGAAAAATAAAAAAACTACCAAAGCGCTCTACTATCTGAGACTTTTACAGGACTTATTACTGAAACTGCAACTGTAGTAATTAACATATAATTAGTTTAGGAACAATACTTCTTCCTCTCCAGAAAGCTCTGAGGGGCCTTCATTTAGCAAGGAAGAAGCAGAACAGTACCGTATTTATAAGTACTCAACCATATACTCCCTGTAACCGTAGACAAGTGATTTAACCTCTCCTCTTAGTTTCTCATACTGGGTCACAAATACTCATACCATACTTCTCTAATAAAAGTATATATGTTAGTATAACAGTAGCCAAATGTGCAGTTGAGCTGGGGGAATACAGGAAGCAGTCTTTCTGTTTATTTGATACAATGAATGGTATACACATGTGTTTCAAAGTGTCAATAGGTTTTACTCACATCATGTGCTGTACTTCACTTTTGTGTACTTAGAAGTTCTTTAATTAAATGTTTTCTTTTGATTTCTGTTGTAGAATTAGCCCAATTTAATACAATGTCACATAAAAAATCTATACGTCTTTGGGAGGAGGTTGGAAGTGAGTCATGAGGTAACTTGACTATCAGTGATGACTTGGATCATGTAAGCCAAAGAAGTTAGCAATAAAAAAAAAAAAAAAAAGAAGCTAGCAATATATGACAGATGGAGATATGACAGAGAAGTACAGAATGAAGACCCTGATTCAGATGAGGAAGAAAACAGTAATGTACATAAATATTTCACAAGTCAAAAATGCTGCAAAATAGTCATGCATATCTAAACAATCCAACATTAATATTAAGTCAGAAAATGTTATTAGGTTCTTGCCATAGGTGAAACTTTCTTGAGGGAATGCCAACACCATGATTCATTGTTGGAAATTTCTTTTTTTTTTTAATTTTATTTTATTTAAAGGAGAAGAAAAAAAATAGTATAAGGCTACAAGTAATACAGAATTTCAAAAAAACCAGAAATCACTGGTTAATAGATTACATATTGTCATCTTAGAAATAGTTGTTCAAGTTACAGGATTAAAGCATACAAAGTGGACATTCGAACAATTGTGTTCAATGATGTTGGAAATTTCTTTGTAACAGACAATATATTACAAGATGCTTCAAAATATACTAATAATGAAATATAAGAAAACATTCTATATGCATCAATAGTTAGACTCAAAAATATATTTATCATGACATCTCACTCTCTGAACTAGAAATTTTCATACCAGGACTTCATCATTCTAATCATCAGAACCTTTATGGAGAAATGACAGGTGTGAGGCTGAGATTTTTAGAATAAAGACACTCAAGAGATTTGGTTTCTTTCAAAATTCCCTAGATTTTGAAAACCAAAAGAACCTTCCAAGAAAAAAAAAAATCTGACAATTTGGCTGCTATTTGCTCATTTATTGAAAACATTGTTTCAAACTATCAAGCAATTATATACAGTTCAAACACATGACAACCAATGAACAACTTGCATTATTTCATGGCTCTTGATGCAGCCAATATATGCCAAGTAAACCTTCCAAATATGGTATAAAAACATAAGCCCTGTGGCAAATATCAGTTTAAGTTCAATCCCCAGTACCAAAACCAAACCAAAGAACAACAAAATACAGAGACACACACATACATATGTATGCATGCCCTGGTAGATGTGAAGACACTATATACCATGAATTTAGAAATTTATCCTGAACTTAGTCACCAGGTCTTTTCTTTGTTAATAATGACACTTGAGAATAGGAAGAGGAATCAGAATAGGAGGCAGAGACACTCTCTTGCTGCTTCTACTCAAAGTTATTAAGAAAGACTTAGCCAGCATGACAATACATTATCTTATTTTTCTTGCTGCCAAGACAAAATACCCAATGCCCACGATTAAGGGAGGAAAGGTTCAGTTAGCTTACAATTAGTGGAGGTTTCAATCTATAATCAGATGACTCCAAGGCAAGCGGCATACAACAGCGGAGAACATTCATGGCAAGAGAAGACAGCAAAAGCAAGCAAGTAACCTTAACAGTGTCTTTCTGCCCCTTTTATACCCTAACTAGGCTGCTGGGATTAGATCAGTGCCAAACCAGTCAGTGAGCAGATCAGGTGACATTAATCCTAGCATCACTCTAGACTCAGCCAGCTCCAGAAAAAAAGCACTATGACCACATGAGGCTTTAACGGTTATGTAGACACAAACCATAACAGGCAGTAAGTCTGACAAAGTGAGTCTTAAACACCTTTGACACAAATATTCACTGTATATTGCTTTGTGCTTGCTAGCTGTGCCCTCCACATCACCGTTTTTACTTTTGCTTCGGAAACCCTGGGCTGTGATTAGGCTCTGTGCTACTGTCCACTCTCGTACTGCACAGAAAGCACCCAGCAGCACAACTGTGACAATGCCCAGTACACATGTGAGCTATTTCCAAGATCTGTTCACATAAATGAATGTTCCTAATATAAGATCCGTTCATATCTGTGAAAGTTCGCAAATCTGTAAGTGAGGGGCTTACTGTATGAGAATCAGAAATGCAAAAGCTAATTTCTCAAGGAAGGAACATTATGATTACTTTGGGCAAGAATATACCTGATAAGAAAATCCAGAAATTATCAAAACTAACATGTAGCAGGGTTGATGGCTGTGATAATTTTCAAATATCAATAGCATTTGTAATACATTTGGAAAATCCACATGCAATATTTTAAAGACTACATTCAGAACAGCTTACAAAAATGTTAGCTACACTTAATTGCAGCATGAAAGGTCTAAAAGAATGAAGAGAAACAACATGACCAAAAATGGAATTATCAAAAAAAATACATAATTTATCTAATTAGGCATGGTGGTGCATATTTGTAAACCCAGCTGCTTGGGAAGCTGAGGCAGAAGGATCACAACTTCAAAACCAAACTGGGAAATTCAGCAAGACTTTTATCTCAAAAAATAAAAAGGGCTGGGGATATAGCTCTGTGGTAGATCACCCGCATATCTCCAATATGCAAACAAATAAAAAAATACATTAATTTAATTAAATTCTAATCAAAATCTTAAAAGTATTTCCAGAATTACACAAAGAGCAATTTGTGCTATTTTTCCTCCTGATGCTAGATATTGAACCCAGAGCCTTACATGTGCTATGTAGGCCTCTGACCAATGAGCTACATATCCACCTTCCAAGTGCTATTAAAAAACATAAAAAAAAAAAAAAATGTAAGGCTAGAAGAATAGGCCTTCTGATGTTAAGACATATCAGGTAGCTTTGGTAACTAATCCAGTTGCGGGATCCAGATGCAGGATGAAAACAACAGAAATCAAAGAAAGTGAAGACTACTGGAACTTGTCTTAGTAGAATGGAAGTCTTTATACAGATACCAGGAAATGCAATAAAGTTAGGCATGGTGGCACACACCTGTAATTCCAGCATTCTAGGGCTGAATTCAAATTCTAGGACGCCAAATTCAAGTCCAGCCTACGCAACTTAGTGAGACCCTATCTTAAAATTTTAAAAAGGTCCCAGTACAAAAAAAAAAAAAAAAAGGGCTAGAAATATAGCTCAAGTGTGAATGGCCTGGGCTCAATGCCCAGTACTACATAAATAAAAAATTAAAAAAATTTTAAAAAGAAAAGGAAGGAGTGAATAAGGCAGGTATGGATGAGACCAAAGCAAAAGGCTTCATTCAGCCTTCTTCTGGGTAGACTGATGCGAATACCTGCTAGTCCTTCCATACTGAAAAGTCCTAAACAAAGAGGCCTAAGTTCTTTGGCTGTAGGCCAGCTAAGACAGGAAATTAGGATACAGCAAAGCTGGCTAGGGAAGTAGGTAAGACCTGTTAATTACAAAATTCCAGGACAGTATCCAAAGCTCTGCATATGAATGTCTTGAGAGAACTCAAGCAAGTTTTCGACAGGATGACCGAGACCTCCTGTCAGCCCAAGGAGTGGGAGATGCAAAAAGAACAGACTACACTGACATTTAGCCACTGTGTTCTCCTGCATAGGTATCCTGCCCTCATGCTGCAGGGTATAACATTTTTCCTTCTTGTACTTGGCCCAAAATCCCTCTGCAGAGCCTATTTCTTTTCCTACCTTATAATAAACTTTGCTACCATTTATGCTTGTCTTGACTAATCCTTTGTTCAGGACAGAAAAAACTTAGAAACCACTTCCAGGACACTCCAGTGCCCCAAAACCTAGTAACACTATTATTAGTGGGTAAAAAGGCCAAGGGGTAGAGAATAGGTAGTCCTCAGTCTAGGTGCCTCAAAGCCTATTGGTGAAGTTGGATCGGGGTTTCAGTGAGGCTGGTAAGATACAGAAATGTAAAGCTGTGTAATTAAGGTAAGTCTTCAGATGAAAACTGATCCATTTGAAGAGGCTTTATGTGCGGTGAATGTCTTTACCTCAAAGTATCTCAGAAATAACTGTGTCTGTAAACTTACTATACACTAGGGGAAGGAAAAAAAAAAGAGAAAACAGTTACATCTAATTGAGGAATACCTCCTCTAATACTGTAAACAAAAAGCCAATGGATAAAGTCCTAGCAGAACTATAGTTAGTCTGGGAGGCTGTATGAATGCAACAACTGATGGGATGAAGGTGCAGGTTGAGATGAGTCCCAAAATACTTGGATAGTCTCTCTGTGATATGGTGAGACTTCTCTATCTTGAGGATGACTACTGTGTCTGAAAGGGGAACTCTTCCCTGATCTATTATCATAAAACACAGAGCACATAAATTTGCCCTCTCTACACTAACTGGACATGCTGAATGGCAACCAATGAAATTGCAAAGGTCATTAATTTCCATACAGTGCTAAGAACAGAAGCTGGAGTGCTGATCAGCCATGTTCTCCATACTAGAGTCTCAGGGGGAATACAGACCAGGGTTCTAACAAAAAGCCTTTGAGAACTTGCAACAACTGCCAAGATCTGAAACCAAAAAGTGATCACTTGAGCGACAACCACTTACGACTACCCTCAACTTCCCAAATCAAGTGAAATCAGATATATGTGGCAGTACAGCTAGCAAGCACAAAGACTACTCTGGATGCCACACTGTGCTCACTGTAGGAGGGAGGCAGGCTCTACCATATAACACCACACAATGGAAATCTGTCTCAGTAAAAGCTTGTACACTGACAGGATGTCTGGCTTTGTTCTCAACTAACATAGAACCCAGAAATAAATGAATCATGACCATGATGCTTGCCTGTAATAACATCTGGTATATGAGCAAGGTCAATTCTGTTAGGAAGGCAAAGCAAGTATCTCTATAATTCTAATAGAATTATATCATTACCATACTTTGATACTGCTTCACACTGGCACTGTTGCTAAGATTTAATTACTTCATGTAAATAAGCCTTATGAAAGTATGATAATAAAATGTGCTGGGATACTGAGTTGAATTGTCTGTCTCTAAACATGATGGAAAAGATTAGCTAATCATCAATTTCTATGCTACATGGTTTTGAACAAATTATTTTAAGTACAAAAACCGGCAGATCAAGGGAATACATAATTAAATCTGTATAAAACATGAAAATGTTTGTAATGGCTTTGGAAAACAGATTAGCTTTTTCTTTAAAACTATCTCTATCATATACTCACTCCTCCAAATGTCACACATATTTTTAGTTGTTCTCTATCACAAAAATGTTGGAGCAGTAAACAGAGATGCCCAGACAAATATAACTCTGACTCTGAGAAAGCACTAGGCAAAAGTCAGGGGCAGTCTACATTAAAAAAATAAATAAAAATCAACCTTACCCAAAAAGAAGTCCAGCCTGTGTGCCCTTGAGCACTCGGAGGTGGTCACTATGCCTCTGAGTCTGCCCAATGGGAATGTCTGTTTTCCTGCAGGTTCCTTGAAAGTCTGTAAGTGTGGTTTATAAGGCTATGCCACACTAGTTCTGACCTACAGAGGAAATGGAAGCTGAAGCATTAGCTTCATTTCTACCAGGAAGGGTTGGAAATGAAAGGTCAGCCTCACAAGAAAGATAAAACTGAGCCCCAGCGAAAACTAGACACTTCAGGCTCAGGAGTTTCCCTGCTTGGCAGTGTTCTGCAGTCACAAAAGAAGGCAGACTGACTGTAAAAACACGACAATTGGAAGCTCTGCCTTTGAGTTCCTCCAGATTCTTCTATGAGTTTCCTTGCTATTTATTTTAGTTGTACTCCTTCTTGGAAATAAATCACTGTCATAAGCATGTAACAGTTTTCAGTGAGTTCTGAGTCTTTCTGGTGAATTCTCAAACCTGACAATACTTTTGGAAACCAGTTAGTATCAGAAATGCAGCCAGTCTAGTCAGGACTCTTCTGTAAGATTCTGCAATTTAACTAATTTTATAGTTAGAAGAGTTCTTTTAACTTTATGTTCACATTTGAGATTTTTCTGGATTGTGGGGGGTTTTTTGAGGGGTGGGAGAAGGCAGACATTAACAAATACATTAAAAGATATGTAGGATTTAGAATATAATAAGTGTCATAGGGATAGGGCAAGGGATACCGGAGTACCAAAAAATAGATTTACATGGTGTTTACACTATTGTACTTTCTCCTACTTTTAATCTACTACATAAACGTGAGTTAACATAATAGGCCTTTAGAAAGGCCTACTTGTAAGACTAGGCCATGGCTGATATCTGGAAACCTGACCTGTTCCCTAAATGATATAGGCAGCAAGGAGTACAGGCTGTGTGCGATGAAGTCTACAACAAACATTGGCTTTCTTCCCGGGAAAACAGCTTTCCTATGTCCTAGGCAAAGTGTGCTCATGTGACTAGCCCTCAATAAGAATTTCAAGTACTGAGTAAATTGGCCTCGATGGTCAGAAACTATTCACATACCAGAGCATTTCTATGGCTGGAAAAAGGAGCATACCTGATGTATTTCCCCAGAGGAGGGAATGAACAAAAGAAAGAAAATACAGTTTCTCTAGACTCTACCTGTGGTTTTTCACCATGCTCTATCATTTTGCTGGAATAAACCTTAGTTTTAAGTATAACCATATGCTGAGTCCTATGATTCCTTCTAGTGAATCATTAAGCGTATGGGTGGTCTCCAAACTGCAAACAGCCCAAATGCTCATTAATGAACAAGTTAATTGCCTACATTCCATGTAAATCCTGTAACATTAGGCCATCCACAAAAACAAATGAGTTCAACTTAAAATAGGCAACCTTGAAATCAATCTCCTCAGTGCAATGCTGAGCATAGAAAAATTGTGTGTGAGCACAGGAAATAAAATGTGGAAGGACACACCACATTAAGATGTTAACAATTAAGTCATGGGGAATAGGGGCAATGTTCTAAAAGAAGAAGAAAGGAAAGGAGGAAGAGAGGGAAGGAGAAGGCAACATAAAATTTTTAACGAAGGAAGGGAAACATTTTAAATAAGCTAGCAATTAACTAGTAGATCAACAGGGAGGTATGAAAAGAAAGTCTGTCTATAGGATTTTTTCTGAACAGTATGATTTCACATCTCCTTTATTTTCTTTCATGGCTTTTCTCTATTGCCTGACTTTTTTTCAATGAACACATACTAAGCACTTAGTTTGAAAAGACAACAAAGCTATGTTCACCTATTTTCTTTCTCATCTTTTATGAGATTATAAAATTATAATCTCATGTCTGATTATAAAATTAATTGTTCAGTTAAACCATGTTATTCTTTTCCTTTTTAGTTGGTATGTTTAAGCTTCTGTCTAAACACAAGGAGAGAGAAATAAGCAGGAAAACAAATGCATGGATATCCAGGAAATAAAGACAGGCAGTTCCTAAAGAATTAAAATCTAAACTGAGAGTGGTGGCTCAGCCTTATTCCCAACACTTTTGAGACTAAGGCAGAAGGATCATTGAGAGTTCAATCAGGGCTACCACATGAGCTCAAGGCTAGCCTCAACCGCAAAGTGAGACTCCTATCTCAGAAAGACAAAACAAAACAAAGTAAGATCTGCCAATAGGTGAAAAAACCAAATTCAAATCACCTAAATTTTCATATTACCATCTCTATCTACAAAGTGAGCTGGGCTTGGCCTACAGAAATTTTACTTTTCTTTTGGTCACTAAATGGTAGTGACTCTATAATTATACAATACATCTACCTATTTATCTACCTATTTGTATTATCAGAAAATGTCAGAATTGAAAGAGAGCTCATATCACTTGCTTTAATTCCCTTATATGAAGGGGGAAAAAAACAACTAAGGCCTAAAGAAGAGAAAAGACAGCATGCCAAAAATCACAAAGCAAGTGAAGAGAAGAGCCAAGAGAGAAACCCCATTCAATTGATTCCAGATCTGGTGGTCCTTGCACTGTATGACACAGCGCTGACATGGTCCCTTACCGCCTCTAACTCATGAAATGGCTATTTAATGGTTAGTAGCATAAGGAAGAAGAGTCCAAGAACCTTTGGTTATTTGCTGATGGTCTCCAGAGAATCATGATGACAAAGAGGATCATTGAGAACAGCAACCGCCAGATGGCATCATCCACCCATAGCTCCCGCCAGTCCTACAAGGGGGAAAAGCACATTTATCCGTATTATTTTAACCTCTCTTTATCAAGTCCTTACCAGAGAACAAAAATCATTTATGCACATAAGCTATATTTCCTGAGAACATGTTGTGTGCCAGGCACTGTGTTCAGTGCTAGGAACACAAAATGAGTGAATGTAGGCTCCTCCCTCATAGTACTTGGTGTTGTTAAAAGAAGTACCATCTGAACACAGAATTTATCAAAGCTTCACCACAGCTCTGAGACGCTTTAAGGAAGAGTTTTATACAAAGTTAGAGAAAGTAACATTAGGTTGTTAGACTTCAACATTTCCATTTCTTTTTACCAAAATAGAACTTTAACTGCTTCCAGAAAATTCCTATTGACCACAATTTTTGCATACAGATCTTAAGGACATGACTTCTACTCAGATTAGTAGCATTCACACACACCTGATGTTCAGTACACTGGATTTCTTCTTTGAGCCCTCATCTCCTCAGCATTGGGGAATTGAACCCAGGGCCTTCACATTGAGCTACAGTGTCTACACTTAAAACTTTAAAATTTTGAGACAGGGTCTCACTAAATTACTAAGTTGCTTAAGCTGGATTCAAACATGTGATCCTCCTGCCTCTGGCTCCCAGGTAGTTGACATTATAGATATGTACCAACAACTCCAGCTTGTTCAAGATTTTTAGTTAAAACAGGTCAAAATTATGATAGGGTATAGTCATCACTCACACAATTCTCTAGCAGGGTTGAAATATATAGCGAAATAAACAAAAGAGGCTCAAGGATAAAGCCTTATGGTTAAGGGCTTGACCAGCATGTCGAAGACCCTAGATTTGAATCCCAGTACTGTAAACCAATAAAACAAAAACAGATAAAATCCAGTTATCATGCCATGTATGATGACAGCACAGAACATTTAAAAACACAGTGCTGTATAATCCTCAGAACAAAGATCCAGCCTCATTTCTTACTTATCACAAAAACATAAACACTGCCATACACCATCAAGTGTGCAACAGAATGATACTCAGAAGGGTATATGCTTATAACTTACCGACTGACAAGTCACTATCCTGAACTTCATAGTGGTCCAGATGATAAACACAATAGATGCTAACATGATACGAAAAAACTTGGTCAGAACATGAATTTTGGTTACACATTTCCTGATCCTGTTTAAGTGAAATTCCACACGTTCCTAAACCCCAATACATCACAATTATTTTCCATCAGTTATTTTCACAAATATATTTAAATATAAATTTCCTAACCACATACTGTAAGCAAGGGCCCAAGGTGTTTATTCTAGTCAACCCTTTCTGTACTCAGGAATAAACTTAAAATAGTTTTTTTTTAGCATCTATCTATTTCAATAATCTTCAAAATTGGAAGAGAAATTATCAGAAAATAGGCTTTTTCCATCAGAATCAGTATAATTTTTACTGTACAGTAGTGATCCTCATTTCTTACTGGCTGGTCAGATAAAAAAAAGTTATTAATAAAATGACTATAACACTAACAGAAGAGCCAGTTCTCACCGTTGGTCATTCCTCGCTATTCCTGGTATAAGAGCCACAAGGTAAACATATTAGCCTAGTCTGGTTACAGTCTATCTAATGTCTACATTTTATGTATGTTTAATGATACATGAAAAAAAAGCACTAGCGTAGCCATGTACCCAAACCTAAAATTCTATAGCTGTTTAATAAAATCAAGTAAGAGGGGTAGGGAGACACAGGGGATACACCTCAGTGGTAAAGGACTTGTTTCACATACAGGAGGTCCTGGGTTTAATCCCCAGCACCAACAAAAAATTTTTAAATGAAAAATGAAAAAACAAAAACAAGCAATCATGTTGTAACATCTTCTGAAAGAATTGTAAATGCTATGTGGTATTCAATTTAGCTTTTTTCAAGAAAAAGAATGGAGACAGGAGAGGGACACACTTGGAGCTAAAACTGTATGAGGTTAATCATCACCTGCTACACTTAGAAGGTTCTTATTTGGGGCCACAGATTTAACTCAGTGGCCGACATGCCTGCCTGGCAAGCACAAACTCATAAGCTCGATCCCTGCTACCCAAACAAACAAAGAGGTTCTTAAATCTTTTTAAGACCACAGATACTTCTGAGAATCTGACATGAGTGAAATGCAGAAAACATTCTATGCATAGCCACAGCCTCTCAGGTTAAGACTCTGTTTCTAAAAGAAGCACAGAATCAAAATTAAACAACAGAAAATCTCAGACTTACCTGCCACTGCCAAGATAAGTGTGTTGGTAAAATGTCGGTACAACGAAAGCTTTACAACATTCCTTCGAAGTTTCAAGAGCTTCATGGTTTGAGTCAGGCTAATAAATATGTGTTTGCAGGTCAAGGAATTAAACATTCAGATAGGTAAAAATTAATCCTCAGATTTCTTGAGGATCTGGGGTTATATCAATAAAGCTATGGATTCAGAAGCCTTGCAGCTCTATTTATTTTCACTTAAAGTCTTATGAACATTCTAAACCTCACCAAGATTAATGAGAAAAGTCATTATTTTCAGTAAGATACAGAAAAGAAGAAAAGACCCTTCAGGTAAGATGAAGTAAGAATGCAGCCACTGTGTTTTCTCTTGAATGTAGTGCACCCTCACACTGTAGAGTGTAACTTCTTTTCCTACTTTTACTTGGTCCAAACTTGCTCTGCGAACCTGTTTCTTTTCCTATCTATAATAAAACTTACAATCATAAAAAATGTAAAAACCGGTAAAAATATTAAAAAGAAGCTTTCTAGAAAAAATGATGAAAAATATTAACTATGAAGGTGTAAAATAAAAACGAATTAATAGGTAGAAAGAAAGTATTAACATCATGATGACAGATATCTATTCCCACCAGTTAATTCATTCTAAGGTCACCACTAGTCCCACCAGTTAATTCATTCTAGGGTCACCACTATAGTCACACATACAGCCTTCCATACATCTATGCTAAATCCACTACCTCATTCATCTTACTGAACCTGTCAACAGCTACCTTATACTGCTGTGAACGAAGAAAACTATAGAGTTGACTGTACATACTTGAAAAGGACCAATGTAGAAAATCTCTGGCCATTTGGACCCAGGACACTTCCGTTATAAATTTTTTGCTATCCATTTGGCAATCCATTCAAATTCCCAACTTATAAACCAAATCAAGACAGTAATGTGAAATCCAAACAAATTGAAAATAACCCCAAAAAGATAAAGTTCAAAAAAATTGAATCCTTCACATAACAAGTCTCAAGTAACTAAATGTTTAATTTTCCAAATGAGAGGAAAAAGATTCAAACAGAACTGTGTTCATCAGCAGTTGACTTTGCATGCACATGTATCAGTATTTACTCTGAAAGGTGGCAGCGTTCAGACAACACCTAGTCAGCTTTTGAATAAGGGAAGAAAACATCCTGTAAGAATTAAAACCTGCTAATCCTACATAAGAGTTTCAAAAGAACCAGATCATATTTTAATGGATCAACTCTTTTTTGTAACTTTCAAAGCTCTTAGCAACTGCTAGAGGCTAAGTAGAGCAGAATCAAGAGGAGCCAGTGATTATAACACCAAAGTAAGGTACAAAAATAATAAATAAAAATTCAGCATGAAATGTTCATGTAAGAGAAGGCCAGAAGACTTAATGGGCATGCGGTCCATAATCACTAACTCTTGATTTTAAAAATTAAAACAACAAAAATTTCTTACCTGAACCCTTAAGTTGTTAACACTTAAAATATTATACAGTATTTCCCAGATCAAAAAGACATCAACAAAACTGGGAAAAACTCTTCAGAAAGATTAGCAAAAACCCATCTCCAAGGGAAGAAAATGGAGCACATCAAACAAGCCAATAAGAAGGATATCCACCAGCACAGGGCAGTGTCTAGAAAAGCCAAGGGGATAAAGGCCAAGGAAGCAAGATCAGTCTGGGCCTGCAGACAAAGAAAAAGACGCAGTGAAAAACAGATTGCTAGAAAGACACACAGAAGAAATGAGAGCAAGATCTGTATTTATATAATTATTTAGAGTAGCTTTGCATTTGAACTGAAAACTGTAACAAGAACTAACACCTGACATCTAAGCATTCTTCCCTTTCTTATAAGCCTTTACCTAGAATATACAGCTACTTTAGTGGTTTACACAAATTATGATTATAATCTCAATAAAATGAAACTGCTGCTAATTACCAGAGTTCCTAAAATATTAAGATTCATGGAAGAGGTGACATCAAAAAAGTTCTAATGTTTATAACCTCCATCTCTTCCTGAGCTCCTGTTACTGTGATTTAGACTACAAGCCTAATAAGATCCTTCTGGTTACAATATCAATAGTTAATATACTAAGAATTATTGATTTCCCAAACTATAATAAAATGAAATTTTAAAAATAGCTCACCCCTAAAATAAAACGTAAGGCAATTATCTTACCCAAAGCTATTTGTTAGTTTCCACAAATTTATATATAATGCTTTTTATGTAATCCAAATACAATCATCAAGACATTGTTGAAAGGATATCCATAAAATAATACAGGCATCAATTGCTGAGAGGGCCACGCTTAACATCAAAGCCAAAGAATAAGAAAAATACTACAGCATCAGCAGAAGAAAGAAAAAAAAAAACTGGTAAGAGGGTTTTAAAGTTGCTCAAAGTCTAAGGAGATTACACACAGAGGACAATGTAGTTTGAAAAACAAATCTGCAATCTCCAAGTGTTTTAATTATGGGGAAATGGACTGCAAAACATTTTGATTCACCGTGGAGCATACCTACAATCCCAGCATGCAGGAGGCTGAGGCAGGAGAACCACAGCAAGTCTGAGGCCAGCCTGAGTTCCATACTGAGTTCAAGGCCTGCCTAAACTACAGTGAGACAATGTTTCAAAAAAACAAAACAAGCTTAACCAACCCAGCTTTGAGGGAAAAGTTGTTTATCAAATTTACCAACTTGAATATAAGAATCTGTATTAGTGCAGAATCTGATTTTTAGATAAATAAAATACTAACTGGAATGGCCCAAAGAGGCCTATTTTTTCACATTAACCAACGTCTCAACATACTTTATCACTTAGAATTCTCACTGCTTTGTTCTTCTCAAGGATAGTATGAAATTTAATTAGCTGCCTTGTAAGCAAGTTTTCAAAACTCAAGAGCTAGGTAAGCAAAGAGCACTGATACTTTAGATTAACCAGTAATTCCCTAGTTCCAATGCATGCCCTTTATTTAAAAAAGGAGTCCACTCTCTAGGAGAAGAAACTGAGTAATTGTCAATATGGAGACATACGGAGAAGCATTTACTTTGCATCATGCATTAATTTTACAAAGGTCTAGAAAACAGATTAAAAAGAAAAAAATGAATAATACAGGTTGAGTATTCCCTAATTCAAAACCCCAACTCTGTGACACTCAAAATGTTTTAGATTTTGGAGCATTTTTGATTTCAGATTTCTGGGTTAGAAACACTGAATTAGTAAAATCTATGCAAATATCCCAAAACCTAAAAAATTCTGAAATCTGAAACACTTTTGGTCCCCAGCACCTCAGAAAAAGGATACTCTAGGAAGAAGGAAGAAGGTAGAAAGGGGACATTAAAAATATTAGAATGTGTCATGTAAATGTACCAACTCCCCACAGTGAATGTAATCACTACACACTGCAAACAAGCAGTGCTAAAATTTTTTAAAATAAATAAAAGGGATACTTAACCTGTATATACATTTTACAAATCAGAGCTTAGCGGTAGTGGAAGCAATAGTGAAGAAGGCCACTGACACTTTCAGTGCACCCTGCAATTTTTCAAGACAGAACCAAGAGAACTGCAGTGATCACAAAAATTCAGGCTAAACAGTACTGACCCCGGTAACTCTGAGGACTCCTTCCATACCAGAGAACAAAAGATAGAGAGCGCCTGCCACCACCACCTTGTGAAGAGTGACTCCAAGGCGAGGCCTAAAGAAGAAAGCAAAGAGACAGTGAGTACACAGGAAGCAAAACTCTCAACAAGCTAAGTGAGTGACTTGTTAGTAGAGGTCAGTAGTTTCATGATAAATAACAAACAATTCAGGTGAGAAGAACATAGGGGAGCCAGACACAGTAGCTCACTCCTATAACCCCAGCTACTCAAGAAGCTGTGGCAGGAGGATCACAAATTCAGTCAGCCTGGACAATTTAGTGAGATGCTGCCTCAAAATTTTTTAAAAACGAAAAGGGCTGAGCACGTAATTCAGTGGGAAAGCACTTTCCTAGCACACACAGAACACTGGGTTCAATCCCCAGCACCATCACCCCCCCCCCCAAAAAAAAAAGAGAACTTCCTACCTGGTCCCTGGTTATACATCTTACACATCTTTAGGAAAAAATTTATTACAAAGTTTTGAAACACTTAAAGCTGTATAACAAACCCCTATAGACAAACACATCACCTAGTTTGCACAATGACCAATCTATATAGTTCATTCTGCTGCATGTACACCCCATTCTTTTCCAACTTTTCATATTATCTGGAAGTAATTCCTAGATAGCATACCATTTTATTTGTATATGTTTTGGTACATGTTTTTGTTTTTTGTTACTGGGAATCAATCCAGGACTTCCTGCTTGCCAGGCAGGTACCGCGTTGTTAAGCTACATCCCTGGCCCTCAGCACGTGTTTTTAATAACTTAGGGCTTTAAAAAATATGCTATAACACCATTATCAAATCTAAAAATTTTTAATAATTTCTTAATATAATCAAATATCCTACTAAAGTTCATTAAACAAATGGTACATTTGCAAGCTCAAAGTCCAAAGATACATGAAAAGCCTTTTGAACAACTTTTATCTAAAAGAAGTCTTAGATCCTTAATTTTAAAAATCTTAGCCAGGCAGTAAGAGGATCAAAAAAGCTGAGGCCATCTTGGGCAACATACCTAGATCTTACCTCAAAATTTTAAAAAAAAAATGGTAGAAGTGGGGGTCTGGGATGTAGCTCAGTGGTAGAGCCTAGGTGTGAGGTTCTAAATTCAATCCTAGGTACATATGAATGTGTGCAAGTGCACATGCATGCGTACTCATACACACACACACACACACACACACACACACACACATTGAAATCCTGCTGAACTACAATCCACATTTTAACAAAATTCCCAGGTACTTCATCATAGTAATATAATCTGAAATGAAATGCACTGGCTTAACTTGCATCTGGCTAAACCTATTTCTCCCTTTCTTTCTTCATTTTTTGTTATACACTTAAAATAAATGAGCTTTGTAAAGGAATGGAAATTTCCCTCTGCTATTAAACTGCAGATACTCTGAATATTTCCTGGCATACAGAAAGCACTTATATATTCGTTAAATGAATAAATACATTTTAAGAACTAACACTATTCTCTGCCACCAGTCTAATCCCACTTAAGGATAAACTCCTTAAAACAATTATGTATCTGACTAACTTCAATTTTCTCCTATTCTCCCTCCAATTGGACTTCTGTCCCAGTCCCTAGCACTTCATTAGAACTGTTCTTGTTATAGTCACTAACACAATTAACATACAATAAAATCTCATGATACTTCTCAATCACATTACATGACCTAGCTGCTGCATCTAACACAATCACTCCTTGGAACACAATCTTCAGTTCGCCTTTCACCACACTGCTTCATCATCAATTTCCTCTGCTAGTTGTATTTCATGTCATGGACTTCTAAATAATAGAAAATGTTCAAGAGCCCACTCTTTAGACTTCTTCTCTACTAACATTCACTTTTTTGGCAGCCAAATCCAGTCTAATAACTTTAAATAACATGTAAACCTTGATGATGTCTAAACTATCTTTGCCCAAACCTTTCTCCCTTAACTACTTCATGAAGCGATCCAGCTATCTATGCCACTTATGTGCTTCCTGAACCCAGTAATATCAATTTCTTCTTGAAACTTCTTGAAACTTGATGACAGCACTTTCCTTCATTCCTACTGTCTTTCACATCATACATTTGATCCATCAGGACATTCCACTGGCTCTAACCTTGAAAGCACAATCACATTCCAGTTCCTTCTTCCTTCGGGCATTTGCTTAAATGTCACGAAACAAAGCTTTCCTTCACAACACTATTGAACTGCAAGCTCCAGCCCCTGCCTAGCACTCCTAGTCACCTTACTCTTTCTCAGCTTCACAGTACTTTTCACTGACATCATATATTCAGCTCAATTATGTCTTTATGAAACTGCAAATGTCGTGCTGGGGATTTAGCTCAGCGGCATAAGCACCTGCCTTGCAAGCCTGCAGTCGTGAGTTCGATCCCTAGTACCAATAAAAAAAAAAAAAAGAAAGAAACTGCAAATGTAAACTGTAAATCTTTTATTCTTGTGTTTACCCAGGGCCTAAAATAATGTCTAACATATATAGGGCACCCATTAAAACTTTTATGGGGAAAAAAAACTCAAAAAACTTTTTGGATAGTTATGCTCTTCCTATAAAAAGTCTTGATTTAGAAAAAAATTTTGGAAGTCATTTAAATTTATTCTAAAAGTTGGTGCTTTGACATCATTTGCTATAATGCAGGTTTCCTGAGGATGTGCCTTGCATGAACCAGTAAGTTTTCCTAACACTTACAATGCTACAAAATGTTAAATAACTTTTCTAAAAATGATTTCTTAATTATTAACTCTCCCAGTATTATGACATTGGGAACTTAAAATAGTGTTTCAATTCAGACAGTATTTTAATTAGCTCTCTCACAGAGAAAATAAAATACTCACTTGACTATGCCATATCCTAGACTGACTATGATAACCAGAATTCGAGCCAGAGAGCGCTTGACTGCTGAAAGCAGCTCTGCAAGGATCAAGGCCCCTTGAACTGAAAAAGAAAAAGGAGAAATGGTGCTATACTTTTAAACTCAGCAAAAGGCTCAATTCTAATGTCCAAACAAAGATCACCAACACTTCAGAATGAGCACTACTAAAAAAACACACTTCTGCAATTGTTAAAAGCATAAAAGCTGACACCACTTACAATCTCTCCTACATATATGATCTGGGTACACTCATTTTCCACCCCACCAATTCCAATTCTCAACTTCACTAAAACTTTAACACAATACCTTACTTTTATGGCATTCAGGGAGTTTCCTTACCATTTCTAAAAATCATGAAGAGTACAAAACATACACATACACCTATTCGTGCATGTGTATGGTTTTCAACTTCATATCTGGTATTTTGAAACCCTCTCAAAGATATGGAAAAGATCTAATTAGTGTAACTTAAAGTAGTAATCACTAGTACTCAAATGATCTGATGAGATGTAACTGAAGCTATTTCACTACAAAAGAATTTGTTATAGTCAGTTTTCCTTACTAGACCTTAAGTTTCTTCCTATTTTCATGGGTTTTTTAATTTTTTGTTTGTTTGGTTTCTGAAACAGGGTCTCACTATGAAGTTCAGGCTTCAATTTATGTAGCATCGGACTGGCCTCTAACTCAAGAGATCCTCCTGCCTCAGCCTCCCTAGTGCTGAGATTACAGATGTGTGCCACCACACCCAGCTGATATTATTGTGTTTTTATCAATTCCTAGATACATTAAGATCTTTAAAATCAAGGTTTGCACCACGCAGTGAAGGTGCATGCTTGTAATCCCAGCACTTGGGAAGTTGAGAAAGCAGGATAACCGTGAGTTCGAGGCCAGCCTGGGCTACCCAATGAATTCAAAAGCAGCCTGAACTACAAAGTGAGACTCTTGTCTCATCAATCAATCTAGCAATCAATCAATCATGGTTTTTATTTAAAATCAAAGGCATCACATAATCAAATTGACATTGTTTACGTTTTTCCTGAGATGCACAGAATAATGATGACATACATATCAATGGCAAATGAGATTTGATGACAGAAATAATCATTCCCCAAATGGTCACTACTTTTTCAAGTCTGGCAAGCATATTTCAGTGAACTTGCTCATATATTACTAAACCTCTAAGTTATGAAATTTAAAGTCACAATCTTAATTAGTTATTCTAATAACTAATTTGAAAATGTAAACCTATTAAATGGCTGCTCACCTTATGAAAAATTTCATACACCCCCACCAATGAACTCCTCATTTATAGCTTAAAAAACAAGGTTTAGAGAGTCATTAACTATGCCAAGGTCACAGTCTAATGAGAAATGTAGAACTTCAATGAACATTTTCTCCACTATTCAGGAACAATTGTTTAAAAAAAAGTTCTGCCAGAAAAATGCCAATATGTACTACATACCACATTCTCCTTCATAGCGGATATTCTGAAATTCTGCATAGAAGACAGCTTTCTCAAACATTCCCAAGAAGATGACAACACCAATCCAAAACTGAATTCTCAGGAGATCTCTCCAGTAGCAGGCAGACCATGCCAGCCACAGAACACCAAACAGGACATACACAATACACATCACCATGAAGAACTGTCACCCAATGGGGTAAGAAACAAAAAGGAGAATTAGAGCCAAGTGCCTATCTATATTTAGAATATAGTCTTAACACATTACAAAAAAACATGGTACATATTCCAACTTTTTACGTGACCAGTAATTATATCTTTGGAGTTATTAGCAAATAAAAAGAATTCTCTTGAGCAGAGGCAGACTACACAAGGACTCATCCATCCTCAAGAGTGACTGCTCCCCTGTATTAATAATTCCTTTACCTTACAACCCCAAATTGCCTAAGTGAAGACACAGTGGCAGAGGGAAAAAGGTATAACAGGGTAGGGCTGCACCCAGCAGTCATAAAACACAACATAGCGGGAAATGCTCAAAAGTAAAGAAAGAAGAGCAGCTATGAACAAGGCTGAAAACAGATTGAGGATATTTTCAGAGCTGTACACTTCTCTCACATTCACACAGTGAAGAGAAGGAAGCACGGCCATTTTGTAACTTTAATGGACTTAGAAACTACAGGGTTCCAGCAAGACATATCTTGTGTCAATGTGAAAAGTGAGAAGACCTCTGATGTACTTTCCAAGTCCAAAACCCAAACACTATTAACCTCCTCATTTTACAGGTTAAAAAACAAGGTTTAGCGGGCTACCAACTCTGCCGAGGTCAGTCTAATGAAAAGCCTGGAACTTCAAAGAACATTTTCTCAACTGTGGAGGAATAATTCTTTAAAAAGGATATTGCCAGAAAACAGAGAGAAGCTTTCAAGCTAAACTCATTTAATGGTGACATTAAAAACAAAGTCATGCCAGGCATGGTGTTATACGCCTGTAGTCCCAGTTCTCTTAAGGGCTGAGGCAAAGAGATCCCAAGTTTGCAGCCAGCCTACCATACACAGCGATGTCAAGGAATGCCAAGGTCAATATAGCAAGATTCTTGTCTCAAAAAAAAAAAAAAAAATCCCAACATATGTTTACTTACAATCATCAAAGGATAATCTTCCAGTGTGAGGTAGCCATAGGGACCTTTCACTTCAACAGTCACTGCCAAAACAGAGCCCTCAGAATTAATTTAATAAACCCAGAATTTTTTTAAATGCTCATATTTGGTGACTTAGTAACATTTTTGTTGAATCACATGCATTTCACCGCTTCAATCCTGGTGAATACCATGTTACATTTGTGCAGCCCTCTAAAAGTCATCAAATATTCTCATAGTCATCCTGTGTCCTCCACAGACTTTCACACCCACTCCAGTATGAAGTAAGGAAATCTTTCTCTCCTAACTCCTATCCAGTACGGACAATACATCCTCCACAAAACCCTCTTGACTGCCCTCTAGAAGAATCCTGCCTCCTCTAAATTTCACAGATGATTGCCCACAGTCCTCCATTCTACTACCTCAGCTACTGAAGGGTGCACATCTCTAAATCCCAATATATGCTTTTTTTTTTTTTGTACTGGGGATCCAACTCATGACCTCACATTTGCCAAGCAGGAGCTTATGCCGCTGAGCTAAATCCCCGGCCCCTCAATATATGCTTTTCCTTACAACATATCACTAATACACTTTATAGTATTTGATTTTTCACACTTTATAGTATTTGCTTTTTCATTTCATCACCATCTTTGTATGTTACCCCTCACCTGTATTTCCTTATTTTTTTCTGACTTTAATTTTAGTAATTTTGCTACATTAAGGTACCATTTTCAGAACCGTACAAATTCATTTGGACGTCCATGAATCATATGCCCTTCCTAAAAAATAAAGGGAAATACTATCTAGTTCCCTATTGTGCATCCAGGAGCCTAATTTCAAAATGAAAGAAACTAAAAGTTCAGATGAATACAAAGAACTATCAAACAAAATCAGAAGTCAACTTTCCCAAACTCACTGTTTTTCAAAAACTTCTAACAAGCTAAAAAAGCGATAGCAACATGCATCAAAAAGATTTGCCTTTCTGAAGCAACCTACTGGCTATTATAAGACTGTGCGTAACTAACAAAATTATTTTAAAATGGACTATTTTAAAACTATACTTCTCAAAAAATTTTTTGGGTAATTTCTAAATAAAAATCTGATTTACCTAAAACGTGATCTTCTCTAGACCGACATATGATAACTGCCACTTGATCAAAAATTTGCACTTAATGTTTATCACATTGAAAGGATGTAACATTATTGAAAGTAAAACAAGTCCTAATATTCAATAAAAGAAAAACATAATAGCCATCAAAAATTTCAGAGAACTGATTCTTAAATCTAAATATTTTGCTAACTTTGTTGTTAAGACTTATATCTAGATGTCCCCCAAAGCCCTGTGCAGTGGGACTTTTTCAAAGGTGGCTGGACCTAGTGTGTGATGCTGGGACTGATTCATGGTGCAATGCTAGGCTTAAGGGTGCTCCACCCTGGGTATGAATGCTATCCATCCTAAAAGCTGAGAGCCTATACAGAATATAAGGGGCAGAAAGAGGGCTGCCTTGTCACCTGTTGCTTACTGCCATCTGCCTGCCTGCTAGACTCTTTCTCCTCTGTGATAACCCTCTGTCATGTCATCCTGCCTTGGAGACAGTCCACTACAGACTGAAACCTCCACAAACAAAGCTACAATAAACTTTCCTCCTTTAACTCTGGCATCAAGTGTTTTGTTTCAGTAACAAGAAAAGTAATCAAAACAGCAGTGAATTATCTGTTTCACATTTTTTGTTTACTCTATGCCAGACTGTAGCAAAATATATCATATAGACCAATTCTAGCCACCTTTATTTTTATAAACAAAGTTTCATTGTAACACAGACATATTCATTCATTTATAGTTTGTCTATACCTGCTCCTGCACCACTATAGTGGAGCTGGGTAGCTGCAATAAAGAAGGAACTATCTGCCATTTAAGAAGAATCAAAAAAGTAGGGAATAATGGCAGAAGGGAAAGAAGGAAAGAGGGAGGGATGAGTGGGGAGGAAGGCAGAAAACATGGCAGAAAGCTAAGTAAGATGTTTTCTGCCATCTAATTGATTACCACCTAGCAGACAAAGGGAGTTGGGAAATACCAGAGAACTATTTCTGAGCCAGATTCTGCTTAAGTATGTACTTTCCAAGACATATTAGGAAGCTTTCAAAGTTCTGACTATGTAGTTCATGGTAGGGTGCTAGCTCAGTATGTCTAATGCTTAGGTTCCTCAGCACTGCACGTTTTAAAATTATGTGATATATTTTTAAAATATTTAGTCTAAACTGTACATAGTAACACATAGTAGTATTCTGACATAAGGTAACAAAAAACTGGAGACTTTTTTTGGCAAAAGAAATTAAACTCAGGACCTTGTGTTTGCTAGGCAGGTGCTATGCTGCTGAGCTATATGCCCAGCAACAAAAAATAAACTGGAAAACATTGTAAAGAATTGTATAAATCTTACTGCAAAATATAGACATTTTATTAGTACTGATGAGTCGCCAAATGTATTAATGAAGAGAACATAAAACTCTTTTAGAAAGATAATCCTCGGACTTTCAGATGATATAATTACCATCTTAGCTCCAAACCATAAGTGGATAAAACATAAAAAAGAAAAAGCATGCAGAGCTAAATCCATGTTCATGCTGAATTCTGGGCCCAAAAGCAGGCCACAGGCATTCTAAGTGTAGTTCTCAGTGGAGCACTAAAATTAGTGGGAGTCTACAAAAAAACTTAAGAAGACTAAAGTCAAGCTTGATATATGAAGAGACTGAAAGAAAATGGAGCATAGGTTCTTTTTCATTCTTTAAATTAAAAAATAAACGCCAGCAACTGCTCCCTGAGACTGCTACACCCATGAACAAACCATGGCCTTGGACAAGCAACAGCACACACAGATATTCAGAGGTCAGCGTACAGACATCTGCCAGACTGCCCACTGGCTTGCTGGTATCTGATATACCTTATTTCACTCCGGGACACAAGACGCATTTCAGAATTGGGAGTTAAACATTTAACAAAAGAATCAGAAAGAGAAGTTTAAAAGTGAGTCAAATAAAAGAAAAAACAGAAGTTAATAAAATAGGCAAAGAAATACCCAGGTGTGGTGGCTCACACCTGTAATCCCAGCACTCAGGGAGCTAAGGCAGGAGGATCATCGAGAGTTCAAGACCAGCCTGGGCTACAAAGTGAGCTCAAGGCCTGCCTGAACTGCATAGGGAGACCCTGTCTCAAAAAAAAAAAAAAAGCAGTCAAAGAAATGTTGGGAAATTAACAAAGAAAAGCTAATTCATCAGCATAAAAATACAACTAAAAATTCTAAAAACATTTAACAAGTTAAAAAGACAAAAGCAATATTAAAAATTATAAAATCTTGCTGGGTATGGTGGCACACACCTATAATCTCAGTACTCTGAAAGCTGAGGCAAAGAGGGAAGCTGTGAGCTCAAGACCAGCCTGAACTTCCAGTGTGACCCTGTGTCAAAAGACAAAGTAAAACAAGAAATTAAGAAAAAGAGGAAGAACTCTTAAGTGAAATGAATGATTTCTCAAAAAAAAAAAAAGATTCAAAGAAAACAAAAAGTAAATCAGAACACATTACTACTAAGGAAAATAAATGTTTAAAATCAGTCAGGGAAGGAGGATGGACAAAAAGAACATCAGGTCACAATAGTAAGACAGGTAAGTTCTACCATTCACTCAAAGATTGGAAAATTTTAACCTTACAAAAACTGCTTCAAAGAGTATTTTAAAAGGGGACATTCTCCAATTCATTGCATGACACTAGCATAACCAAAACCAGAGGAAGACAGAGTAAGAAAAAAAAAATTGGGGCCAATCTTACTTTGAACATTGGACAGTGACCCTAATCACATACTAACAGAATTCAGCAATAGGCATGTTGTTATTTAGAGAGGGAGGGGATGGTAATGCATAATTACCAAGATCAAGTACCAGGCATCCAAGAAATTTAATAATAGTTTTTTGTTTGTCTGTTTTGAGACAGTCTTATACCATGTAGTTCATAAATTCACTACCGGTATGTAACCCAGGCTGACTTCAAAGTCATGTCAATCCTCCTGTTTCAGCCTCCTAAGTGCTGGGGTTACAGGCATGTACCACCACACTGGGCTTTAAGAAAAATTTTAAATTAGAAGGCAATTAATATGGGGCTGGCGATTTAGCTCAGCGGCATAAGGCCCTGCCTTCATGAGTTCAATCCCCGGTACCGATAAAAAGGAAAAAGACAAAAAAAAAAAAAAAAAAAAGAAAAAGAAAAAAAAAAAGAAGGCAATTAATATAATGTGCCACATGAACATATTAAACAAAAAAGGCTAATTTTAATCAACAATATCAATTAACCTGATAAAACAGCATCACTTCTTTGTATTTTTTTTTAAAGGAGAGCCTAGGAATATGTAACTCAGTGATAGATTACTTGCCAAACATGTACAAAAAAGGAAAATATGTAGTAAGTTCAATAGAAAAGAACACTCTTAACCACATGAAGACTACTTTGACCAACTTATAGTAAACATCACACTTATAGCAAATATATGAATATTGCCAAAAGTCAGAAAAAGATAAAAACAGCCATCACTTCTGTTCAATATTTTACTTGAGACAAGAAGGTAGAGAAAAAAAATGCAAGGTAGAAAGAAGAAACAAAAACAGAAAATCACAGAAAATACAACCACAGAGGGAGTTCCACAAAACTCTAGGTACAAGTGAAGGCTCTACAAACTGTTCTCCACCAACAAAAGAACAGGTAAGAAAAATTCTTGAGATAACAAAAAAGTACCAATGTTAATGATTTTTGACTTGGTGACCAAATTTGTTTCTTCTGAGATAAGGGTTTGTTATGTAGTTTAGCCTGGCCTTTAACTCACTACGTAGCCCAGGCTGGTCTCAAACTGGCAGCAATCCTCCTCCCTCAGCTGAGTGCTGAGATTGCAGGCTGCCCCACCATACCAGGCCCTGACCAAGTTTTGAGGATACTAATACTAATTATTCAGAGAATACCTGATAATAATTAAAATTTTTAAAAGCAGGAGGAAGAAAAACATAATTTGGTACCTGCAATATTTCATAAGGAAGCATGTATGAAGTACCTGGTAATACTGAATGAAGATGTTAATTTTTTCCCTCTAATTTTGCTACTTCACAAAAACATTCTTACTAAATTATTCTTTCACCAAAAGCAATTTTATCCTATCTACCATATCTGACACAAGTAGAAAATAACACAAACTTAGCCAGGCATGGTGGCTCATGCCTGTAATTCCAGCACTCGAGAGGCTGAGGCAGAAGGATTGTTGAGAGTTCGAGACCAGCCTGGGCTACAAAGTGAGCTCAAGGCCAGCCTGAACTGCATAGCAAGACCCTGTCACAAAAGACCAAAAAAAAAAAAAAAAAAAAAAAAAAAAAATCACAAACTTTATGAAAACAATGAACTTACTGGTGAAAAGATTATGCAGTGGATTTTCTTTCAATGGCTCCTTTAAAGATGAAATGCCAACATGTACAATAAAAATGTATGGCGCATCTTGCCAGGTTTGCAGTGGCTCATGCATTGCCTGGAAGGGGAAGAAAGGTATGAAACTTTCAAGTTTTAAGAATTAAGAGTACACAATTCAACATGAAAACCTTGCTGCAGAATGTGCCTCAGAAACATGAAAGAGTCCACCACTTTCATTAAAAGGGAACAACAAATCAAGCTAGCCTATAGTGTACATAGTAACACACGAGATCATAAAATACTAAGACAGGACATTTTATATCCAGTCATATACACATGTCACATTTAATATATTTGTTTTTTACAAAGTAAATCTCAAGTAAAACTACTACATTGAATCCCTAAACCATGCTAGCTTGTGTTTTACAAAGTTTCCATGAAACTAAGGAATATTCAATTACCTAAAAACATTTGTGATGGTATCAGTGAATGCAAATGATATATATTAAATTTTGAGCCTGATTCCTTTTGCTCAATACCCTTTCTAAGATTATCACAATTCTGCTGACACAGGCTCCCACTTAACTAGAAAAGTTAACCACAGGGTTAGCCTATAATAGGGAGAGCGGCACTGCCTCCAGAGCCAGAGAAGCTGAGGCAACACCCTTCTAATCCCCGTCTTTGAGGCTTTCCACAAACACTAGTCTTCCCAGCACAAGACTAAGATACACGAATTAAAGGGAAAACTTCTTCCTTCCCTGTGTATGAAAGAATACACTGCTATTTAGACTTGCAACTAACATTGTTTTATCTTAGAATCTTTTATCCACAGAATCTGAGTAAGTTTCACTCACCAATTGAACCCCTCAATGTGGGTAACAGAGTTTACACATTTATAAGGTTTTTTTTGTACAACTAGTTTTTTCTTAAATGCTGAAAAATGTCCTACAACTCAAGAAAAAAATTGCTAAGAGTTCAAAATGTATTTTATGATAAAAATTCCAAGCATCAAATAAATTAGATTAAGTGATTCTTCCAGCTATACATTTACTAGGCTGCTGTATTAAGAATACAAATGCAGAGCTGGGCATCGTGGTGCAAGGTTGTAATTTCAGCATTTCAGAGGCTGAAGCAAAGGATCACAAAGAGTCTAAGGCCAACTTGGACTGCATGGTGAGTTCAAAAGCAGCCTGAACTACATAGGGAAACTGTCTAAAAAAAAAAAAATTACAAAACAGAGAGAAGGTGTGGTGCTATATGCCTATAATCCCAACACACTGGGAGGTCGAAGCAGAAAGATTCCAAATTCAAACAACTTAGACAGAATTCCAAAACTCTCTTCTAGTTATACTCTTATCATAGATAATTTTAGATAGAATTTTAAGTGTTCTTTAATGAGTTTCTTCTCATTCAAAAATATTTGTTGAAGAATAATTGCCAACACAATACAGGATTCACTATAGAGAATATAAAAAACACAAAGAAGAAAATAAAAATCACTCATAATGTCAACTATAGGCAACCATTAATTAACATGTTGGTGTACAGCCTCTGGTCTTACATTTCTTTGTAAATGCTAGCATAGTGAAAATAATTCAAAACTACCTGAACATTAAAATACGTATTCAGTGTCTCAAATGTCCAAATTCACTTACAGTTCGTTCTCCAGTAAAGGTAAGATTTGTTCCATTTTCCTTAGCCTTTAAACACGACAAAAAAGACAAGGAAATTAATTCAGAATAATTTCTTTTACTTTCAAAAATACAAAAGGAAAATAATTACCTCCTGTTTTTCTCCTAAAAGAGGCAGCCGATGCACTGACTCCCCAGAAAAGATCTATAAAACGAACACAAAACTAAGATGTATAAGCAGTAAAGGAAAAGTATACCTCAAAATACCTAGAAATGATTAAAGCAAAAACATAATATCATAATATTAAGATAGTAATAAGCATCAGCAGACAAGATTCCCAATTAACTACAAAGTGAACAACTTTTGCTGTGAGCTAAAAAGTATCAAAAGCAAACTGGCCACTCGATTTTTCTACCATATAAGCATGACGATATATATGAATGGCAAAAATCTAAGATTATGATTTATACATAAAATGGAAGACCTTAGAAAATCTCCTCTCATTCTACAGATGGGGAAAATAAGGCTTAAATTGTTAAAACTATAAAGACGGAAATGGATTTGAACCTGACCTCTGTCTGTTAAATCCATTATTCCTTCCATAATACATGCCATAGTTATAACAGGTCACTTTCCATAATCAAATCTAAGAAAGAATCACCAATCCTCCTATCTTTATGCATTGCTCAGAGAACCAACAGAAAACATACAAATGATTCAAAATTGCATTGCTTCTAGTTTTATTTTTCCACACTTCTTCTACCATTTTAAAGCTATTTTCTTTCGCCCCTAATTCCATAAAATCTAAGCTAGGACAAGAGCCAGACTTACAATGCAATTACTTTTCTTTGCTTAGCAATTACCAATTATTTTGAAAATCTTATCAACACCTTCTAGTGACTAACCAGAAAACTTAGCTTTCAAGAAACTCCTTGCCACTTCACAGCAAGTTACTAAAAATTTCAAAGTGTTTTTTTACTCTACACTGGAGAGTAAACTCAGGGCTTCACACACAGTGGGCAAGGACACTACTAAGCTATATCCCCAGCTTTTGCTTTCCTTCCGTTAATTTTATTTTGAGACAAGGTCTTGCTAAGTTTAAATTGCCCAGGCTGATCTCAAACTTGCAATCCTCCTACCTCAGGTTCCTGAAAAGCTGGGATTACAGACATATGCTACCATGTGTCGGTCCAAAGAAATCTTTAGATACAATAAAGACAAATTAACTATTTCAATACCTATAAAAATTTTTCCATCAGAAAACTGATACTAGATTCCATTACTGAGAGAACAGAATTTCATATCAGAAACTATATTAAATGATTATACATGTGTAAGTAATAAAAAAAAAATTTCCTTTCTCCAAGAAAGCTGTGAAATTCAACCCTAAGGGAGGGATACCCTTTCAACTTTAGATTTATAACAATAAAACATAAAGCTCTGACTCTTCTGGGAAGATGCTAATTACACATGACAAGAGAATTCAAAATTTGAAGTGTTAAATGACCATCAACAGATGAATAAATAAAATTAATGCATACATGTAATGGAATATAATTCACCTTAAAAGGAAATGAAATACAACATAGATTTACCTTGAAAACACTATGTAAAGTAAAATAACTAAATAAAAAATTGTATGATTCAATGTATATAAGGCATCCAGAACACTCAAGTGGATACAAGGGACTGGCAGCAAATGGGAGTGATTATTTATGGAATTCAATTTGGAGTGATGAAAGCTATGAAGATGGATGGTGGTTGTGGCTGCACAACAATGTGAATGTATTACTTAACTGTCACTGAATAATACATCAAATTACACATTAAAAAGCTGTACATATTTTACAACAGTAACAAAACCTGCAGTTGGCTTTTTACACGCAAAGGAAAGAAAGTACACTCTTCTAATAAGATAAATATGTAAGTGGCTGACTTTGCACTTATCAGAACAAGATTCCAACTCATTTCTGTTTAACTGACAGGGAAATCGATACAGGAGAAAATACAGGCTATTATATTTTTTAACCTCTTAAACTTTCCTCCAATCACTTTCAAAGGTTACCTGTGTTTTAAAGAGTTCACTGCAGTTTTGGAACAGTTTTGATGATGTCTGGTATTTTCCAGACAAGTCTCTTTTTTCTTTAAGTTTTTCTAAATATGTTTCTTCTCCTTCTGCCTGAGAAAAAAAGAAAAATATAAAATATTTAACTTACTTATCAAAAATAAGCTATGTAGACACAAGCAAACTGATCACTGGTGGTACAAATGTAATTCTGAGTCCATTTTTTTTTTGGTACTGGAAATCAAACTCATGACCTTATATTTGTTAAGCAGGCACTTGCACCAGTCAACTAAAGCCCCAGCTCTGAGTCTATTTTAAAAGTTAACAGCATCAAGTGAGGCATGGTTGCACATATCTATGATTGCAGCTACTCAGGATGCTGGGGTAGGAAGACTTCAAATTTGATGCCAGCCTAGGCAACACAACAAAATCCTATCTCAAAATAAAATGTTTGAAAAGGGGTAGAACAGAGTGAAAAAGGATAGAAATGTAGCTCAATGTTGTCTAGGTTCAATTACCAGCACCATAAAAACAGAATCAGAAAAAGATTATAATCATATCCAAAATCTAACATTAGTAAACTATAAATTGAAGAAGTCTTGTCTTTAGCTCATAAAGGGTAGTAATTTCAGCAACACTGGGAAACTGCCAGAGAACAGAAGGTTTTAATCACATGAAAATATATTAAAAGTTACCTATCATACTCACAAGCTTAAACACTGCATGGTTTCTCTTATACAAGAAATCTGGAGTATACATAAACTAAATCCTGAAATAAAAGACAGATAATAGGAAAATGGGGCAAATATTCTGAAAGTAAGAAGGGGAACATGAAATAGAGGTAAGGAGAAAGAAAGGACAAATAAAAACAAGTAAGATGGGTTATGTACATGTATCAACTCCCCAAGATGAATGTAATCATCATGAACTGCAAATATGTACTAATAAAAATAACCTAAATTACATCAACCAAAAGATATTTGTAGTTATAAATTAAGACAGAGTATAAAACTATTGTAGCCATTCATAGCCCCAAACCTAATTTCTTCACTTACCAGTTTTGTGGTTTTTCTAATACCCGTATCTCTGATCTTGCCCTCATTAAAAAGAAAAAAAGAAAAAAAAAAAAAACCTCCAGTACCATATCCACTTTCTGCTTGTCATCTCCACACTTTATCCTGTATCCAAAAGTTCCTACAGAGAGGATCTGCTAAGCACTTATCAAGTTTCAAATTGCATGAACCTCTTTTACTATATTCAATTAGCAAATAATTAAGAGAAAAAGATCAATGAAACCTCAAATCATATTTATTTCTAAACTCTTCAGTCATTTCATTCCCACCATATCAAGCTAATCCAATGTTTATAACAAAAGCAAGTAAAAAGTATCTATACTTCAAAAAAATACATGTAAAAACCTAAGCAGAAGGGGCTGGAGATTTAGCTCAGGAGCATAAGCGCCTGCCTTGCAAGTGTGTGGTCATGAATTCAATCCCCAGTACCGATAAAAAAAGAAAAAGACAAAAAAAAAAAAAAAAAAAACCCTAAGCAGAGAGTCAGAATGGTGACTTTGGGTTTTTTTTTTTAAGAGCAAATTATCTTTGTAAAGAAATTTCAATAGGAAAATCTTAGTGGGGGAAAAAAGGAAGAAATGATGCAAATGGCAAATATCAGGATGTAAACAGAATGAGAAAGCCTAAGAGCAATGGCAAAGTTATTATATATACTACAGCAACTCTCAAAGAATGGTCTTTCACAACGAGTAAAAGATCAAAACTATTTGCCTTGCAATGATGGCAGAAAAACAGTAAAATCATGCCCTTTACCAGGAACCAAGGCAGTGGCAAGAAACTATACTACTAGTTCTGTTCTTCAGTCATTAGCTCACAAGGCAAAAAAAAAAAAAAAAAAAAAAAAAGCTTTATAACTGAGTATCGTTGGTGAAATGGCAAAAATTAGTAATGCTATTAAATCTACATCTGTGACACTATGTCACTTTTAATAATCTACATGACAAAATGGGACTTTGCAACTATTTTGCTGTATAACTAAACCAGCTACTTTGTTTTATTTAATAGAATGACTCAATATAGTTATAAGACTTGGCTATTCTGAAATTGAGCTGTCACTTCAAGGAAGAGAACAAACACAGCACTACAGAAACCAATGATACAGCACTACACAAACCAATGATAAAATCTGAGCTTTCAAGCAAAAACTGGAATTTTAAAGAACTAGTACGAACTAAATGGCTCGTAACACTTAAGAAACTACTGATAGGAAGGAGAGTAGGAGGCAGGAGTTTTAAGTATAATTTAGATTTTAGTGTAAAATAAACTAATGTTTTAAAGATTTACATAATGATGTCAACCAATGTTTTCTAAATGATCAATGAATGATGTTATAAAATCATGCACAGGTAAAAGACTCATTCAAATTGAGACATGTCAGCATATTTTATATTATAGAATATTAAAAAGTCCATTAATTTGATTTCAGATTCCATAGTTCACCTACCTATAGCCATAACTCCCTGAACATATCTGAACATGTCTGATTCTCTTTTCTTTTCTTTTCTTTTTTTTTTTTTTTGTATCAGGGATTGAACTCACGACCTCATACTTTCCAGGCAGGCACTGTGCCACTGAGCTATATCCCTGGCTCTTTTGTCAGATTCTAAAGCTCAACTTTTAAGAGATTCTCATTTATTAGGGCCAGAAATATAGCTCAGCAGCAAAAGTGCCTACCTGGCAAGGGCAAGGTCCTGAGTTCAAGTCCCAATACAAGAAAAAAAAAAATAAAAATACCTAAATAGAAATTTCCATTATTGAATTTTGATTTAGAAACAAAGAACATCTCCAATTATCTGAAAAGGTCATTGAAATACCATCTCTTTTTCTAACTATATAACTGTGTGAAATCAAATTTTTAACATATACTTTAACTAAAATAATGGATCACAACAGGCTGAATAAAAATTATTTACTACAAGAACCTAACTGTTTTGTTATGCCAGATTTTAATTAAAGAGATCTACAAAAAGCAAAACAATGCTACTTTGATTTCTTTTGAACAAATTATTTTCATTTAAATGTATTTATGTTAACATGCAGTACTTATTAGTGCTTTTAAATATTTTTTTATTTTCTCAGCTTTTATTTCTAAAAGAGAAACCTATATGAACAAACGCTTTTTGTGAATCCAAAGTAATTTTTAACAATGTAAGAATTATGCTAAGTGTTGTGACACACACATGTAATCCCAGCATGGAGGCTGAGGCAGCAGGATCACATGTTCCAGGCCAGCCTGGGTTACACAGTGAGTTCAAGGTCAGCCTCAAATACATAGTGAGACCCTGCCTCAAAAAAAAAAAAAAAAAGGGAAAAAAAAAAAAAAAAAAAAAAAAAGAGTTCTGAAATCAAAAGTTTCAGAATTAGTGACACAGACTACAAATTGAGATGCATAGGTTATTGTTTCACTTTGCTCTTCTAACTACACAATACCTGTCATGGTTTATATCAGTGGCCCCCAAGCCTTATGAATTATGGATTGGACCAAATCTAGCATTTGTGATCGGTTCACTGTCTAGCACTTGGATTGGTGGTGCAAGCGGTTCACCCACCCAGGGGTGGAGCCAAGATATGATGTAACGGCAGGAAGAAGGTGTGTGTCTCTCTCTTGTCTTGTCGTATGCACCTGGCAGTTTGCAGCTGCCACCCTGCCTTGGAACCGAGTATGGACTGAAACCTCCAAGAACTGTAAGAAATAAACCTTTCCTTCTTCATTTTGGGTGTTGGGTATTTTGTCCCAGCAAAGAGTAAAACATAACTAACATAATACCCTTTCCTCTACAAAGAGGTTGGGACCAGACAACCTATAAGATCCAAGCAAAGTCTGCAGGGGTTTTTGCTGTTGTTTTAATTTTTGAGACAGTCTCACTATGTAATTCTAGTTGCTCTTAAAATCACTTCATAGTATGGGCTGACCTCAAACTCAACCAAACCTCCTGCCTCAGCCTCCTTAGTTCTGGGACTATAGGCACACACTGCCAGGCCCAGCAAGTCTGTAGTGTTACATTCCTTACCTTAAAGTTGTTGATTTCATTAAAACAGTCAGCACTTTTTAGAAACCAGGTTATATTCAAAGACTGATCACAAGGTTCTCCATCAACTACAAAAGAAATCATTATGAATAAAAGATTATCAAAACATTCGTCCTTAGAAGCATTACCCTATTAGTCTATATCCTATTTTCTAACCTGAGATATTCAAAAGCACTCCTTTCTCCAAACATTAAGGAAATAAAGCAATATTTTTCAGATAAAAGTATTGTTGTTCATGGAGGAAAAACAGTACTTTATCCTTTTGAAACTTTAGTTCTATTTCTGTCTTAAAACCTCAAATTCTAGATCTCTATTAAGAAAAGCCTTGAAGTAGTAAGTCAGTCTAAATTAAAAGCCGTCTTCCATTATTCAAACACTTACTGAGCAGAACACAAACATACAAAGATACAATAGCACAGAGCTGGACAAAAGAGGAATGAGAAAGGAATAAATTATTAAAGTCCTTTTAAAAGGCTACATTACAGTTGAAAAGCCACAGACTAAGAACATCAGAGACGTCACTTGGTAAAATTCACAACGTTAAAACTGTGGTACAAATAATAGTTCCACTGAGGAAAAAAATCTGTAGTTTGAATCTTAAATGACATCAAGATGGAGCAACAAACAAACAAAAAAAAAAACATGGCTAAGGCAATAACAAAACCAAAAACAAAGAAAACCAGACTTTTTTCAAAATTCACCATAAGAAAAGCCTTATGCAATTGTAAAAGTCTCATATAACTCATTAAAGTATAGATTAGAATACAACTTTCTAACAGATTATGGCACTAATGTAGGGCATGGAGTGTAGCTCAGTGGTAGAAGCTTGCCTAACGTGTGTGGCCCCAAATTCAATCCCTTGCACTAGAAAAAATTTTAAAAAGACATTAGTTTGAAGACTTGAAAATGTAAGTCTGACGAGCTAGGGATTTAGCTCAGTGCCATAAATACCTGCTTGGCAAGCACAAGGTCCGCGAGTTTGATACCTCGTTCCACAAAAAAAAAAAAAAAAGAAAGAAAGAAAATATAAGTCTAACTATATGACTGATTTGTTCTCTTAGCTGGAGGAAATTAGAATTCACTTTATCACCTTCCAGAGGGAGAACCACTGGCAGCTCCTGAGATCCGCGCCATGTTGGAACTTAGGATGCTGGGAAGCCAAGCAAGCAGCTCCCCTCCCTGGTAAGTGGCTGCCGTGTGGCAGACTACAGCCCCTCCAGGGGGAGTGTCTTCTGAGATCCACACCATGGTGGAATTTATGAAGCTGGGAAACCAAGCAACGAGCCTGCCTACCTGCTAAGCAATAGTGAACCTAGTGGTGCAGTCAAACATCCCACTTCTCCTGTCCCCCTCCCCCCCACCCGTTAGCAAATGGGAACCAGAGATCTGAGCATCTCCTGGGAGGTTGACCATCCCAAATAAGGGGGATTTCCTTCTACCATCTCTTTGAAGGCAAATATTTTTATTACTGTTTTGCTCTATTCTGATTAATGGTACTGCTCTATTCAATATTCTGTTTTGATAAGTGCTATAATGTTCTGTATTTCATTTTATTTTGATATATGAGTGAAAGAACAACTATTGTAAAGATAATGAAATATACTGTGATACCTATTACTGTTAAAAAATAAAATAAAATAACAAACAAAAAAAGAATTCACTTTATCATCCATGCCAAATATAGAAGGGAGAACATATTAAAGTCTCCCTACTTAATGCAAATGTAACAAAAATAAACCTGACTGCACTTAAAGATCTATTCAGGAGTTCACAGCAAAAGCAGCAATCTAATTACAAGCATCCCCTTTTCCTGTTTTAAATTGATTTTCAAATTATTTTTATTTATTTTGGCTTTTTGAGATAATTCACGTTGGCCTTGAACTCATAGCAATTCTCCTGACTCAGCCTCCTGAGTACTACGATTACAAGGATATGCTACTAGGTCCAGCTTTCAAACTAATTTTTAAATGACTAACATGTTTTCACAGGGCTGTACCAGAATATGCAAATATCTGACCTGCTGAACAAAAAATTCTGACCTGCTTAGCAGAATTTATGGAGACTATATACAAGATATTGCAATTTGATTATGTACTATTTAAATCAAACTATAGAGATACAAAGTTAATTAGACATCAATATCATCCCCTTAGCAAAAGAGACGCAAAAGAATTTAGCTGCAAAAATATTGTTTATGTTAAAAGATAACTAAGATGAGCTGAGGATTTACCTCTGTGGCATAAGCACCTGCCTTGCAAGCGCGCGGTGGTGAGTTCAATCCCCGGTACCAATTTAAAAAAAAAAAAAAAACCAAGACAAACTTTAGGACTTTGAATAAAAGTCCTTAAGAGACAATGCTCCTGCCCATACCCACAAGCTATACACCATACCCACAAAAGCATACAATCAGATAGAACAGGTAAATATAAAAGCACGTAAGTAACAAAGATAAAAGTGTAAACTTTACGGAGCCTCAAATCCTCCAAAAACAATAAAATGTGGACACTTCAAAATACAGTTTGTATAACCTTGAAAAATACCAATAAATCAAAACACAGGTTAGAAAAAAACTGTCCATAATAAACAGGAAAGAACAGGCTATTGGGCTATTCCAAGAGACAAATTCTGCTATCACCAAAAACTACTCTTACCCAGTAAACAAAATTTCGTAAGAAAGATCAGTGTGTCACAGTAGGCTTGATTTAAATCAAATTTTAATCATCTGTCGGGTTATATTTTCATGGATATAGAAATTACCTGCTCCTTAAACCTCATTACAAATGTAAGATTAAGAAAAAAAGGAAAATTTTCTATCACTTCCCTGGTATTTAAAATAAGAGTACCCAACCAGGCACTGTGGTGCATACCAATAATCCCAGCTTTTAAGAGGCTGAGGGAGGAAGACACAGCAAGTTGTAAACCAGCCTGAACTACATAAGTAAGACTCTTCAAAGGAAAAAAACCGTGAGGATCCAGCCCACAGCAAGTATTTCACAACTATTTATTAAACAATTAAAAGAATAAATTCCTCCAAGTATGACTTACAACTGTGCACTTTCATGGAGGTATGTTTAGAAGTACACATGAATGATCTGGACTTTTTTTTTTTTTGGTCTTTTTGGGACAGGGTCTCACCATGCAATTCAGGCTAGCCTTGGGCTCACTTTGTAGCCCAGGTTGGTCTCAAGCTCACAAGGATCCTCCTGCCTCAGCTGCCCGAGTGCTGGGATGACAGGAGTGCATCACCATACCTGGCTGACCTGGATTTTCATGCTTCATCTCAACATAGAGCTTCCCATAGCCATTTATTCCCTAAAATAAAGCTGGTTTTAAAACTAGAAGCTTTTTACAACAATAAACAATGGGATACCAGATTGTTCCACTAGATAAACTGTTTTTTTTCCTATATAACCCCTATTTCCTAATAATATCCCTGAATTTCAATTTGATAAAATACTCTTTCGGTAAATAAAAGATCTACTGAATATATTTGCTCTGACCCAATGGTCTAACTACCTTAGGTCATGTTTTCTGTAAGCGCCTAACAACCATGAAGAATAAAATCAGTGGTACCTATTACAACTCAGAACATATTAAAACATCAGTATAGTAATCGACCAAGGCACTAAATGTAACTCACCTGTAAACTGACTGAACATATATTTAATATATATATAAATATGGTGTATGTGTATATAGAGCCTGCTAAAAAAGTTTATATACACTCCAGCAAAAGAATAGTACAATGTTTTTTCCAACAGATGGTGTTATCTCCATCAGGGGAACCCTAGAGGAGGTCATATATCAAAGAAAACTCACTACACTGCCAAGCCTTAGAGAAGAAATTCGAAGTGCATGTGCAGCAATCCTGATGGCCAAGGCTACCCAAGTATCAGTTTGCCATACTAGTAAATGTCTAAAAGCTAATGGCCTCCACGCTGACACCTCTTTGTAACTGTAGAGGCCAAAGGTAACTTCAATTACTCTCACAAGGTCTCAATAAATTTACTATTAAAATATTTATGCAAGTTTTTCTTTTCCTGATGTATATATATTTTTTTTGGTGGACTCTGTAGGTTATGGCTCTGTATGTTTTTGTCCCCACCAAAATCTCATGCTATTATAGGTGATTTTTCAGATGGTTAGATCTAGAGTAGGTAACACTGGAATTGATTCATGGTGCAATGCTAGGGTCGTCAAGGTCACTGGGAAAAGAGTAAGTAGCCCTAAGTAGCTTGGATAAGATGTAAGGGACAGAAAAAGTTGTGGTCATCCATTGTTTCCTTGCTACCTTCTGCCTGCCACAGACTGTTTCTTCTCTGTGGAGTTAATTAATTATGGATTGAAAACCTCTGCAAACTGTGAACTAAACACACGTTTCCTTCTTTAACTTTGGGTGGTGGGTATTCGTCCCAGCAATGAGAAAAATAACTCACTAATAACTTATTAAAGTAATTCATTAATTACTTTGACACTATATATGTACACACACTATGTAATATTATATATTCAACATACATATCCAATATAGTATACAAAATACTTGTTTTATGTACAGCATATACAATGTATACAAAATTAAATATAGTGTAAATTAACTATAGTGTGTACATATATAATGGACAGTAAACGAAAAATAAAGGTTCACACAAGTAACTATATGTTTAATGAAAGGGTCTTAAGTCTAATAAATGCTTATACCTAGATCATGCTGGACATTTCAGAACTTAAAAATGTGTGGCAAGTAGGTTATCTGAGGTAGTAAACAGGTAATTAAGAAGTTTATAACTTTAAAAAACTCGAATAAACACTATGAAAATTCAAAAACTCACATTTCAAGAAGATAGTGGTGTTTCTGAAGAGGATCTTTCCAAAACTAAAATAATTTTTCCCCTGCAAAGACAAAGAAAAGGAAGATAATTAACATCAGAAGGCTTCAATTGTAAGACAAAATACTACCACCTAAATTTATAAAATACCTAAATTGGTTTTCTAACTAAAACACGAACATCTCTCCTTTTAGCGAAATTCCATCACATCCAAACTCCAAGATTTGCTCAATATAAAGTCATTTTCATAAATAATTATTTTGAGTATCACTTTGTCTAAAAAGACCACTGTTAACCCTTGTAGTTACAAACAAAAATTTTAAAATGAAAACCTAAAAGATTTTCAAGCTAATGCTTGCCATATAAATTTTCAATCAGTGAGCTGAGGGAATGAAACAAAAATACCAACGTGATAGCTTTTTTTTTTTTTTTTTTTTTTAGCATTTTCTGCCTGCATCTGTTTTTTGTCCTTCACAGGAATATATCTTACTCAAATGAGTTTTTAAAAGTGAGAGAGGCAAATGAAGCTTTACATTACACAACTGTTTCTTCCATGTTAATCATTCCTGTGTTAAAACACAGTTTCCCTACGCTTCCTAATGGCCACACAATCTTAAAGTAACCATTTCAAAGTTTAACCGAAATCAAACCATCTCGAAAGTAAAAGTACGCAGAAACAAATGAAAGTGCGGAAGAAAAAAGAAAGAAAGAAGCCGTTTACATATCTCCCCATCCAACCCAGGGTCATCGGATTGTGAAACTTAAAAGACAGGGGGCTGGGGATTTAGCTCAGCGGCATAAGCACCTGCCTTGCAAGCAGGCAGTCGTGAGTTCGATCCCTGGAACCGCTAAAAAGGAAAAAGACAAAAAAAAAAAAAAAAAAAGAAAGAAAGAAACTTAAAAGACACGCTACTATCTTTATGTGTATATCGAGGTCTAAACCACTCCATCTGTACTCTCAAGTCAGGCACTGCAAGTTCTATCACTTGCCCGATGAAAAACCGTTCCACAGCTCCTTTCTGCAGCTGGGAGGTGGGTCTCAGTCCGTTTGCACGCACACCGTCCCGGAATCCCACCCTCTAGAAGTGGACATTTCAGAACATTCATGGACCGCCTGGACTGCCGTAGTCTCACTTCCCACTTCTCGAGACTCGGTCGCTACTGTAATACTCACAGACGGCATTGGAATGTGCCACTTAGACCGGTCGGCAGCAGACACGGTTGCCGGTCCCGCATCAAAAAGTGACAATGGGAAAGGTTCAGCCCCCAAAAGAAGAATGACAGGCAACAGCTGAAGCCACGCAGCCGACGCCATCTTCACAGCCTTTGAGTACCCACAGAAACCGTTTCACCTCCTTCCGGTTTGTCTTGCCCGCTTCCGGCCCTGCGCAGAGGGCGGATCATCCGGGTCCTCAAACGTCTGGAGGCTTGTTTTGTACCCCTTCCACGATACTCCGAACTCCACGTGAGACTTTCAACTTACTGCGCAGGCGTCGTTCTGTCAACTTGGTAAGCTAGTTTAGGATGGTCCGTAGAAGCGGGTCCGGCCTCGTTTCTCTTCTGCCTCCTGTCCCTTAAAAGGCTTGGGGACCAGGGTGCCACTCGGTGCAACGTTTGCCTCTCTCCTCCTCCGGCTCGCCCCAACCCTTCACCCCTTCGTCAAAGACGGACACCCAGGGTCAGAAGTCTAGAGAAGCAGTGATTCTAGCTGCATGGTGGCTTCTAGCAATGAGGTCTCTGGTTTTGGAGCTGTTTAAAGCAGAAGCCAGAATTTGGCAGTGCAGAAGTAGAAACGACTGCTAAATTGGACAGTGTAACAGATAAGCTTTAAAGACCCCTTCCACCCTGAAGAGTAGAAAGCTACAGAAGAGTTGGCCCGCGATAGCTCCTCTAGAAATCCCCCCGGCCGGCACTTCCCACCCAAGACTACACACAGCTGTAGTGGCGTGGCCCGCGGAAATGGACCTGCAGCTTCGCTCCAGTCAAAGAGGCAGCCTTGCTGCTTTCTGAGCTCATCTCTCACCTTTTACCTTCCAGGGGTCATCAGTTCTGCGCCTACTCTGCTCCAGAGGTTCCCAATAAAAGCACAGTCCACACCACCCACCTATAATCGAGAAAAATTTACCTATGATAATTGTAGAAACACTAGGAAGAAAAAAAAAAAAAGCAGGCGTAAGATTTGTTACTCTATATGGAAGCGGAAAGGACTCTGTTTCCCGGAAATTTGGCAGAGATGAAATGCTGGTCATAACTTAGGAAGACCGCTGCGTGAGTTTTTAAAAAGATTGCTGGAGGCCTTGTCCTGCGAGCTGGAAGCCAGTATGAGTGACAGGGAAGCCACGGAAACATCTGGGAAAGAGGAAATCAGGTAAAGAACAAAGTGCTGGGCCCCAAATGATTCCAGGGAACGGGGTTGAAAGCAACTTTCTGCCTTGAGTTTCATTGATTTTTCTCCCTTTCCCCATAGTGCTGGGGATAGAACCCAGGGGTGCTATATCACTTGGGTTACACCCCCATCTCATAGAAATGATCTTGTTGGCCTAGAGTTTAGGAGGTTTGTGCCTCGGCCTCCGAAATAGCTGGAATTAAACCTGTGCTACCAACCTGGCTTACTGAGGTGTGTGGTTTGTTTTTTGTTTCGGGTTTTTTTTTGTTTGTTTGTTTTTTGTACCAGTAATCGAACTCAGGACCTCATGCTTGCCAGGCAGGCGCTTATGCCGCTGAGCTAAATCCTCGGCCAGAGGTCCATTCGGTTCCTTTTGTTTTATTTTGTTTTTTTCTTTTTGAGACAGGGATTGCTGTATAGTCCAGGCTGGCCTCCACTGCCTCCTTCGTGCTAGGATTGCAAGTGTTTGCCACCTTGCCTGGGAAGTTGTTTGGTTTTTGGTTTTGGGTGTTATTGTCATTTTTTTTTTCATTGCGTTTCTTATTTGAATATTTGATATTTGTGTGTCTTATCATTTTTACTCAATTCTGAATAGAGCAGCTAGTATTAATAGCTATCCCGTAAAATACTTTTAGGATGGTAAGTAACACTAACAGTGGAAACGTTGTGACTGTGCCACTAACACACGAATTTCTAGCATGTTACTTTCCATGTTTAGCTAATTAATTTCAGAACTCATTCTTCAAAACTAGAAAGAGGAGACTGTAAGATTCTCTAATCTTTGCACACTTGATTAAAAGAAACTGGCAAAAAACTGAGCTCAATGAAGTGTTAATTACTTTCATGATCAAGTTAGGATAACCAACTGTATCTGGGCTTGTTTTCTCATGTTAAAAATTGTATTCAATTATAGCTTCCTACAAAATAATGAACATGCAGACTACAGCTGTTTTCAGTCACATCTCTATGTGAAAGCCAATATGGTTTTTTATTTTCCATATAGACAATAGTTGTTTTTGTTATATGGAGGTTTATTTAAATACATATATTCACGGAGCAGTGTACACCTTGTTTGAGTTTTATTCCAGAAGCATTGTTAAAAACTTGCCTTTAAAGAACATTATCAGCATTATCTAAAAGAAGCAAAAGAGGGCTAGGGATTTAGCTCAGCGGCATAAGCACCTGCCTTGCAAGCGCGTGATCCTGAGTTCAATCCCCGGTACCGATAAAAAGAAAAAATATAAAAGATCTTCTGCATTAGTTTCTACTCTTGTTCTAGCACCTTGCACATACCTCTCAGAGTATTCATCAGCTTGTATTGTCTAGTTGCTGGTTAGGCTCCTGCAAAAAGCTTGGACACAACTGTTTATTTCTTGTGCAGAGCCAAACACCCAGTGAACGAATATTCTGAAAAATAGTTTTCTGGAATTATTGCTGAAAATAGGGCTTTGGTTTAGCTTTGTTTGGGGGTTTTGCCTTGTTCTTTTGCTCTTTGAGATATAACTGTTGCAGTCATTTTTAAAGAACACTTCTTCATAAGGAACAGTACTCTTTCTACTGCTTTTGAAGTAATCCTAGAATTTGATATTTGCTGACTCGAGTTTTTTACAAAAGATTACTATTCTGCAGCATAAGTGCTGTTATATTACATGATATTATTGTGTTATGTCAGTGACACAATTCTCCATTGCAAAATATACTCCAAAGACTTACTTTGTATCAGTAAAATTGGGTTCACAAACCCTGTGTAAAATATGTTTCTTAAAATGTCTTTATTTAGTGTTGAAGATGAAGCTGTGGATAGAAACATTTTCAGAGACTGCAGCAAAATTGCTTTCTACAGGTATGGAAAATAAATATCAAATGGATCAAAATATTTCTGGACTGTATTTAAAAATTAGTGGTATTGAATTTTTGAAAACTAGGTAGACTTTCTAAATAAAAGGTCAATTAGGAAATTTAATGATTAAATAATTCATCAGATACAAGACTCACCTTTTAACTTTATATACTCACTACTGTATGATTTAAATTTTTAAAATGTATTATATTTAAGTACCAAAATTTTTTGAGCTAATTTTTTATTTCATATCTTTGAATAGATAATAATTTTACATAGTTCAAAAATAATATAAAGAGAAGTAAATTGACAAGGTTAATCTCATCTTATCCCTTTCAATTCTCATCTTGTCCCTGTGAGGAACAAGTGCTAACTTATTTATTCCCCTAGCATTTCTTTTGTAAGTACATATATTTTTATATCACTCCCTGTCTTATACCAAATAGCCTTCTGTATACACTGTTCTATTCATGAGAGGTTTTTTTAGAGTATAATCTATGCCCAGTTTATATTTATTGTAGTAAATTTTAATGACTCTCACGTAATAATAGTCTATTGGATGCTGCTAACAGTGACAAATAGTTCTCATACATGTATATATTCCATATCTACAGGCGTCAGAAACAGCAGCCCTCCAAGAATTCCACCTATCGGGCATTGTTGGACTCAGTCACGATAGGCAGAGAGAGCACCAGTTTCCAAATCATTAATGAAGCAACAAAGGTAAGATAGAAATATCTTCTAAAGAGAGTAATTTTTTTCTGTATTAATTTGAGTTGCATGATGTAAGTTTAATAGCTAATAAAACTTTATATAGCTCAATACAAATTTTGGTGAGAAGAGATGTCATCTTTTCAAATCTATATTATAGCAATTTAATAATAATATGATAATAACATAAAAAGTGTCCATGTGTCAGATGTGTTTCTAGTTGATTTGCAGTGTTAATTTCCTTTTAATTAGCCTTCATAGTACACCAAGGGGTACATTGTATTATTCTCAATTACCAGATAGGGAAAGTGAAATCTGGAAAGTCACTTGCCAAAGTCACACAACCAGTAACCAGAATACCCTCCTGAATCTCTCAGACTCCATCAAACACCCATGCACTTTTCACCATTACAACATACCATTGTACATGCAGCATGGATAAGAAACAGGTTTCCTAACTATTTAGACTTCACAGTGTGGGTGGTAAAAGAACAGATAAATGGACTGTGCAGTAGAGAACATAAATCACAAGTATTCCGTCTCCCAAGCTGCTTTACTATAAGATTACTATAGCTGTTATATGCCAAAAAGGTTACAGAACCATGTCTTAAGTAGTTTTTCTCACCTGTCAGTTCTTCATGCTACTTCAGATGTGCCACAGAGATGGGCCAATCATAAAAGAAATGCTGTGGGCTATGCTAAGAAACATGACTGTCTGATCTTCACATTCTCACCCATCTTCTAAAGGCATTTAAGCATGTGGGGCCCCTCAAAGCAATATGAATTAACTGGTAATTTTTGCAATTATGGCTGTATAGTCTGGGCTCCCTAACAGTTTAGACAATAACTCACCCAACTCACTAACACATCTCAGTTCTGAGGCCCTGACTCACCTGAGATCTGTGGCTATCTCATCAGGGAATTCTCCATAATATTTGGAAGACCTTTAATTTAGAATATTCAGGGTCAAAAGAAATACTTCACTCTGACAAATGCAATGAGCCCACCAGAGGCTTTTTAGGAGACTTTAATCCTGCCACCAGATGTCAGAAACCTTCTTGTCTTATTTTTCCAGGCATTTTCCTGTTTCCCTTCTTGGTTCCATGGTACCTGTCTCCAGAGAGTTATAGTGTTTGTGATCAGGACAAGAATTTTCATCTATCCTTGGAGAGGCTTAATATATTCAGTCTCCAGAGTGATCGCATCTCATGAAGACACATAGAAGCAGAGTAAATGAGGCAGAATTATTCTGACTATCAGTGATGAGACAAAATGGAAATTCTCAACACAACTGAGTATCAGTGCAGTTATGGTAGACTCCAGTGTACCCTTTCACATGACTGTATATCCCTTTCTTTCTGTTTGTTTCCTGATTGTGTGAAAGACAGTGTGGTTTAGATCACGTATAGCACCGAAGCCCTGGAGCTTTACAGGGGGAATAACTTGTACTATGGGAAGATTCAAAGGATGTTAACACAAGGTACTATCTGACTCAGAAATTATCTGGAGTGTTAGCAACATAGTTCCCAAAATTGAGAACTTTGTGGACCCCTTAGAACAAACCCTGTGTCCAAATCTTGCTGGAGGACACAGTCTGTAGTAGCTAAATCTTGGAAACGGGCCAAATGCCCATTAACTAAAAAATGGATAAAGAAGATGTGGGGTTTTTTTCTATAATGGAGTACGACTCTGCTGCAAAGGATAAGCTTATGACATTTCTAGCTAAATGGATACACTTTGAGGCCATTCTCTTCTGTGAATTAAATCAGACACATATAAATACATTGTTTCTCTGATGTGCAAAACAAAGCATAAACAAGGACTCAAGTGTATAATAGATATTGTGAAATAAAAAGAAAATGTTCAAATGGGAAGAGGAACTAGGTAAAAGAGAGGGGGAAACAAAGGAAGGGAAAAGAAAAAAAATGAGAAAAGAGAAAAAAATATTGGCCAGGGATATAGCTCAGCAGCACAGCAACTGCCTGCCAAGTACAAGGTCATGAGTTTGATTCCTAGTACAAAAATTAACAAGTAAATAAATAAAAAAATGAATTTTCTAGAACTAAAGTAAGATCTGCCAATCAAGGAGTTGATGGAGTTATAATTTTCCTTAATACCTATAAATAGATATTCCAGGATTGTTCTGTTAACTTAATTATAGTCTCTACTAGTTATGATTCCCAGGTCTATATAAGTTTTAGTAGAGTTACTATCAATCTTCTACTTGAATACATAAACCAAACTGTCTCTACTACAGTATTTTTACAAATTATCTCATATTTTTACCTATGTGGTCATATAAAAACTAGACTTATGGATGACAAGCTGCCAGATTTTAATTATCTTTATTGAGTGTGGGAGCTAAGATAGGAAAAGAGAATCTGTACTCTATTTCCTGGACCATGACGGATGTGCTTCTGAGTAAAAGTATACAAAAAAACAAGTAGAGACTTAGACTACTAAAAAGAACCTCCAAATTGTATTCCTGTCTCTGAGAATTTGTCTCGGCTTCTCTCTATACATATAATTTTACGCATTTTAAATATTTCTAAAGGATTAAAACACTGCTATGTCACCTCATTTAAGATGGCCATTTAAAATTTGTAGATATGTTTGTTCACTTGTTTTACATAAGTACATATGCTTATATTTGAGTGAAACTATCCTACTACCCAAGAATTAATACTAAATTCTCAATCTTAGCAACCCAGCTTTCATAACTTACCTTCTTTATATATTTTTCCATAGTCATTTCCACACATCACTAATTTGAGGAAGAGATTTGTCAGTTTATTTTTTCATAAATATCTAAACAATTCCATAGCAAATACTAGGAATAAATAGAAACTCTTAGTGTTTTACATAGAATTTTTGAAGGAGCAGGTTTGTGAAGATAGAATTGAGCAGTAACTATCAGCTAAGAAGCTTCAAGGAAGTAGTTTCTAAACTCATCTGCAAAGCCTGAAGGTTTCTCCATGCAGGGAAGAGATGGGTCTTAAAGATGGGACCTCAGAGTCTCTCCCTATTGTCCTCATCCAAGTAACTCTACTTAACAAACTTTTTTGCAATGTGCTGAGATACATATATATAGAGAGGGAGATAGGTATAGATATATAGATGTCTATATATATGTGTATATATATCTATAATTTGTAGCTATATCTCTCTTTTTAAAGTTTTTTGAGACAGTCTCACTGTGTAGTCCAATCTTGCCTTGAACTGATTGTGAAACTCAGGCTGGCTTCAAACTCATATCTCCTGAATGCTAGGATTACAGGAATGTGCCATGACTCCCAGATTTAAATGTGATGATATTTTTAAAAATTAAGCTAATTGAAAGTACAGCATTAGCTGAGCATGGTGGCCCATACCTACAATCTTAGCACTCACAAGGTTGAGGCAGGAGAATCACTGTACATTGAAGGACAGCCTGCACTACATAGCAAGACATTGTCTCAAAAAAATAAATAGAGGAAAGAAAAAAAAGAAAATACAGCATTAACCAGATCAAGGAGCACATGCATAAAGTCTAAGGGAATTATGTACTCAGAACAGTGTAACCTACAAAATGTATGTTATTTTTCTTTTTTTTTCTCAAAGCACTTAGATTAAAATGTTATTTTTCTTTTAAGACAAAAGATATTAATATATGAGTTGTTTTTTCTAAACTACAGATTCAGTATTCAAGCTTAATTGCAGTGTTGGCATTTTGCTATAAATAAGTGGGTTTTGAATTGCAGTTTGGGCACCTGTCTCTAAAACGTTCACTGGCTTGCAGCTCAGTAGTAGAGCTTGTGCTTAGCCTGCCCTAGTTTCAGTCCCCAGCACCAAAACCAAAGAGAAATGAATCTGGATATTGACCTTTCAAAGGTTAATTCTTTAAAAATGTTAACAGGGTTTTAACTCTGAGTTTTACATAGATCACTGTGACAAAAGCAGAGTTATTGTTATCTTTTCTCATATAATTAAGATTCTTTCCTGTATCATAGCCTTAACATCAGAACATACAGAACTGTCTTTATTTTTTAAAAAGGAAGATTTTAATAGAAATAGAATCCTGAGTGCATAACTAGATGTAATTTGTTAATCGTATATAGGCAGACCACCTGTGTGCCTTGTGTTTGGGATGTTAGTCCCGATTCTTACCTTCCTAAAGTCTTAATAATCCATGAAGGCCTGTTTAAATCTCTCCTCCAGAGAGATGACCCAGAACCTCTCAGCTTATATTCTTTGGGAATCTCGTTCATCGTTCTTCTATCTTGCACTTACCTTATATGTTCTTCCCTCTGTCTTTCCTCTGTCTTAGCACTTGCCATAAAAATGCTTTACATAAACTTTGCATCTGCTAGTCCTCTAAATTGTAATCTTTCTAAGTAGTCATCACAATAGTAAATGCCGAATCAATATTTAGTTGAATTAAACTTAAGAGAATGGAAATATATGTCTAATGAGGTAGATAATATTAGTCTGATAGGATTTCGGCTTTATTTGTATTTGGACATATTTTGTTAGAATTTTCATAGCTTCTTATAATACACATAATAATTCAAATACACAAAAAAATTAAACATGTAAATAGTGATTAGAGTGTGATTACTTCTGTGATAATCCTTAAAGTGCCTAGAAAGCATCCATAGCCATAGTATTAGCTTATCACTGTTCATATCACATCATTATTTAAGTGATCTCATATCCTCAAGAAGCAAACTTTGAGTAACATTCCTTTTCTGGCATCTCTTGGTATTTTCCATGCTTCTTATGTCTTGCATCCACCACATTGTACCTACCCAGCCTCTTGTAATAGACATAATAATATAGGTCTCCATTTGTGACCAAAACTTGGATCATACTTTAAGAAGTTACAGTAGACTAGTGTGGCATGGCTCATCAATTGAAAACCATAGCCTTGAAATATTCCTCTGATCTTTTCTTTTTTTTTGTATTTTGTATTTTTACTGGTACCAGGGATCGAACTCAGGACCACAGGCTTGCAAGGCAGGCGCTTATGCCACTGAACTAAATCCCCAGCCCCTTATTCCTCCAATCTTAAAGACTCATTTTGTAACCTGAATCCAGCCATTTCTGTTGTACTGAGGTTTGTTCATCTTGTTTTGTGTTGTACTTTTCAAACCTACCGTCTTCATAGTTCTATGTTGTATAATTCATTCATTGTAGGTGGAATTTTATCTAAATTTTCAAGTCCACTGAGAATGTTCTCTGAGCCTATTTCCAGTTACAAGTCTCTTAGTTTTAGAGTGGCAAGCTTTATTTCATTCTCCACTAGAGAACCCCAACAGTAATTGTATTATTCTTTTCTTTTTTATAGCCTTCTGTCTTTCCTTTTTTTACTCAACTGGAACCTAATTGGTCTTGTTTTATTCTTAATTCATATATACTTTATCAAACTGTATCATAGATACATATATCCCAATATTGTGAAGCTGATCTCAGATTATGCCTGTTATCTTGTGTAGTAATTATTAATAGAAATCCTTTTCACTCTATAGATTCTGTCTTGGGCAAGTATATGTTAAACTATCCATAGAACACACAGAAGGTATTTCTTTTGCAATCAGAGATATAGCTGAGCAAGTACATACATAGATTGGGAGCTCGTTTTTATTATTGATATTAGTTCTGCAATTTGCTTGGCTTATAATAATGTAAAATTTTTAATTATTGTAATTTAACAACTAGAACAAATTATTGTATGTTGAAGCTAAGCTTATATATCTGTTACCAGCTTCCTCTCTTGGCTGAAGTTTATGGTATAGAGAAAAACATTCTCAGACTTAAAATCAATGAAGAGACTCCATTGAAACCCAGGTATGAGGTTTCTGATGTCCTCATCAGCAAGCTGAACACTGTAAGGTAAGCCAAGGAACAAGTATCGTAGATACACCCTCAGTATGTTCTTTTATCACACCTTGAATAGATTTTGTATTTGCCTCCCTGTTTTACCCATTCAAATCTATAATCATTTTCAAGGTTAGTATTCAATTATATGAGGATAACTATATCAGTTTTGTATATTATACATTCTAGTTTTCCTTCATCCACTAATTTGACTCATCAGTATCTATTAATGGAGAACATAGAGCTTTGAGTTCTATCCTCCTTCTCACAGTAAAAGCAGCTTATTAGCTAGACTTTAAGAGCAAATAGCAGGAAAGCTACTTACTTATATAGCAGCAGGGCTCCAGAGACCTAATACACTAGTCAAACTCCCTTGCTTATAGCGATTTACAGTATATAGTTAGATTGACTCATTTTTAATTAAGGGTATTCTCAGAAGACTAACATGTAATTTTACTTAGAGTTGAGTATAAATTAATAATGTTTAAGTGAAAGAAGTCATTAGGGACTAAAGCATTTTTAAGTACCTATGAAATCTTCATCAGTTCTCCCTACACTTTCCAGTTAGACTTCAATTTGGTTTTCCTGATTGACTTTTGGGTTTTTCTCATATTATTTCACTAAGGGAATATAAGAATGTGACAGATCTTTAATATTAATTATTTCACTGTGATAGTTTTATGCAGATTATTTTCCCATGAAAAAATAATGAAGTTAATAAATTAAAAAGAAAAAATTTATTCAGTTAAAATAGAACCATCATAAATTTAAAATATAACTTCACTACCAACAATTTAGGAAACAAGAATTAAAGAGACTGTTCAGAGACTTTGTAGTTTGAAAGTGAGCATTGCATATATATATAACCATGTGATCACAATATATTTGTTGTTATGCTGGGGGATTCACTTTGCTAATAGATCTGTTAATAATTTCATATCTGGCTAGACGTGGTGGCACACTTCTATAATCCCAGCACTCAGGAGGCTGAGGCAGGAGGATTGTTGTGAGTTCGAGACTACTCTGGAATACAAAGTGAGCTCAAGACCAGACTGAACTGCATAGAAAGACCCTATCTCAAAAAGACAAAAAAAAAATTCGTATCTGTTTCTATAAGTAAAAATTACTCTGATTTTTTCTGTACCATATTTTCTATGTGTTGGGGATAGGATGATACTAGTTTTGTTTGATAAATGTGATCTGTCAGTCTGTTTTTGCTCCATCCTCTTTCTAAATACTTTTACTACTATGGTAACTAAAGAGCTAAAAACTACATTTCTCCATTTCTTAGATTTTTTTGTAGATAGAGTTTCTAATATAATTCTGTTTCCACCAATCATATGCTCTTACAGAAAATGTTAGCACTTGACTGCTTGTTTTGTTTGTATAAATCTGACACCCGTAGATTGGCTGTAAGCTCATTAGTTAGCACTATAGTTTCCTGTTCTTCATATTACAACTAAAATAGCGTAATCCTGGAGCCCTGCACTTGCCAAAGTGACTTCTGATTCTCCAACTTCCTGATTCTAATAGAAATAGAAGTTCTTTTTTTGTTTTTTGTTTGTTTTTTGGTTTTAAGCACCCTCATGCAGGGCACCCTCCCAAAGACTGGGATTACAAGCATTCACCATCATGCCTGGTTTAATAGAGGTTCTATTTTTCATATAGTTATGTAGTTTTTTGTTTTTCTTTTTGTTTCTTTTTTTATATTTTAGTTTTTTGAAACAGGTATGTCAGCTTGGCCTTGAGCTCACTGTGTAACTCAGGCTGACCTCAAACTTGTGATTCTCTTGCCTTACCCTCCCAGGTGCTGGAATTACAGACAAGGGTCACCAAGTCCAGTTAATGCAGTATTTTTCTAGAGACCATTACTGGATGTCTAGAACGAAACTTACTACTTCATTCCCTCCCGTGATGTCACAAGCAATTAATTTCTAATAGTAAGACACTTTTTTTTTTTTTTTTTTTTTTGTCTTTTTGAGACAGAGTCTCACTGTGTACTTCAGGCTGGTCTTGAGCTCACTTTATAGCCTAGGCAGGTCTCGAATTTACAATGATTCTCTTGCCTCAGCTGGGATTATAGGCATGTGCCACCATACTCGGCTGAGGCACTTGTTTTCTGTATAGAGTATCCAGAGTTCAGTGAAGGATGCAAAGTTGAAATCAACTCAATTGTTTTTTCGTTCTTTCTTTCTTTCTTTCTCTCTTCTTCTTTTTTTTTTAATGCTAGAATTGAACTCAGGACCTCATGCTTGCCAGGCAGATGCTGGGCTGCTGAGCTATATCCCTGGCCCAATTAACTCAATTTAGACTAAAGCAGTTATTTCTGTTGGGCTCAGAGAAAGATGCATGAACTAAGGGTTCCTAAAGCATTTGTTGCTTTTTTTCAATCTGGAAGGAAATAATAATGACACCACTATCATTGAATTGTGGATATTCCAATACATTGTAAAATGTGAGTATAACCATAACTTTTTAAAATCTTTTTGAGACAGGGTTTCACCAGGCAGTTCAAGCTGGCCTTACCAACTCACTTTGTAGCCTAGCCTAGCCTCAAACTCACAGTGAATCTTCCTGCCTCAGCCTCCCAAGTGCTGAGGCAGCCTCCCAAGTGCACAGACATGTATCACTGTGCCCAGCTCATAACTTTAAAGGGAAAAAAAGGGAAAGAAAATTAATTAAAATGTTAAGATTTGTTTTCTTTGGGTGGCAAGAATATTATTTTCCCTCTGATTTTCAAATTCTGTATAAGAAGTCTGTATATATTCTTCCATAGTGGAGAAAATATGTAATAAATTATATTACATTTTTACCTAATTTCTTCTGGCATATTTGGAGGAAAAAAGAGAAAACCAATTTATTTCCTGATATGATGGAGGTAGATGTCTAGGAACCACATTTTAAATTTTATTTTAATAAATGAGTTTAGGCAAAATAATAATATTTTTCTGGTATTTATACCTAATATAAGTGAGAAAAAAAAGGCACAGTCCTACCTTAATGAAATATTTCTGTCCAAAAAAATCATTCATTTTTACTTGTCATTTGGATAAATAAATGTCATTCTCCCCTAACTCCCACCATTAGTTGTGCTTCTGTTTCCTGCCTGTCATTTTATCTTTCTCTCTTTTTCCCCCTCACTTGCTTTTATTATTCAGACTAACAAGTACAGTCATTCAAATACATTAAAATAAAGATGTTTGTCTTTCAATACCAAAGTAAAAGAAACTCTTCAAACTTGTTTTGTTATTGACACTTGAACCCTCGTTGATAAAATAGTTGGTATCAGAAGTGGGTTAAACAACAGACTTTAAAAATAGAAGTGTGGGATTGACCTGCTGATTTATTTGAATTTGAAGGCAATAAGGACTGAGGTACCGTTAAAAGTTGGAGTACTAGTAGTAGTATTTCTGTCTCCCCAGAAATTCAGAAGGGGAGACCTTAAAATGAGGACTATATTTAGAGATAAAGCCTTTAAAGAGGTAATTAAGAAGTCGAGTATGGTGGCACAGATCTGTAATCCCAGCACTTGAGAAGCTAAAACCAGAGGACTGCTGCAAGTTCAAGGCTAGCCTGGGCTAGTAAGTGAGTTCAAGGCCAATCTGAACTGTATAGTGAGACTTTGTCTCAAAAAAAGGCATATATATGTGTGTATATATATAGATACACATATACACAGAACAGGACAGTCATGAAAGGACAGAAGACAACAGCTTTCTGCAAGCTACAGAGAGAGGCTGCAAAAGAAACAGATACCTTATACAGCCTCCAGAACGTAGGAAAATAAATTTCTGTTGTTTAAGTCATGTAGTCTATAATATTTTATCTTGGCAATAGTAGCAAACTGATACAACTAATGGTAAACCATGGCATTAAATGACCAAGGTACTTAAACTATTATACATGGTCAATGAAATAAAATGTCTTTTAGAACAGACCAAATTGTAGGACCATAGCAAGTTATGATTGTCACTCAGCACTCTTAATTTCCCTAAAGAGGTTAATGAAAGAGAACAACATTCTCAGGATTAAAAGTTCTTAATTTGTGACAATATCAAAAAGCTAATGAGTTTCTGTGATTCTCCTAAAAGTCTCTCAATCTCTTATAACTAAAGAGTCCTTGTAGCTGACAATCAGATACATGATTTGGATACTGCAGATGCCTAAAGTTTGAAATCATAGCCTCCTCAGGTCTTTGAATGTGTGAGATTAATTGGGAAAAGGTAGGAGCTCTTAGAATTGAATGGCAACATTCAGGAAACTTTGGATGATTCTAAGTACACAAAACTACACTGAACTTCCCATTCCAGCAGAAGCACCTCCTTCTGCTCTACCTGATGGTATTGACCCTACCTTATTTGAACACCCATTGTTTTTTGGTTTTTTGGGTTTTTTATCGGTACCGGGGATCGAACTCACGACTGCCTGCTTGCAAGGCAGGCACTTATGCCGCTGAGCTAAATCCCCAGCCCCCTAACACCCATTGTTGACCTTACCTACAGCAGATTCTACAGAGGGCTTTTAGTGTTCCTTCTTCACCCTTACACCATCCTTCAGTGTCACCGTACCCATTGTCAGTCAGTCATGTCACATCTTGCACAGAGAATCTATTGCAGTCAAACCCAGGAAAAAATGCATGCATGCAGAATTGTAAGATTTTTTAATGGTGAAAATCTGGGACACATACATGGAAATAATTTCTGGAGAATTTCTAGACTTGAAGGAAAGAATCATTTTAGATCAGGCTAGGTCCTGGGGCATAGCTCAGCAACACAATGCCTGCTTGGCAAGCATCAGATTTTGAGTTTGATTCCCAGTATCCAAAAAAAAAAAAAAAATCAGATCAAGCTAAATTTATTGGCACAAGAACATGTGCCAGAGAATACAGATTTGATATGTTAGTTTGAGCCACTAACAGTGGCACCCATTGTTTCTTTGGTTGATTAACTACAAATTGAATTCAGCTGTGAATTCTAACTGAAGTTAAGATACACAAATTCCATAACACAGTGTAGAAGAAATGATCCCTGGACTTAAGAAGATAAAGATGTGGAAGTAAATTTGTTATGTACAACCAGATCACATAGCCCTGAGCCCTTCTAAAGAGGATCCAAAAGGCACTCCTTGATTGAGAAATACATAGGTGTGAGAACAGGTGGAAAGTACTATAGTGGATGTCTTTCTTTTGGGGACTAGATAATGGTAGGAAATGATGACAGTAAAATGAGCTCCCTGAATCAGTAAAGATGAGACCCTGGGTACAGAAGCAAGGTAACAATATTTAATTCAGATGTAAAGTGGTCATAATTCTGTAATATGCCATAGGCCCCACATGGTTCACAAAAATGATCTGACTCTCAGGGTAATTAGAAATTTGTTCTGGGCTCCATTAGTCTAGAATGGTTTGACTAAAGTCCTAGTGGATAGAAGAATCCAAAGAATTCTATCCAGGTTTAATGAACAGTAAGATACAGCCCCTCAACCAATAGTAGGCAGTTAGTTGCCAGGACCCAGGTATCTTGATTGAAAAGAAAATCTAGAATCAATGGATAAGGACTAAACAGATAAAATAATAGCAAACTAAACCAGGCATTGTAGCATACCCTGTAATCCCAGTCACTGAGGAGAATCACAAGTTTGAGCATAGGCAGAATAATTTCATGAGCCTGTCTCAAAAGATAAAAAATGCTGAGGACATAACTCAGTCATAGGGTACCCCTACCACTAGGGCATCCTTAACCAAATCCAGTAAGAAAAACAAAGAACATAAACCATCCCCTTCCCAGCCATCACTAAAGAGTCCTATTTATCAAGGTGACAGTGCACTAGAGGAAGGGAGATATCTAGACTTCTGAGGGATGGTTCTGAGTGTGTATCCTGAGGATCTAAATTATTAGAGTTCGATACCAGTCAGGCAATAAATAGTTAAGTAAAAACTGACCTATTAGGGCTGAGGATGTGGTTCAATGGTACAGCTCTTGCCTTGCATGCATGAGGACATGAGTTCAATCCTTAGCACCACAAAAACAAAATAAAACTGACCTATTTTTGTCTCCTGTGAATCTAATCTATTCTATTCTGTCAGCTTCTGAATTTACTATTGGAGTGAGAAAGAAAGTGTTTAAATTCTATGTACCAACATTATTACTAGTCTTTACAGACAGAATTGATGACAGTTCAATTTTTTAAAAATGTTAGTGTGTCAAGCCCTGTACCAAGTTCTTTACAGACAGTCTCTCTTGTTGTTGCTTTTATTATTTGTCCTGTACAGAGAAGGAAGCAGACCTAGAAAGATTGGATAACTTTGTTATCCTGGTGGACTTACATTCAATACACACTCTTGAATGCCAAAACCTATGCTCTCAATGACAGTTTTTTATTACCCATTCTATGCTGTTAATTTGAGTTGAAAATCATGTAGAGCCATGTAAAAAATTTTTTCTCTTCTTTGCTTTGTTTTCTAGGCTGATTTCATGCTGCAAGGATACAGGCAATCTGATACTGTCTGATGAAAAAGGATATTTGAAGTGTCATATCACAGAAAACCCATTTAAGATAGATTTGGTATCTGAAAAAGAGGTTGTAATGAGCATAAATTCCCTGGGCCAGTTATACTTTGAGCATCTACAGATTCCTCCCAAGCAAAGGTATTTTTTACATTACTTGACACCTACCTTTACACTGATTATGAATACCACTTCCTAAATATATAACAAATCATCACAGAAAGTCAGTTTTCCAGCGAGGTACAGTGGTACAACACTGAAGAAGGCTAAGGCAGGAGAATAGAAAGTTTGAGTCCCACCAGGGCAATTTAATAAGAGTCTATTTCAACTAATCAACACATAAACAAACAAGAAGGACCAGGATATAGCTCAGTGTGTTCCATCATCACCAATACTACAGAACAAATGAGAAATATCATTTTTTCATCTCTGCAGATGAATATAGGCTTTGTGACAAAAACGATTCCCAAAGTTTTGAGAATTTTATCCTTTAGACACATTGTGACTGATGGCATTCTCTACCTTTTACACCCTTCTAAATAAGCACAATGTTGACAAATGGTATATGAACTAGCATGTCTTCAGAGTGTCACTTTATTCCCTTAAAATAATACCAATAACCAAGATTTGAATAGTAGGGATTTTCTGGGACAGTGCATTTGATCAAAGTTGTTTATTGCAGTTCATGTGATTAAAAAGGAATGATAAGAGCAGACAGTCTTCTTCCATTTTTTTAATCACTTATAGTTTTAAATCTCCTAGTTTGTAGTTCTTTGTACTTTATCATAATGGTAAACATTATTTAGTCTGCAAAAAGCATTTAACATTCATTATCTCTACATGGTAATGTTTTCTGAGATTCTACTAGGTTTTATTTTAAAATTTTAATATTAAAAATGCCTTATTTAGGCTGGGGATTTAGCTCAGCGGCATAAGCGCCTGCCTTAGAAGCACCTGGTCGTGAATTTGATCCCCACTACTTAAAAAAAGAAAAAAAAAAGCCTTATTTCCTCAGAGGCCAGGGATGTAGCTCAGTAGTAGAGTCCTTGCCTATCATATACCAGGCTCTACATTTCAAACACAGTACCACAAAAAACAAACACAAATACCCTCCTGGAACTAAGTGATTATAGCAATGATACAGAATATGAGTTCAGTGTACAAAAATCAACTGCTTTACTGTATATCAACAATGTACAAGAAGAATTTGAAATAAAAAACATATTTTACTATATTATATTAGAATCCAAAACATGAAATATTCAAGTATTAATCTAATAAAATATATATAAGATCTATGTGAGGAAAACTATAATAGACTCTGATAAAACATTTGAAAGACAAGACCTGATGTGGTGAAATCAAATAGTACCATGCTGGCAAGGCTGCAGAGGAAAAAGGAACTCTTCAGTACTGGTGGTGGGAATATAAATTAGAAAAACTATGAAAATCGGTGTTTCTCAAAAAACTAAAACTAGAAATTCCATTTGACCCAGGTATTCCCCTTCTAGGTATCTTCCTGAAAAAGTTAAAGAAACCATATTACAGTGATATATGCATACCTATGTTTATAATTCATAATAGCTAAATCTTAGAAGCAGACTATATGTCCAACAGATGAATAGATAAAGAAAATAGGGTATTTATACACAATAGAGTACTACTTGCTATTAAGAAGGATAAGCTTGGATGGTTTATAGGAAAATGGATGCACCTTGAGACCATAATGTTAAATGAAATATGTCAGACACCAAAGGTTAAATATCACATGATTTCTCTTATATGAAAAACCCAAAATATAAAGAGCAAGTAAAAGATAATAGGAAGTAGGGAAACAGATTTTTCTCAAAGGGGAGGGAGATCAAGAGATGGGATAAGAGAGGGAAAAGGGATGAAAAAGAGAACTGAGATGTATTATGTATGTGTAAACTCTCTACAAGGAATGTAGTAGTCATTGTGTACTACAAACATATACTAATAAAAAAAAAGGACTCGCTATAAAGCTGCAGTCATCAGCATAGCATGGCTGTAGAGAATGGACAGTTTGATCAATAGAACAGGATAGAGAGATCTGAAAGAGACTTACATAAATGAAGTCAACTGGTCTTGCCAGCAAAGACAATAAACTAGAGCAGATAGTCTTTTCATCTCTGGAACGATTAGACATTCACATGCAAAAAAATTAATCTAACCTTACACCCTTCAAAAAAAAAATTTTCAAAATGAATCAGAGACTCATATGTAAAACAAGAAGCTGTTAAACTCTTGGAAAATAACATAGAATATCTAGGTGACCTTGGGTATAGTGAAGACCTTTTGAATATAACAGAGAAACAATTGACAAGCTCAACTTCATTAAAATTAAAAAGTTCTGCTGTATGGAAATTTCAAAAGAATGAGCAAACAAGCCATTGTTTGGCGAAAATATTTGCAAAAGACACATGATAAAGGATTATTATCTAAAATAGTCAAAGTACTCTTATAACAACAATAAAAAAATTTTTTTTGAGACAGGATCTTGCTATGTAGCTCAAACTTGCCTAAAACTCATAGCAATCCTCCTGCCTCAGCCTCACAAGTGCTGGGATTACAGGAATACATCTCCATATCTGGCTATAAAAAGATTTTAAAACCAGAAAAAAATTTCTTTGAAAAATCTGAACAGTTTTCTCACCAAAAAAATATATATCTCACACAAAATATATATCATACATCATCAGGGAATTGCAAATTGAACAGATTCCATGACACCTATGAGAATAACCTAAATCTAAAACTCAATAACACCAGATGTTGAACAGGGTGTGGAACAACCTCATTTGTTGTTCGTGGGAATGCAAAATGGTAGAGCCATTTTTGGGAGACCATTTGGCAGTTTCATATAAAAGTAAACACACCATTACTATATAATGTAGCAGTAATGTTCCTTGACATTTGCCAAATGAATTGAAATTTATGCCCACAGAAAAACCTGTACATAGAATTTATAGCAACTTTATTTATACTTGCTAAACATAGAAGCAGCCAAAATGTCTCTTAATACATAAATAGACAAACTATGGAATGGAATACATTGTTTAGCACTAAAAAGAAATAAGCTGTGAAGCCATGAAAAATCCTAGAGAAAATTTAAATGCGTATTACTATGTGACAGAGCTAATCTACAACTACAGGTCACAATAAAAAAAAACTATAGAGACAATAAAAAGATGAGTGGTAGCGATAGGTTGTGGGGAGAGAGGGATGAATCAGCAGGACACAGAAGCATTTTAAGGTAGCAGAACAAGTATAGATAGTGCTACCATGGTGAATTCATGTCTATACTTTTATGCAAGCACACACAATGGGCAACACCAAAGGTAAACCCTAACATAAGCATTGGATTTGGGCTGATAATGATGTGTCAATTCAAGTTTACCAAATGTAACAAAAGTACCAATGTGGTATGGGACAGCAGTAGTAGGGTATATGGGAACTCTTTACTCTCTGCTCATTTCTGCGGTGCACCTATAACTGTTCTAAAAAATAAAGTCTATTAATTTTTGAAAACTTTAAAATTTTAACTTATGTAAGGAAAACCGGGCATGGTGGCATATGCCTGTAATCTCAGCACTCGAGAGGCTGAAGCAGGAGGAGTGCTGCAAGTTCAAGGCCAGACTGGGCTACAAAGTTCTGAACTGCATAGTGAAACCCTGTCCCAAAAAACCAAAAAGAAAAAAAAAAAAAAAAAATATATATATATATATATACACACATATATATATATACACATATATATATGGAAATATGTATATTATGGAAAAATTTTATATGTACAAAGAAAATTTTTAAGAGATTTAAAAATTAATAGGTACAGTATAGAGCTCATCTGAATCAATATGCAAAAGAATACCCAAATATTTGATGCAAACTGCAGCAATTCATATTAATATGGTGAATATCAAAAAATTACAAATTGGCTGGGCATGGTAGTGTACACCTGTAATCTCAGCACTCAGACAGCTGAGGCAGAAGGATCACTGAGCTCAAGACTAGCATGGGCTACAAAGTGAGTTCTAGGCCAACCAGAACTGCATAAACAAAACCCTTCTCAAAAAGACAAAAAATAAATAAATATTGAGTAAAATAAAGCATATCCAAAAGAATATATACAGTATACTTTTATTTATATAAAAATTTAAAGGCAAAACCCAAACAGTATTTTGTTTGAGAAATCGCGTATATGTAGAAATAAAACATCAAGGGAATGATTAACACTAAATTTCATAAAGTGATTACCTCTGCAGGTCAGGGTGGATATGAATACATTTGAAGAGAGATACACAGGTGCATCTGAAGAGAGGAATGAGCTGTTCTGGCTGCTTAAACTTAATGGTGTATCAGAGTTATTATTATTCTTTGAGCTCTTCGAATACAGTATCTATTTTATCTACATGCTGGTTTAATACTAAAGCTAAAATTAATGCATAATGATTATGAATAAACAATTTACAAAGAAATAAAAGTACCATTAAATGGATAAAAGGTAGTCTACATCATTATTGATCACAAAAAATACAAACTAAAGTACATTATCCTTTCTAAACTTTTAGAATAAGGGCTCAAAAGATCAATAAATCCAGTGTTAAGAACGTGAGAAGACAAGCTCTCAAATGCAACTGTGGGGGCTGGGGATTTAGCTCAGCAGCATAAGCACCTGCCTTGCTAGTGTGTGGTCATGAGTTCGATCTTCGGTACTGATAAAAAAAGAAAAAGACAAAAAAAAATGCGATTGTGGGTGGCAGCGTAGTCACAATCTTTCTGGAAGACTGCACCATGTTATTGTATGTTAGAATGTCATGCAGGGAAGAGTGCCATATACTACCTCGTTAATTTACATTCTGTTGAAATATTATGAACATGTGTTACATTTTTAATAAAAAATTGATAAATGTGTTTTAAAGAGTTAAGAAAATTCATATACATGTACAGTTATATAAGAAATCAAGCTATTAGTTTAAGTTCATCATTAACATTCACGTTTTTGGGTGTTTTGTTTTTCGTTTTTTTGGTACCAGGGGTGGAACTCAATGGCCTCACGCTTACCAGGCAGGTGCAACATCCAGTTTTAAACATTAATTTACTTTTATAATGATGTTTTAAGTTAAAGGATATAATTTTGAGATCCTAAAAGGTAGAAATTAAGATCTTTGTCATTGAACAAAATTCTGTTATTCTTTCCATTGGGTGAACCAACTTTATTTTTGTTAAAACAGAGCTACCAAAGAACATGAGAAGAGTACATCAATTGACACATCTCAGGTAACATAGGTTGAACAAGTTGTTATTTTCTTTGCCACCATCATAATTATGCGGTATGTAATGAATTCTGTTCTTCCCACAGAAGGATACTGCTCCCCTTACCATCACTTATCACCTTATTGATTTATTCATTCATTTATTCATAAAATCAGACTGAGCTTGAATGCTTGCTTTTTGCTAGGCATTATTTTAGGCAAAAATAATCAATCTTGAATGAAACAAATATCAAATCAGTCCTCATAGAATTTGTCAATCTCTTGGGGAAAGCAAGCATTAAATACTTAGGAACAAGAGAAGTTTTACAGAAAGGTGCTGTGGGAGAATACAAGGGACTTGATGTAAGAGGAGGGCCTAAAAAAACTTCCAAAGGAAGTAATATTAAAGTTGAAACTGGGGCTGGAAATTTAGCTCAGTGGCATAAGTGCCTGCCTGGCAAGCACGAGATCATGAGTTTGATCCCCAGTACCAAAAAAAAAAGGTTGAAACTTATACACTAGTATGCATTAGCCAGTAAAAAATTGTTTGTGGAAGGGTGGGTAACTACATACAAGAAGGGAAAAAGGAAAGCAAAGGGAAGAGTGGTGAGTAATAAGGTGAGAAAGATGAGCAGGCACTGTTGTGCAGAGTCGTAATAACTATCTTATTCAACAATACTTCCAGGCACTGTTCAAGATATTGGTGGTTCATCATTGAATATATCTTAAGTCCCCTGTTTTGCCATGGAGATTATAAGCCATGTTAATCTATTTTAGCTTATCTTAAGAACAAATGAAAACTGTATAAAAGTTCTAAGCAGCAAAAACACATGGTTTTATTTCTGTACTTTAAAAGATTTATGGCCTAATTATGAAGAGTAGATACTCTAGAAATTTTATCTTCATCCATAGTTACATAAATCTTAAGGGAAGCCTGACAATAGCTATGACTACCTGAAATGGTAAAATAATAGTGCAATAGGAACTTCATATATGGGGCTGGACATTTAGCTCAGCGGCATAAGCACCTGCCTTGCAAGCAGGCAGTTGTGAGTTCGATCCCTGATACCGATAAAAAGGAAAAAGACAAAAAAAAAGAAAAAAAGAACTTCATATATGCTAGGCAAGCACTGTATTCCAAACTACATTCTCAGCCCTAAGTGCTTTTTTTTATTAAGAAGCGATCTATAAGGGGCTAGGGATTTGGCTCAATGGTACAAGCAATTGCCTGGCACGTGCAAGGTCATGAGTTTAATCACTGGTACAAAAAAAGAAAGAAATGATCCATAGTGATGAATCTAAGACAATTTTTTCCCATTTCCAAATAAAGATGGTAAATGCATAGCTTCACACTGAATTGTGATAAAATCTAAAATCAACTTTTGAGGAGATGCCTAATTAGATATCTGATGCTTTGTTGTTGTTGCTGTTTTGTGGTATTGGAATTGAACCCGGTGCCTTCACACTGAGCTACATTCCCAGCCCTTTTGATTTTTTCCTTACTTTAACACAAGGTCTCACAGAGTTGTGTAAGCAGAACTAGAACTCATGATTGTCCTGCCTCAGCCTTGTAAGTGCTGAAATTACAGTGATTTTGAGCCACAAATTCTTTGAAAGAATTTGATAAAAGGTCCACCCCTCCCACACGCCCACGGCATAAGTCAACGGCCAAAGATGTGTTGCAGGAAATCAGGCTCCCTGAGGTAGTCAACTTAGAATTCAACATAATACAGAGTGGGGAGCCCCAAACAGATGGAGATGAATTCTCTCGTCCCAAGAAGAAATTAAGGCAACTTGCCAACCATCTGAGGTCCTGCCGTGACTTGCTAAGATCCTGCCACAACTTGCCAAGCTGTCCGAGGTCCCACCACTTCGACTCACTGGAGGCACAGTTACATTGAGTTCAGGGGTCAGCGAGACGAACGGAGGGCTGAGTTGGCAGGGTGCCTACATCGACCTGTGGTGAGTGACAGGAGTGGAGCCATTCCATGAATAGGGGGGCTCCAGCGGATGACATTCTGGGACCAGGCAAGACTGGCAAGTACAAGGGGAAGCAGTGACTTCAGTCAGTTGTTCCCTTCCCGAATGGGATTGGTGGAGTGAGCTAGGCCTGGGTCACATGACATGGCTAAGACCCAATAGGTTATCTGAAATCAAGTCCCTAGAGCAGTGCAAGTTTAACTGATCCGGAAGGGAGGCGGCACAAGGTGGTGCAGTGCAGGCCACAGTTTGACTGATCCAGAGGGGACGGGCCATCATATGCTGTCCCTGTCTGCAACTCACTAGCACACAGCCGTGTGAAGGGTCATCTAGCCAGCGCACTTCAGAAGAATTGTAACCAACAAAGAAAGAAACTGGGGCCTCCTGGAAGAAGCAAAAAAAGTGGGAAGAGGAAGCAACAACAGAAAGTCCCCAGGTCCCAACCCTGAGAACATTGACCCAGGACAGGTAAATACAAAGGAGAATGAGAACAGCAAACATGCAATATCAGACACAGCACCAGTGGACATAATGAGATATATTCAGGGCCTCATAGATGAGTTCAAATGTGAAATATTTAGCCAAATAAAACAAAATATAAGAAGATTAATGAAAGAGATACTAAGCACCCCTTAAGCAGACACAGATGGAAGAAGGGAGGAGGAATTCAAAGGAGAAAACCATTTGGTGAAATATATAAAAAAAATATAGAATACATGAAGCAGATTCAAAGAGATCACTAGGAAATTAAAAACTCTATGGAAAGATGGCAAATCAGCTTGAAGGACACTAACAATAGATTATCCAACCTGGAGGACAATTTTGCAATGTGGGAGTATGAAAGGGAAAACTTTTTAAAAATAACAAGGAAACAAGCAGAAACAATACAAAGGCTAGAAGACAATAAAAGGATCTATAACTTGAGAATAAAGAATGTGAATGAAGAAGCTGGGGTACAAACAACAGAACTACAAAGGTTAGTCACAGAAATAACTAAGGAAAATTTCCCAAACATAGGAAAAGGAAATGATATTCTGATACATGAAGCATACAGAACTCTAGCCACCTACAACCAAGACAGAACTACATCCAGGCATATAATAATCAAGATCCCAGAAATTCAATATAAGAATAGAATATTAAAAGTTGTTAGAGACAAGAAACAGATAACCTATAGAGGAAGGCCCATCAGAATAACAGCAGACTTCTCAACACAAACCATCAAGTCAAGAAGAGCCTGGAGCAAAATATTCCAAGTCCTGAAAGAAAATAACCTCCAGCTCAGATTGATATACCCTGCTAAACTGTCTCTAGAAATTAATGGAGAAACAAGATGTTTCCAAGACAAAGAGGAACTTGGGAAATTCGCAACCACCTATCCAACTCTACAGAGAATACTGCAGGACATTCTAGAGAGAGAGAAAAGTACTAGGATTCCAGGAACACTGGCAGAGAGGCCTCAATGAATGGAGCAGAAAACAGAATGAAGAAGATAAGCAGACAACTGATGGCAAAAAAAAGAATGTCTGATGATATAGCCAGTTCTATTGGCGATAATAAGAGACAACACAGGAACCATGGTAGAACTCTTTATACAATGGTCTTATATGCTTATTTCGTTTCATGTGTTTATAGGAATATGTTTTGTTTTGTCTTGCTTTGTTTTGTTTCTCCCTCTAATATAGAAAGGATAGAAATACATGTTAAGACTCATGCATGTGTAGAATCTATAAAGTTTATGAGAACTCATCATATGACACATGATAAATTGAACAGATACTTAGAAGAAAAAGAGACACTAAAATACCCAGTGCTGTTCCTGGAGTGTCGTAATGTGAAACCCAGCAATAGTATTATTCTTTGTTCAGTGTCATATTAGCCTGCTTGGGTTTATTCAATCTCAACATAATTGAAGATATGGATAACTGCATGTATGTTTAAGTGTATAGGATTGATAACCATATTTCTTAGTTTTTGTTGGATAGTTGAACAGAACTGGTTGCAATCTCACTGTTTGAATCCCCACTTTATATGCTCCACGTTAGTATCTTGAATAACTATTTGTAAGAAGGCAATCTGTAATCATCAACTAGTGATTTCTTACTGTTTATTTTTTTGTTTGAAATTATGTATTATTTCTACCCATTTTGTGTTTTGTTTAGTCTTTCTTTAAATTAAATTTTTTTAAAAAGACACTAAAGTACCCAGTGCTGATCACGGAGTGTCATGATGTGAAATCCAACAATACTATTATTCTTTGTTCAGAATGATTTTAACCCACTTTAGTTTATTTAATCTAAACATAAATGAAGATATGGATAACTGCATATATGTTTAAGTGTATAGGATTGACAACCATGTTACTAAGTTTTTGTTGGACAGTTGAACAGAACTGGTTGCAATCTCACTGTTTGAATTCCGACTTTACATGTTCCATTTTTGTATCTGGAACAACTATTTGTAAAATGACAATATGTAAACATCAACTGGTGATTTCTTACGGTTTATTTTTTTCTCTGAATTTATGTAGTATTTCTACCTATTTTCTGTTTTTAGTCTTTCTTTAAATAAAATTTTAAAAAAGAATTTGATAAAAGCTATGAATCATCTCTATAGAAAAAAATGTATTTTCTTATTGTCAAGGGAGTTCATACTCTAAAGCCCATCGATGGACCAAATAAGTGTTACATTAAAAATTTCAGTGTGACTTTAAAAAAAAATGTATATCATCACTTTGCAGAAGCTTGAATTATAAAAATATAATCTTGAAATAATCTCATTTTAAAGAAATATGCATTTCACACATACAAGTTTTTTAAAACATTCATTTTACTAGAAGAAAGACTTGAAAGCTAAAAGAATGTACAGCTATAGATTAAAAGGTTGTAGATCTGAGCATTTATTGCTATCCCAGGTAACTTGACTTCTCAAACCCACATAGCCAGCAGTCTAGCTAGTTAATTGAAGTAGGGAAAAATAGTGCCTACCTCAGGAAAAAAAAGTTCTGTTTAAAGTCTCTCAAAAGATGGAAGTTAGTTGATTCTCAATATTTTGTGTCACAAATTTATGATAAAAATATTTCTTATATATGTAAAGACTATATTTTTACTACTTTCATATCATTTTAGTGTGTGCAAAAAAATTCACGTCAAATGGTATAGTAGTTCCTTAAAAAATTAAACATTTAAAATCTAGCCAGGTGTGGTGGCACACACCTGTCTTCACAGCACTTGGGAGGCTGAGGCAGAAAAATTGCCATGAGTTTGAGGCAGACAGAATTATAGAGTAAGACCCTGTTGCAAAAAAAAAAAAGTTGAAAATTTGATCCAACAATTGCACTTGTAGGTATATACCCAAAAGTGAAGGCATAGCAAGCACTATTCACATAGCCAAGAAGAGGAAGCCACTCAAGTGTCTGTTGATGAATGAGTGCATAAACAAACTTATGTTTATACAATGCAATATTATTCATTAAAGAAGAAAGAATTTCTGATACACATTACATAATGAAGATATTATCCTAAGTGAAGCAAGCCAGTCATAAAAGAACATATAGTGTATGACTCCATTTCATGAAGGACGAGAGTAGTCAAATTCGTATCAACTGTAGAATGGTATTGTCAGAGATGGTGTGAGGAAGAATGGAGAGTTATTGGTTTATGAGTGGGGAGGGCCCATTTAACAAAATGAAGACGTTCTGGAGATAGATTGGTGATAATTCCAATCCAGTGAATTATGGTCCAGAGTACCAGTGAAGTATGGTCTCGAAAATGGTAAATTAGGCTGGGGATTTAGCTCAGTGGCTCAAGCACTTGCCTGGTAAGCGCAAGATCATGAGTTTGATCTCTAATACCAAAAAAAAAAAAGGTCAATTATATGTTATATATGTATTTTATCACAAAAAAATTATGGCAGCTATATAGTTCATAAGGATGATTATTGACATTTATATTAAAGATTTGATTTGTGAAGTGTACTGACATTACAAGTTGTTCTTCTAAAACATGAATCATTTTCTTAGTCTTATTTTTTAATAAGCCAAATATGTTTTTGTAGTAACTCTGTTTATTGTACTTTATAAACTCAATTTGTGCTCTTTTTGTACCAACAGGAAGATCAAGAGGATCTAGGCCTGTGGGAAGAGAAATTTGGAAATTTTGTGGATGTCAAAGCTAATGGTAAATTAAAACCGGAGTAGTATTAAAACAGATGATTCCAAAATGGCTAAATATCTCTAAGTTCCTTGTTATTCTGTAACTTCTGTAAGGTGAACAGAAATCTCAGGTTTGAGTTCCTTATCCTTTTATAATGCATTCCAACAGAGAACTGGTGATTCTATGTATCTGATGGGGAATGTGAGAAAAGTATAGGCCACCTAGAACTCATGACTCAGGAAGAGGCCTGGGACAACTCACTGTTTGCATTATCCAGTAGACTCCACTGTGTGTGTGTGTGTGTGTGTGTGTGTGTGTGTGTGTGTGTGTGTGTTAGAAAGAGACTGAGGATCAAACCTAGGACCTTTGCATTGAGCTATATTCCCATGTCCCCAAACCTTTTTTATGTTTTGTGTTGACATAGGATCTCACTATGTCAGAAAGTTTCCCAAGCTGGATTCTAGTATTCTTGCTTCAGCCTCCCAGAATGCTGGAATTATAGGTGTTTGCCACCATACCTTGATATTCACATTCTATTTTTATGAGATTTAAGTTATGGGAAACTATGTTTTTGAGCTCATCAGCTCCACTGTTCTAATCTAGTGTTCCCAGCTTTTTCATGCCTCCCATCATTCCCATGGTTATCACATATCCATTTGTGACATTTCACATTGTATTAGTTATCTTTCCCATTGCTAGACATGATACTTGATGCTCACAAATTAAGAGAGGACAGGTTTAATTTAGCACACAGTTTGGTCAATTCAGTGCATGGCTCCAAAGCAGGCGTATTATGGCAGATGGCATGGAGAAGCAAGACTGTTTATTTCATGGTGACTGGGGAGTGAAGCAGGGGAGCAGCTCCTGAAAGGATCCAATGAGAGCGCATGAGTGGCCCTCACTGGGCCCATGGAGGTGTATTGACACCTCCATGACACATCCAGAAGCATGCACTACAGATGGTCTAGGTATTTCTCAACTCAATGAAGTTGACCTATCAGCATTTATGGGAAATGAGGATAGAGTTTATCCCTTTTGGAAGTCCTTTTCTGCTACATGGCAGTATATAGTTAGAAAAATACTTCTTTTTCTTCTTCCTGCCTACCCTATAGAATAACAAACCTTCCCTGACTCCTTTAGAATCCTTGTTCCATCTGTTTATTTACAGCGTAGTACAGTAATTACAAACCTTTTAGAATTTTCAGTGATATAAACAGCCCACTGTGCCATGCGTGCCATAGGTTTGCCACTGTTGGTATTCTATAATGACCACAGCTGGAAGAACGTTGAAATTTTTTTAAGTAAGGAGTGGTTTTAAGGCTCTCCTTTCTGTAATATAATGTTTTGTACATTTTCTTTCCACAAACTCCTATAAGTGAAGACCATTTAATGTCAGATACTTTTAATATGAATGTAAATTTATGTCAATGTTATATTTGTACTTTTCCCAGAACTCTAAATTAATTGTGAAATAAAGGACTTTGTGTTTGTTTAAAGGAAATTTATATACCTACAATTTATATACCTACAACAGAGAAATAGTATTTTGAGGAGCTAGGAAAGGCCTTCCTGGTACCCTTGACATGACAGTCGTTATAGGCAACCGTAAGACAAGGATGGCAGTAAAAATTAATTACCTCATAGAAGATGTTCATTCACCCAGCAAAGATTAAAAGTTCAATAGCCTTTGCTCCTCAAAACAAAAAAAGTATATGATGTATTTTACAAAAATTCCAATGAGAAAAAGAACCTAAAGCATTGTAACTGCTTTACAGGTATTTACAGGTAGCAGAGAGATACATTTACTATAAATGAGGACACAGCCTTTAACACACAGTAGTTACAGTTTGTTCCTCACAGAACATGAGTAAAAGTAATCAGAGAGTTTTGCCTGGTGTTCCATCAGTACCTGAATACAGTTTCTTGCAGGGTCAGGGCAGTGCATTTGCTGATCGACCATAGCAAGTTCAGGTCTCCCTAACACTAGTCTAGTCATCTCAGAGTCAACAGAATCTCCTTAATTGATGAGCCTATGGAGGAGCAAAATGTAATCAGCATTCTGATCTTTACAGGTCCTGCCTCCATTGGTTTAGATTTCTCCTTGCATGGATTTGAACATGTCTATGGGATCCCACAGCATGCAGAATCACACCAACTTAAAAATACTAGGTAAATGAAAACCATAATTCTTATAGGAGACTGGTTTGATACTACTTATAGAATTTTATGAACCTTCCTTGAATGGTCAAAGCAGAAGTTTTCAAATTTTTTTAGCAAAAATTAGACAATTATAAAAACTATAATATTGAATTTACTAATACAGAGGAACCAAAATAGGAAGCTGCTACAATTGAAGCAAAGAAGCTATCTTTCTCTTTAGGTCATCACCTTACCTTGCAGGGCTTTTTTGTGGATTTTTTTTTTCTTTTTCTTTTTCTTTTTCTTTTTTTTTTTTTTTTTTTTTTTTTTTTTTTTTTTTTTGGCGTCAGAGATCAGACTCACAGCCTTGCTCTTGCCAGGCAAGTGCTTGTGCCGCTGAGCTAAATCTTTTTTTGTGGAATCTTGGGAGAATGCACTGTGAAAGGTTATTGAACTTTAAAAAGGGCCATTACTCTAAAGAGAATAGTAAGCCAGAGAGCTAAAAAGTATGACATCTCGTATTGCCTGTGATTCCCTCACGGGGATCATTTAGGCTTATAGTGACAGAAAATCTGAGAGCCATCAGACTGAAGGGGAAGAGAGAGGGAGAAAAACAGTCTGGCCAAAGGTGCCAGGTTCCTGAATTGTTTACCTGACAAGTAGGTATAGTAACAAGTCCAGCAGAAACTGTGCTCTCATATCAACCTGGCTCTGTACCCTGCCCTCACCCCAATTCAGTTTGTGATCTTTCCCTGCTCACTGTGGGGAAGTATGTTAGGACATCTCCTTTTGTTCTGGCTGTAGAGAAGTACTCACAAAATGCATCACAGGATTCTTAGTGTGTGCTGACTACTGTAGAGGTGTCACAGGAGACAGATCTTGCCTCACAAGACATGTTTAGAAAAGATAGCTAAGGTATAGGGGTGCCAAAGGAGCCAAAGAACAAGAGTCACATTCACCTAGGTTGGTTGGGAAATTATTAGAGAAGTGCTAAGTGTTCTGTCTATGAATAATACATCTGTGATGGAATTAATGATTCTTATTGTTGTTTTAGGGATGGAGATGCTTACCGTCTTTATAACCTAGATGTCTATGGCTATCAAATACATGACAAAATGGGCATTTATGGTTCAGTGCCTTATCTGCTGGCCCACAAACTGGGCAGAACCATAGGTATTTTTTGGCTGAATGCCTCGGAAACACTAGTGGAGATCAATACAGAGCCTGCAGTAGAGGTGAGCTGTGAATCATGGCTGTGTGTCATACAGAAAAAAGACAACCACTGCATGGTAGTCAGAGCTCTTTGTTGTGGTGGCAGTTCGCTGCCCCCGAAAATATTGCAGTGTAATCAGTGAACGTGAGTACTACTAACAGAACAGACTCACATACAATCGAGTGTTGTAGGTTAAAGATAAATTTCTCAAGTTTTCATTCCATTTCCTTTCCAGTACACACTGACCCAAATGGGCCCAGCTGCTGCTAAACAAAAAGTCAGATGTCAAACTGATGTGCGCTGGATATCTGAGAGTGGAATTATTGATGTTTTTCTGCTGACAGGACCAACACCTTCTGACGTTTTCAAGCAGTACTCTTGTCTGACAGGTATTTGCATGTAGGAGTGCCATTTTTTGTTCCATTGGATTTTTGTCTCATGTATTACCACTGTAAGTTAATTTTTGTTTCATGCTATGTAGAATTTATAAACAACTTATTTTAGCATTTTAAGTGGTAAGCATTCCTCCGCCACCCCTCATCTCATTCAGCTCTATTAAATATGACACTGATCTACAACTGTTCACTGCCTTAACCCCTAATACTTGCCATTTGCCATCCATGGAGCATTTAGTCTCTGGGTGTTAATCTAACTACCTCTAACTCAGATGACCAACTTTTGAATGTTTTCTTCTGTGTTAAAATATACTAATTTAAAAAATAAAATAAAATGCTGATTTTGCAATACAGCATTTTACCTTTAAAAGACTGAAAGAATGGGTAGGGATGGAGCTCTGTAGTGGGACATTTGCCTCAAAAGAGCCCCAAAGCCTCACGTGATCATTGGGATTTTGGGATATGGTTAGGTCACGGAGACACTGTATTCATTGGTGGATTAGTCTATTGATGAGTTTATAGCCAAATGTGTTGTTAGGTGCTGGAGCCTGGTCAGAAGAGTTGATTTACTGGGGGCATAGTCTGGAAGGGATCATCTCCCTCCCTGGCTCCTTCTTTTGTGTTGTGCTTCCTGTCCACCATGCGGTGAGCAATTATCCACAACCAGGCTCTTCTACTATGCTGTTGACCATGCAAGGACTGAAATTTCTAGAACATAAGCCAAAATAAACTTCTCTTCCTTTAATTTGTGGGTATCTCCATTTTTGGGTGGATATTTTGTCCCAGTGATAAGGAAAGTGACTAAGACATATGATCTAGTATGTGAAAACCTCAAAGAATCCACCAAAGGGAGAAAAAAGGAAAACTACTAGAGGTATAAGTTCCACATAGTTTCAGGATACAAAGATCAAAACACAAGCAAGGCATAGTAACATGTGCCTGTAATCCCAGAACATGGGAGGCTGAGGCAGGAAGATCACTGTAAGGTAGAGGCCATCCTGGGCTGCATAGTGAGTTCAGTGACAGTCTGAACTACATAGTAAGACTCTATCTCAAAAAAAAAAAAGATCAAAACACAGAAATCAGTTGTTTCTATACACTATCAATGAAATAATCCTAAAAAGAAATTTTTCAAAATTCTATTTACACTCCCATCAAAAAGAGTAAAATATCTAGAAATAAACTTAACCAAGAAATTGGTCAACTTTCCATTGCTGTAACACATCCCCAAGTCAATCAGCTTATAAAGAGAGAAGGTTTGTTTTGGCTCACAGTTTTGGAGGTTTCAGTTCATCATTGATTGGCCCATTCCTTTGGTCCCATGGCAAATCAGTATGTCATGGTAGAAATGAAAAATGGAACAAAACACGAACAGCCAGGACACAAAAGAAAGAAGATACTAGAGTTCCACAGTCTCCTTGGAGGACAGGCCCAAAGACCTAAAGACTTCTAGGTCCTACCTCTTAAAGTCTTCCCATCATACCTACCTGAGGACCAAATCCATGGGCCTTTAGGGAAACTCCAGATCTAAATTAGAGCAGAAGTAAAGGACTTGAACACTGAAAATAACAAAACATTCCTGAAAGAAGCCATAAGTAAATGAAATGCAAACTTTTGCTCCTTTCAGATTTAATGCTATCTTTTTTCCTATTTTCTCTCTTGGTTGATAATTTGGCCGGCTAGATTAAAAATTCTTTGTGCAAAATTTGATGGTTTCTTTATTGTCTTTTCGCTTCTTCCTCCAAAATCATTCTTAGTTCTATTCCTTTGCATGTGATCTTTTCTCTAAAATACCTGTTTAATATTCTGAAAGTTTATAATGAAATTCCTTAATGCAGATCTTTTAAAATAATTACTGTGCTGACAGTTCTTAACTTCAGTCACTTTCCCTTTCAGTCAGCCTTAACACTGCTTCCTACCTTAATTTCTTAAGTCATATCATGGGACAAACCCAGGGCCTTGTAAGTAAGTGCTCTACCACTCAGCTATATGTCCAGCCCCTCAATTGTATAAAACAAATCTGTGAGGTTACATCTGGCCAAAATGATTCAGAATTTCTAGCCTGAACTACAGAATGTTTACAAACTGACCTCCAGTTTCATCTTCTCTTGGTCTCCCTTACCCAGGGGTATTTATTTTTCCCTAAGCCTGCTGATCATCCCTGCTATTATTCCCATATCTGAAATACTCTACTTGTTTTCCCTATCTGGGATATTCCTCCTTATTCTTCAAGATTGAAACCAGGACTATGTACTCTGTGAAGCCTCTCAAGACCCCATTTCACCAGAGGCATAATGTATTAACCTCTTTGTATTCCCACATTAGGCTGGTACCTTTAACATAGCAACTATACCTCAAGGCAAAGTATTGTTTTTATTTTTTCGAGGCAGGGTCTTGCTATGTAATTCAGACTGGCCTTGAACTTACTGTGTAACCCACACTGGTCTCAAACTCAAAGCAGTCCTCCTGCCTCTGGCTTCTAAGTGCAGGGCAAAGTATTTTATTTACATTCCTGCCTCATCACCCAAATTATGACTTCCTTGAAAGTAGAGACTGTGCTTTCCTGTCCTTGATCTTCTGTGGTTAGTATCCACCTCAGTGCTCATTACCGCACAGATACTGAGGAAATGTTTACCGAAGAATAATGATTACTGTGGTGGTCATTGACTCAGCCATCATCTTTCCCTTTTAGGCACTCAAGCCATGCCCCCTCTCTTTTCCTTGGGGTACCACCAGTGCCGCTGGAACTACGAAGATGAGCAGGATGTCAGGGCAGTGGACACAGGATTTGATGAGCATGACATTCCTTATGATGTTATATGGCTGGACATAGAACACACTGAGGGCAAGAGGTACTTCACCTGGGACAAAAAGAGATTCCCAACCCCCACAAGAATGCAAGAGCTGCTTAGAAGCAAAAAACGTAAGGTAAAATAAGCCACCATTTTGGAGCTTTCATATTAAAAGCTCTTTAAGATGTTTTATGGTAGCGCACACCTGTAATACTAATACTCGTGAGGTTGAGGCAGGAGGATCACTGTGATCAAAGCCACCCTGTGCTACAAAATGAGCTCCAGGCCAGCCTGCACTGCATAGTGAAACTCTGTCTCAAAAAGACAAAAAAAAAGAGGAAGAAGAAGGAGAAGGAGAAGGAGAAGGAGGAGAAGAAGATTTTTTAACTTTGTCTTAGTACTTTATTGAAGGAAGGCCATCTGGTAAAAAAAAACGAGGGGGGGCATAAAATATAAATACCAGAGGCTATGAAAGCTTACCTTCTAATGTAATTGTAAATGTTACGAAAGAAAATAAATGATGAAAAGACAATGGACACCCTCCATCACTGCCTTAGTTGTCTGAGGCCCCAGAGTAATGAAGGGGATGAGCATGTCCTGTTCCATTTGCTGCTGTGGCCCTGTAGCAGTATGATGAAGTGTCACACACACACTCCAAATAGTATAAAACTTTATTATGCACATGTATAGTGAGACTTTATGGGGAGAGCAGGACCATCTTCCAATGGTTTGCAAATGACTTGAGAAAGCCAGACGTGGTAGCTCTCAGCTGTGATTTCAGATACCTGGGAGGCTAAGGCAAGATTTCATGCTTGAGGCCAGCCTGGGCAACTTAACGAGATCCTGTCTCAAAATTTAAAAATAAAAAGGGGTAGGTATATAGCTCAGTGACAGAGAGGCCCTAGGTTCAAGCTCCACTACAAAAATGAAAAAAAAATCAAAATATACGAACACACTTTTCACCAAAGAAATAGCCAGCAAGCATATGATGAAAAGATGCTTAGCATCATTAATCATTAGGGAAATGCAAATCAAAACTACAGTTAAGTACCACTTAACACTCATAGGAGGGCTACTGTTTAAAAAGAAGCAGAAAACAGCAGATGTTGCTAAATATATAGAGAAGTAGGAAACCTTGTACTCATTATTGGGAATATAAAATAGTGGATCTACTGTAGGAAACATGGCATTTCTTTAAAAAATGAAAGTTAGGTTCACCATCTGATCTAACAGTTCCACTTCTGGATATATACTCAAAGGAACTGAAAGCAGGAACTCAGCTGGGCATGGTGGCACACACCTGTAATCCCAGCACTCTGGAAGGCTGAGGTAGAAGCATCACAAGTTCAATCAAGCTTGAGCAATTTAACAATTTAATGAGACCTTGTCTCAAAATAAAAAGTAAAAAAGGGCGAGGATGTAGTTCAGGACAAAAGCTATGGATTCCATCCCAAGCATGTGAGAAGGAATTTTTTTTAAAGCAGGAACTCAAATATTTGTACGTCTATGGTCAGAGCAGCACTATTCATGGTTGCCAAAAGATAAAAGCAATGGAAGTATCTCTAGATAAATGAGTTGATAAAAAATGTAAAAAAAAAAATTCAATGCATACTACCTGTACAATGGAATGTTACTTATCCTTAAAAAGGAAGAAATTCTCATACATGTTACAACATGGGTGAAACTTGATGGTGCATATTAACTAAAGTAAGCCAATCACAAAAAAGCAAATGCTGTGTGATTTCATTAGTTTGAAGTAACTAGAATAGCAAAACTTACAGAGGCAGAAAGTTAGAAAGTAGCTGCCAAGAGGGGGAAAAAATTGTTGTTTAACTCATAAGAGTTTCAGTTTTGCAGGAGTTCTAGAGACTGGTGCACAGCAGTGCAAATGTACTTGACATGGCTGAATAATACACTTAAAGAGTAGTTAAGATGGTACAGTTTGTGTTAAGTATATTTTACCATAATTAAACATACTGAAGCTTTTGAACAATGAAGAATTAAACTTTAGCATGTACGATAGACTAGAGTTGAGATATTTAGAAGGCTGGTTTAGCCAAATAAAGTGGTATTAGAGACCTCAATCAGGCAGATATAATGCATTAGAAAGACAGGGAGACATGCTAGAGATTTGGAGCTGTGGCTCATTGCTTTTCTTAGATCTTCCTCCTAAATATGCCTGTACCGTTGGGCTTGGGTTGTTTTAAAAATGTTATTCTTTTGGGCCAGGGATATGTTTCAGTAGCACAAGTACCTGTCTGGGAAGCTCAAGGTCCTGAGTTTGATATTTTTGCTTTCATTTGCTTATATAACTAAACATGGTGGTGCACACATGTAATCCCAGCACTTAGCAGGCTGAGGCAAGAGGATCACTGTAAGTGCAAGGCCAACCTGTGCTATGTAGTGTTTTCAAGGCCAACCTAAACCACATAGTGAGACCCTATCTCAAAACAGCAACAAAAAATTTGCTTTTATTGATGTTCTCTTAGCCTCTAAGTACCTAGGAGGCCAGGACTCCACCTCTTAGTCCTTTGAATAACACGTCTAGCACCCAGAAACACAGACAGCTTAATAAATGCCTCCTAAGAATACATATTGGAGTGCAGGGATATAACACAGTGGCACATCACCTGCATGGTAAGAGTGCAGTCCTGGGTTTAATTCTCTGTATCCACACACACACACAAAGAATATGTATTGGTTAGGCAGCAATAATTACAAAAAAAATTGGCCTGGTTTTGATACCAATTTAAATTTCCATGATCATATGAAGGATTATAGAAGTTTTACTAATATCTGAATATTTTAATATGAGAGTTGTAGTTGTTTCTGAATAAAATTTGAAGCTTAAAACTATGATGAAAGTCTGTAAATGAATGTGTCATGTAAAACTGATGATATCTTCAACCCATTATGCCCTGATAGCTCGTGGTTATCAACGACCCCCACATCAAGGTGGATCCTGACTACTCCGTGTACATTAAGGCCAAAGAACAGGGCTTCTTCGTGAAAACTCATGAAGGAGGTGACTTTGAAGGGGTATGCTGGCCTGGTACAGTATCATTTTATACCTAACTATATTCACACGTTCAGTTCCAGCTAGTGAGTGTCACATGGCTGTCATTCTTGTGCCTTGTAGATGTCCCTTATGCCTCTAGCTACATTTTAAGCACCTTTAAGAAAGAGATGGTATTATCTTCTGTAATATCTTTCATAATATCCAAAGCATAGATTACTTTGGATGAATTTCAATCAGCAATCAAATGAATGAATATAAAATAAGTAAACCTCAGTGGCATGCTATTTTTCTAAGCAAATAGATATCAGAAGTAGAGAGTAAGACAAGGGAAGGAGGAAAGGAAAAGAGTGTCTTGAAGGCTGTCTCTTGTGGTTGCTCTCTGCTTTTAGGCCATGGTTTTGACTTCCCAGACTTTTAGGAGCAACCTAAGCTGCTTTTGGAAACTACAGATTTTTCATTTCAAAAGTTACTGGTTTACCTGGGCATGGTGGCACATGCCTATAATCCTCCCCTGTACTCAGGAGAGGCTGAAGCAGGAGGGTTGCTGCAAGTTCAAGGCCAAGCTGGACTACATAGAGACTTCAAGGGCAGCCTGTACTACATAGCAAGACCTTGTCTCAAAAATAAATAAATAAACAAAAATTATTAATTTAAGCTGGATGTGGGTGCGTACGCCTGTGATCCCAGCACTTGGAAGGCTGAGGCAGAAGATCATCAAGAATTTGAGGCCAGTCTGGGGCTACACAGTGAGTTCAAGACTCTGTCTCAACAAATAAAGTTACTTAAGTCATAATGGGTACTCCCCCAAAACAAAAAGACATTGCCCCCTCTGTCATACTGTAGAATTCTAACACAAACCCACATACTGCGTAGGAAATCCAGGCCTTCCTTTTCTCTCCTAAAACCAGTTGAACAGATGTTTCTATTCTCTTTAAAATCTAAGGGGCCACTGCAAGATACATGCATGGCTTAGTTGGGCTGTCCTAGACCATTAATTAGTGAGGCAAGGCTCCGTCTTGATGCTTGTTCTTTGGCATTGGCCAACTCTGGTGTTGGAGGGTCTAGTGATTACCCATAGAGTCCAGTACTACCTTCATTCACTTCTTATAGAGGACGCCTCTCTCATCTCTCTTTTAAGTTTGATGTGAGGTACCCATTGATTATCTAGTTCTTGCATCTGGTATCTTCTTTATAACACATCTTACTGGGAAGACCACTGCTCCTAACAGGCTGTCTACTGCTCTGCCTCAACAGGTCTCTCCTCTTACCTGGATTTCACCAATCCCAAGGTCAGAGAGTGGTATGCAGGTCTTTTTGCTTTCTCTGCTTATCAGGTTTGTTTTTGTTCTTTTACTCTTTTCTAGTTAAGTTGAAAGAATGAAAGAAAAAGGGATTAAACAGAACACTGTTCCATTAAGTAGTTCTTGATAAGTGTGTGATTCCCAAGTGCTGCAAGAGGTGCCATGTGCATGACTAAGTGCACAAAAGCTGTGACCTCTGCTGTGATAGACTCTGTGACATACCAGTATACATTATAACAAATTTATTATATTTTCAAGTTATGAGATATATTTTAATATAAAATAGCATTCTATAACTATTAAAGAGGCATGATAAATGTGAAAATATATAATGTGTTGATAAAAGTGAAGTGTTTATTATTTTAAAATCTTATAAGAATCATAGAGAGCTAAAAAAGCCCTATCTCCAAACCTGGAAAACTGTTTCAACCAGTTTTGGCAATATTGATAGTAATGCTTTTGGTGATGGCAATACCTAACACATACTAGTGCAACCTGTGTGGCAAGCATTCCGCTGTGTGTGTTATACCATTATTTTCTTCGCAATAACCTTTTGAAGGTGGAGCTCTAATTAAATCTGATCCCACAGATAAGGCAGTTGAGGCATAGAGAGTTTAAAAACCTACCAAAGTCATATATCCAGTAAGTGATTTACCCAAGATTTAAACTCATCTGGTAGTCTGCTAAGCCAAGATCTTAACTTCTAAACTTGTTACTTATCTTCTAAACACTAATTTCTGAGTCTTAAGACAATAGCAAATAACTTAGGGTGGGACTAGACAATGACTTGAGCCAAATTTGGTCATCTTCATTCACTCCCCCACCATCTAAGACTCTACTCTGACAGAATTAAAGAGATATTATGGTCTCCAAACTTAGACATATTTACTTTCTAATGTTTTACCAGAAAAAGCTTGCTAATGCCTGCCTTAGAAGATGCTAAGAAACGGTTAAGGTACTATTTGGAAACTACATAGTCATGTTCATGGAAGCACACTTGTTTATAAATAGTGGAAAGTAAGGAGTCAAAGGAAAACACTTAAACCATTTCCTGGCATTTGTCAGACTCCCTAAGGTTGAGTGAGGCAGCAGATGTCTTCTATGGTAGCCTACAAGGCACACTAGGCTTTGTGAGCAGATGTTGCCAGGAACAGGGCATTCAGAAAATAATGGAATGAGCTGCCGCAGGTAGGGATTCTGTAAAAGGGATTATAACACCATATTAACTGGAAAACTCACCTCTCCCTTTCCACTCTGTATTGAACTATTCTGTGTAGAACACAAGTAAGATTATGTTACCAAACAGATAATTAAGCCTTTAAAAGCCTTCTGAGCATTAGAAAGAAAAGTCTCATATGTAATGTAGCAGAAGGGCTGGGGATTTAGCTTAGCAACACAGGCACCTGCCTGGTGCATGCAGAGTCGTGAGTTCGATCCCCGGTACCAAAAAAAAAAAAAAGAGAAAAAAAGCAGTTGTAGCAGATAATGAATGATGCAGAGCTTCCTTGTGAACACTCACATTTCTGGCAGGGGTTCTCCAGAGAAATATGAGTGAACTTGCTGGGCAGTATATATTTCATAGACAGTACAGTAAAGCATTCTTTCATCCAGCAACATACATTTATTGACAACTTTCTGTGACCCAAGTAATAGTCTAGATGTTATTTATCATGGAAAAAAACGTGAAATTTCCTGCCCAATAAGCATAGTAAATAAGTAAATTAAATGGGGAAGGAAAAAAGAATGTAAAGTGATGTTACATATCAGTATGTGGGAGTGTTTTTTAACTAACATTTACTTCATAGGGATCTACAGATATTCTCTTCATATGGAATGACATGAATGAGCCTTCAGTCTTCCGGGGGCCAGAACAAACCATGCAAAAGAATGCCATTCATCATGGCAACTGGGAGCACAGAGAACTTCACAACATCTACGGTTTATATCAGGTGAGGTATCGAGACTCGAGTGCCCTGCCCCAGTGGACTAAAGTCGTTTACTTTGTAATAGCCACATACATGCCCTTGTCTCTGTTGTTTTTTCTAATAAGTACAGTTTAGTCTTAGTTTATAAGCAATGTAAGACTTTTTATTATTTCTCTTTTTGCTTCTTTTCTTTCTATAATGAACTCAATGAACTTTTAAATATATTGTGAGATTAATGAAACAGAAATATCTCTGTTAATAGAGCCCATTAGTATACTACATTTGATACTATCTCAAAATGTTACTAATGTAGATAATATTTATATACTAACAAAGACAAACATTTTAAAATTTCACAGATACTCAAATACAACAAGCCTATCATTCATAACAAGGGAGCAAGATTTAGAATACAGATGTGTACTTTCTTTTTTTCTTTGTCTTTTTCTTTTTTTATCGGTACCGGGATCGAACTCACGACTGCCTGCTTGTAAGGCAGGCGCTTATGCCACTGAGCTAAATCCCCAGCCCCTCAGATGTGTAATTTCAATAAATATGCTTTTCCGATGTAGAATGTCTTTTCATTAAGGACTTACCCTTCTCAATAAAGGTGGTAGAATTGTATTTTATTTGCCAGTCACATCATGTTGCAAGGAGTGGGGCATTTCAAAGGCCTGAAAGTCATCTACCATAATTTTGTACCCTTGATTCTTTGTTATTTTAAAAATTTCACTGTATACTCATGGCCCTCCCATCAATTGGTATTTTCCAGTGGGAGTTGCTGATTAGAAACAGCACAGTTTTCAAGTAATAGCCTATTAGTATAACTGTGAACTGCTTTAGTTAATTGCTTTATGTAGTTCAAGGTCAGTCATTTACCCTCTTTGAATGGCTTTTTTTTTTTCTTTTTGCCAACAAAAAAATACTTGTCTCAGAGATTATTATAAGATTATAGAAGAATTATTATAGGGCCGGCAATTTGGCTAAATGGCATAAGCACCTACCTTGCAAGCGCAGTCGTGAGTTTAATCCCCAGTACCCCCTCAAAAAAAACCAAAAAACAAAGAATTATTATAAAATACATAGTAATAGTAAACAGTGAATAAAAAAATAAGTACAAGCTGGTTATTTACTACTATTTTTTTTTCTTTTTTTTCCTTCAGTGCTGAGGATTGAACCAGGGCCACACATATGCTAGGCAAGTGCTCTACCACTGAGCTACCTCCCTAGCCCTGTTTTTTATTATTTCATTGAGATCATCAATAAAAATTTTTTTCATTCTTTAATAGGGGATATTAGATTGGTTTCATTATATCACGAAAATGATGTGATGGATTTTAATGTTTTCCATTTCACATTCTCACCTATTATTTATTTTTTGCATGTTAAATAGTTTATTGATGGTGTTGGCATAGTGCCCTAAACTTATCACTGAAATTTTTCCCCATTGAACATTACAGCAAATGGCTACTGCAGAAGGGCTGATACAGCGATCAAAAGGGAAGGAGAGACCTTTTGTTCTTTCACGTTCTTTTTTTGCTGGATCACAAAAATATGGTAAGCTAGCTGTATCATCAAACTGAAAAAAAAAATTAGCCACTTGTCTTTATCATTTATATGCTGCCATTGTATTGATCATGAAATGAGCAGAAATGAGCTACTGTTTCATTTTGTTTGGTTTGGTACTGGGGATTAAACCCAAGACATGCTGAACTATCTCCCAGCCCTTTTTTAAAATTGTATTTTGAGATAAGTTTCACTAAGTTATCTAGATGACCTCAAACTTGTGATCCTCCTTCACAGTTTTTAGCTTGCTGGCATGGTCATCTCTGCTGTTGTCTCTTGGATTGATCAAAACAGGGGAAATATACCTCTAACATATTCCTCAACCACCTGTTCCAGTTAGTAATATGCTGAAAATAGACCTGGCTGTTGGTTGTGGTCAGGGTCATCTATAACTGGATGTAGTTTGTTAGCTAATATAGATCTAGTTCAACTTAACCACCCTGTGGTAGGCAGGCAATTTTAAGTCTCCTGTTCTTGTATAAATACCATATAATTAGTTACAGATAACTAATTTGAACAGCTCAGTTCTACTGTTTTGCAGATATTATTAGGTCTCCTATACAATCCCTGAAAACCAGCCCATGATACTTAGCCAAAAGCCAAAGCATTATCATTGCAGTTAGTGATTTATGTACATAATCTCAGCACAGCATTATTCCTTGAACAGAAACAGAGACAGACAGACAGACAAGGAGAGGAGGAAGTAAAGAAAAGGAAAGAAGAAAAAGAAAGAAAGATCTGAAGAGGTAACAAGCCAAGTGTGGTGGCACATAGTTGGAATCCCAGCACTCTGGAGGCAAGAGGATTGCTATGAGTTCAGGGTAGCCTGGGCTATATGGTTAATTTAGGACCAGCCTAAACTACCTAGCAAGTTTCTGTCTCAAAAATATTTTTAAAATAAGATAAATATATAACAAAAATGATGTAGCCACATAATACTATAATGAGTCTTTTCATAATGTTAGCTTTAGTCAGATGAGGTAGCACACACCTATAATCCCAGCATTTGGGAGGCTGAGGCAGGAGGATCACTGTGAGTTCAAGGCCAGTGTAGACTACATAAGCAAATTCAAGGCCAACCTGCACTACATAGTGAGACTGTGCCTCAAAACAACATCAACAACAAAAAGTTAGCTTTAATTACATGAGAAAATCTTCATGACATCATGATAAAAGACAAAAAAAGAATAGTATTTCCCAATTTTTTTATAAAATGTAAATTTTATAAATTTAAATCAACAAGTAGGTAAACAGTCAAGTAAAATACAAAAGAATTAGTTCCTTGGTAATTGTGATTTTAATCACATTTTACCTATCTTTTATTTTCCATATTTTATACAAGTACAGTTTTTCACCACTAAAAATGCATTTGAATGAAAAAATTTCTAAGCTGCAGCTTTATAGTGTAAGAGGAGATATGACCACTGTTATCTTTGATCTCTTAAATGCTCACCTACTTCCTGTCCTTCAGTATTTGTATGAAGCTATCACCTTTGCCCAGTGTGTAGCCAGACATGTAGAGAACTCTATTTTGTTTAGTCATGCAGTGAGACTGGTAACCAGAGAGAGCTTCTGGCTAAGCAACTGCATGAGACAGGAAAACATCTATGTGTTTACATAAGCTTTCTCAAGAATGTCACCATGCAGATTTCAAAATTATGTAGGTATATACATATCTCACTTGAGGTCAAGGAGAAATTACAAAAGCCCTATTGAAAAGAACAATCCCTTGAAAATATTTTTCTTGGAAGGCTACTAGACAGCTCAAAATTTCTGTGGAAAATTCAAAATATTTACTAAAACTAGTTCAATAGAATATAAACAAAAATACCTCGGAAGTACTCAAATATAGTAAAATAAGATTTTTTTTCCTTTTCCACATCCTCTTAGTGATATATAATCTATTGTTATAAACTGTTGCCAACTATAAAGAGAACAATAACATTGGCTTTGTAGCAAAACTGTCTGAATGCAAAACTTGCCTTAAAACCACTTAATGGAATATAGACCTAAATTCTAAAAGCTAAATCAAGTAAGCAAAGCCACTTTAGTAGAAAATCTTCGTGAGTTTGAGATGGGAGAAGATTTCTGTGCTAGAACATAAAAAGCATGAACCATAAAAGAGAAAACTTATAAATGAGAATCCATCAAATCACTTCTATAGTTAGCTAAAGTGGGTAGTTGTTGACTGCAAAGAAGCCTGACGGAACTTGTCTAGTTTTGGAAAGTTTCTATGTCTTGTTTATGGTGGTGACTACATGGATATATGCGATTTTCAAAACTCATCAAAGTCTACTTAAAATAGGTATATTATTGCATGTAAATTTTATCTCCAAAAATTCCTCCTTGCTAGGCATTATAAAACAAGCCTATAATCCAAGCGACTTGAGATGCTAAGGCAGGGGGATTACAAGTATGAGGGAAGCCTGGGCAATTTAGTCAGACCCTCTCTCAAAATTAAATTGTTAGCCAGGCATAGTCGCACATGCCTGTAATTTTGGGAGGCTGAAGCAAGAGGATCACTTCAAGTTCAAGATCGGCTTGGGCTACAAAGTGAGTTCAAGGCCAGCCTAAACTGCATAGCAAAACCCTGTCTCAACAAAAGACAAAAAAAAATTGTTTAGAAAAGAAGAATAGAGGTATAGCTTAGTGGTAGAGCACTTGTTTTGCATGCACAAGACCCTAAATTTAATACCCATTACTTAAAATTTTTTTCTGTATTCAGATTTGAATTGTGCTTCAAAAATAAGTGCAATTTCAGGATATTTTCCTAGCTTATTTTGTGGATTTTAATAACTTTTTTATATTAGAAAATCAGTACTTTTTATTGTAGACAATCTAGAATTTATTTAAAGGTAAGGTATCTGTTTTCCTTTTTATTAATTTGTCTTTTACAAATGAGGAATCTAAGTGTGAAATGAAATTAAATACATGGGCTGATTTGCATTTTTTAAAATACCTTGTTACTGGTGACCAAAGGTGCAGTGTGGACAGGCGACAACACAGCAGAATGGAGTTACCTGGAAATTTCCATCCCAATGCTACTCACTCTCAGCATTACTGGGATCTCTTTTTGTGGAGGTAAGATATGTCCTGTCCTAAGGCTTGAAGTGCGTTTTTCTCCTTAGCTGTTTGAGTCAGGGATGAAAGTGGGGAAGAGAAAAATGGGGAACGTGAAAGCAGGTTACAAAGGAGAGTGAAAGAGGAGCATCAGATTTGCTTGTGTCTTGTCTGAATTGAGAACACAAAATGAGGTTGTCAGAAGGACAACCAGAGTACTTCCTTCCCTTGTTTTCTTACCACTTCCTCCTGAGATGCACTTGCTAAGTTTCTCTTCCTGAAACATATGTGAGGTGTGACCAAAATACATGTGAATGTTTACATTCTAAAAAGTTACTACATTAATCGACACATTGTTATTAACCCCCTCATGCGGTTCCTCCTTGCTTTGAGCACACCTGTCTCATCATTCTTTCTACTTTCTGGAACAGTTCTGGAAATCCTTTTTTATGAGTGTCTTTACAAGGTGTGACCAAAAATACAGTGAATGCTGTGGCTGAGTGCCATATGATAGAAAGGCATGCTCTTAAAAACCTTCTGGTGTGTCCTTGCCCACTTTACCCACCAGATCTGGGGCTGTGCAATGACTTTTGGCTCTTCCCCCAAGTCAAGGTGAGCATGCAAGTAAATTGATTTAGAATGCTGAGTGAGCCACAACACAACTAGAAACACTCACAAAAGAGGACTTCCAGAGCTACTTAAGAAAGTAGCAAGAATGATGGGATAAGTGTTGTCAAAGTGAGGAATATTTTGCGGAGTTTAATGGCAATGTGTCCATCTTGGCCACTTTCTTGTTACTGGAACCCATTACCCACAGCTTATAATTTAAAAGAGGTGAGGCTTATTTTGGCTCACATTTTCAGTCCATAATCTGCTGGCTACAAAATTTGATTCCTTGGCAGAGGAGCATCACAGAGGAAAATTACTCACATGGTGTCCTGGAAGCAGACAGTCAAGGGAGGAGCCTGGAAGGAGATCTACCCTACCCACAGTGACCCATCTCTTTTGACCAGGTTCCACCTCCTCACAGTGTGTCAGCTATAGTGCCCATAATGCAGTTACCTTTCAAACATGAAGCTTTGGGGACCATTTTAATTCTAAGCTATACCAGTGTCTTTTACAATAAAAAATAATTTTTAAACATTCACTATGTTTTTCAATCACAGCGTGTATTTTTATTTTGAAATTGAGACAATAAAATGATCTATGAAGAATTGAGCAAATCAAAAGTTAGCCTATGTAGGAGACAGAGCTCAGTGGTAGAGCACTTGCCTAGCATGCTGAGTTCAATCCTCAGTACTGCAAACAATAAAAGTAAGCCTTACAGAAATTCTTTCCACATAACAGATTCAAAATTCTGTGACATAATTTGACTGGTTTTTAAAGATGCACTCTTGAGAAAAGTAAATTTAGTTGATAAAGTGTCTCTGATGAACTTCCTTCCCCAGATCCTGAAATCTGCAGATGGTGATAGCAAGGTGAAAGGTGACCAGTATGCCCACAGTTCCAGCTCTCTTGTTTCTTGCAGGAATAGAAACAGTTAAATCATTTTTTAATATACAGTATGTTTTCTTGTTTTGTTTTGTTTTTAAGGGAGGACAGGTTTATTTGGCTTACAGTTTGTACAAGTTTCAGTTCATAATCTGCTGGCTGCAAGACAGAGTGGCACATGGCAGACAGGCATCATCGCAGAGGAGAACCAGTTCATGGCAGCCAGAAGGTAGCAAAACAACTAGAGCAGACAATCCTCTTTCTGTTCCTTATATTATATCTAGGTTACTGGGATAAAGCTGGTGCCAAACCCAATCAGTGGACTGATTTTAACCACATACTCTCAATCCCAGCATCACCAACCTAGATCCAGCCACCTCTGAAAAAACTCTATCTGTGGGGCTGGGTATTTGGCTCAGTGGTATAAGTACCTGCCTGACAAGCATGAGTTCATGAGTTCAATCCTGTTACAAAAAAAACCACCGTCTGTGACTGCATGAGGCTTTGGGGACATCTAGACACAAGCCATAACACAAAAGGAGTGTGGTTAATTTTTTTCCTTCTTTTTGAGAGCCAGGCTCTCACCATACAGTCCAGACTGCCCTTGGTCCTAATACTCCTGCCCCATCCTCCAGAGCCCTGTGATCACAGGTGTGCACCACCACGCCCAGCAGATTTTATGAGGAAAAAGGGAACTTGAGGTATTGCACAGGAAAGGTGTGTGATGACCTCCAGGGGTTATTCTTGTTTCTCTTAGTTGGGTATTCCCATGATTGATTTCCTTTAGTTCCTGCCTGTCCTTAGTCCTTTAGGTAAACTCAGTATTTTCATGCAAGTTAATCCTCTCCACCTTTCTTCTTCCTCCGCCTCCTCCTCCTCCTCTTCTTTTCTTCCTCCTCTTCTTCCTCCTCCTCTTCTTCTTTCTCCTCTTCCTTCTCCTCCTTCTTCTGTCTTCGAGTTTGAACTCAACTGTGCTCTACCACTAAACTACATCCCCAGCACTTGTGTTTTGGTTTTGTAGGGGTTTGGGGGTACCAAGAATCAAACTTAAGACCTTGTACTTGCCAGGCAGGTCCTGTGCCACTGAGCTATATCCTCAACCCCACTTATGTTTTGAGATAAGACCTCAGAGTTGTCCAGGCTGGCCCCCAACCTCAGCCTACTATTACAGTGTTCTTTTAATTACAGAACAGAATTAGCAAGTCTTGGCCCATAATTTGATTGCATTTGAAGACCATCAAGTGTTTTGGGTTTAGAAAAACTAAATAATGATTACTACTCAGGAGTCCAGGGATCAATGTTTCTTCTGTTTGGCCCTTTTCTGTAATAGTTTAATTGTTGGTTCTAGTATTTAATATCTCAGATCTTTTTTTAAAAAAAGGTCACAATATATAGGTCAGGCTGATTTTGAACTCACTCTGTAGCTCTGGCTGTCTTCAAGAAAATGTAGCCATTCTCCTGCATCAATCTCACTGAGTACTGGAATCACAGGTATGCACCACCACACCCCACATATTTATTTTGCTTTTTTGAGACACGGTCTCACTGTGTAACCAGGACTGGCCTTGAACTCACTATGTAGCCCAGGCTGGAATGGAACTCTTGGTGATCCTCCTGCCTCAGCCTCTTGAGTGCTAGGACTGCAGGGATGTGCTACCATGCCTGTCACAGGTGGGGTCCCATCCCAGGCATAGTGTCATAGCTCTGGAATCTTCTTGGCACAGTGGTGGTTCTATTCCCAGGTAGGGATTGTCTATCCTTGGGGTTCTCAGTTATGTGGAGCTCCACCTTTCCTGGAATCTGGATACTAACTTATTTAGGACAGTGACTAGAGACATCTAGATGTAGTTGAATGTCCCTTACATTGTCTTTTCAACATTCAAGGAGGATGAGATCTTTTAAATTCAGGGCTAATCCACCCTGTCTGACAGCTCTTAGACACTCCCTATCAAAGAAACTGAGTAGAGATCTGACCCAAAGAACAGAACACAGAGAGCAAGTTTCATTCTCTTTTTATTCCCTATTTGGCATCTAGAGGCCCAGATACAGCATAATGGTTCATAACAAAAATGTCTTGTAAGCCCTGGACTGTCCCAGAAGAAAACACAAGTCATGCTTTTAATGAGCAGCAGAAGGACCAGGATTCTGCTTGTCCTCCATCCCTCAGGTGGTCCCTGCTGATGTCAGCACCGTGTCCTGACTCAGCCTCCTGTGTGCTGACTTACAGGCATGAACACCATGCCAAAAACAGAGTAATTATTATTAGTGGTTTGTGCTTCCTTGCATGCCTGCTGTACTTGGCATCGGGCCATCATTGTGTGGCCTGAGCTCTTCCATATCATTCCAGGACATAGACCTATGTTACCACTTAGAGAACTCTAACTAGAGACTCAACATGTTGATCCCAGTCACCTTTAGATGTTGTATAGGGCTTCCTCAGTGAACAGCAATACTTCTACTTCACTTTCTACTTGGGATTCTCAGATTTGTAAAGAGCAGAACTCTAAGGAGGATTCTCAATGCCTTCTGTTCTTTTTTTTTTCCTTTGCCTGTTCTGAGAATTGAACCCAGGGTCTTTTTATTGATTTTTGTTTTCTAGTTTTATGTTTGTTTGTTTGTTTTGAGACAGGGTCTCACTATGTAGTACAAGCTGGCTTTGAACTCACGTATGTAACCCAGACTGGCCTCGAACTGGAAGCAATCCTCCTGCTTCAGAATCCTAAGTGCTGGGATTATAAGCATGCACCACCATACTTGGAAAGGGTCTTCTTATTAAGCCACAGCTTTAATTTTTAAAATTTAAAATTTGAGACAGAGACACCTTGTTACTTTCTTGTAACTGAGATACAATACCTGACACTCAAAATTGAAGGAAGAAATTTGTCAGGCCTGCAGTCCCCGGGAGATTAAGGCAGAAGGATCACAGAGACTTTGAGGCCAGCCCCTGCTCTGCCCCTCCAAAAAAAAATAGAAGAAAAGGGTTATTTTAGCTTATGGTTTTTAGAGGTTTCAGTCCATGGTTCACTGGCTCCAAGGCAAGACAGCATGCAGCGGGACCTAGAGGAGGAGAAGCTACTCATGGCTGCAGGAAGCAGAAAGCTTCCTGTGTTTTTAGGGCATTGGTCCATGTACTACATAAGACATACATACCTTGCTCAAGGACTTAGCATGGAAGTCTACCAAAACTTCTAATTCTAGCTATTTGTTTCTCTCTAGTTCTTTGAGATTTATCTTTTTTTCAAGGAAAGGAACAACCTCTTCCCACACATATAATGCATACACACACACACACACACACATTTAATCAAGCCAATATTATGCAATTTCTGAGGACCATGGCTTCAACATATGACAGTGTGCATTTCACAGTAGAGCCTGTGGTCCTTTGACAAGAAAGGAGTACTCTAAGAGTATTCTGTCAGATCCCAGAGTACATTGTGCAGCATGTGCTCTTGTCTGAGGCCACGCTTTGTCCTGTCTTTCAAGTGTGCAGATGGCATCTCCTTGTCAGGACTTCAAGGCCGTATTTTACCTGTTTGTCTCTGATTTGAAGTTACCTCACATGGCCTTCTTTGCCTAACCAGCTGATGTTGGGGGCTTCATCGGGAACCCGGAAGCAGAGCTGTTAGTTCGCTGGTACCAGGCTGGGGCCTACCAGCCTTTCTTCCGTGGCCATGCCACCATGAACACCAAGCGGCGAGAACCCTGGCTGTGTGAGAAGGAGCACACCCACCTCATCAGAGAAGCCATCCGAGAGCGCTACACTCTGTTGCCCTATTTGTATTCTCTGTTCTACCAAGCACATGTGGCTTCTGATCCTGTCATGAGGTAAAACAAAAAAACAAAACAAAGACCCTGCTGGGCTGAGGATTAACTCTGTGATAGAACACTTACCTAGAATGAGGAAGGCAGTGGGTTCAATCCCCGGTATATGGAGAAAAAAGCCCCACTTAGGGTCATAGCAACCAGTTTCTCCCAGACCCCTTAGTGATTAAGGACTAGAGTACATGCACAGAGATTTTAAAAGAAAAGTTGAAGAAAATCCGTGTATTCAATCAACTTCATCCATTTATTGATTATCAACTGTGCAGAAAGTGCTGGCTGTTGAAAATGCAGATGTCCAACTGGAGGCCTAGAGTAAAAAAAAAAAAGAAAATGCAGAAGATAAAAAATAGGTCCCCCTAGTACTTGTGATTAAAGTATTAGTGTCTGCTAAGACACAGAGATAGAGACATTTCAAAGAATAAGGAAGTGGTCTTGTAACTGATTTTGTTAGTATTTAACCCACATGTACCCTCTCATGAAAAATCTTAGACTTCTACCTAAGGCTCAGTTCTTCTTGATGTGGGTTTAACTTTTTCTTAATGTCTAAATTCTAATTTTATTTTGAAGGCAGAATATGAAAAAACAACTTGCTAGGTTAGAGAAGGATATAGCAATAATATACCAAGGCTCCAGGATTAGTGGTTCTTAAATAGTTCAGATTAGAATCTCCTAGGAGTGCTTTAAAATTATAGACTTCAGTGGCCATACTCAAACACTTTTAAGAATGTCCTTAGGTGCCGGGCATGGTGGCTCACACCTGTAATCCCAGCACTCTGGAGGCTGAGGCAGGAGGATTGTTGAGAGTTCGAGACCAGCCTAGGCTACAAAGTGAGCTCAAAGCCAGCCTAAACTGCACAGCAAGACCTTATCTCAAAAAGACAAAAAAAAAAAAAAGAATGTCCTTCGGTAAGTTTTAGAGCTCTGCATTTGTTAGATGTTTCCCTGTGATTGTAGGCATCGGCAGGGTTTAGCAATCACTTCTTTGTTACTATTCAGAATGAAAATAATATGTTATTACAAAAGCTCGTGAATAAAAATCTTTCACATTAAAAATATATTTTCCTCATGAAATTGAAAAATGACTAGAACTATTGGTAGCCAGATACATAGATACTGAAAGGTCGTATCTTCTATGAACCCAAAAGCCTTCTAAATAGTTGCATGAAAAAAACAATAAAAAAGAATACTAAGCAATTTCTCAGTTCCCCCAAAATATATGTAGTAAAATTCATTTCATTTAAATACTTAATGATTAAGGTCTACATGAAAGACAGTGACAGCAAGAAAAATGGCACAAAATTATAATCATAGAATATGATTTTATGAACATTTAATTTGATTACCAAAGGTGTTAGGCATTTGCTCTTATATAAAGTTCTGTTTTTGTCTGTTTCCACAGCATTTAGTGCTCAACAATCATAAGGAAAAACTGCAAATTCTAGAAACATTTGCATTAACCACTCTCCAACATACTAAAAATATAAAATAATCACAGCAACTCCTTATAAAATCTTGAATCATATGAGGAAGAATCTTGGCTCTTTGATGCTTTCCAATTCCCTATGAATAGTCCTAAACTGAAAGCATAAAAATCTAAGAAAAGAACCAGCACTTGGGAGGCTGGAACACGAGGATCGCTGTGAGTTCCAGGCCAGACTGGGATACGTAGCGAGACCTTGTCTCAAAAACAACAGCAACAACAACAAAAGTCGAAGAAAAGATGTAATAAAGCATCTAATGAGGTTAAAATGTGAATTTCTTTCCCTAGGCCTCTATGGATAGAGTTCCCTAGTGAATTAGAAACTTTTGACATAGAAGATGAATATATGCTAGGTGAGTATCAATTAGGGTTATGATAAGTACTATAATTATGCTTTTATTATGTTTTCTAATATGAGAGCATTTTAACCACCCCTATTTCCAAGAAAACCAAAAATAAAAGACATTCCTTCACCAAAACTTTTAATGCATTTTTCTCATTGCTAAGACAAAATACCTGACACCCAAAGTTAAGGCAATTTCAGCCCATACTCAGCTGGCTCCAAGGCAGGGTGGCATGGCTGAGGAGCAGCATTCATGGTTGTGACAGGCTACAAGAGCAAAAGGACAAAAGGGAGGAGCAAGCCACTTTCCCTCCCTTATATTGTATGCTGGCTCCCTGCCCCAGGGTGGATGCAGCACTCATCACCAATCCCAGCATTAGACAATGAACCAATCGCAAACTCTAGGTTTTGCCCACCCCCCTACTCCACCCCCCCATGACCACATGAAGCTTTGAGGGGACATCCAGACACAAACCATAACAATGCATTAATGGGGTCATAGTTCTATTGCGTTATAATGTACCACTTATAGTAAGTATTCTTGTCACCTTCAAATACATCCATCCCATTTGTAGGAGTAATTTGGGTTTTTATTTTGAATCCATTCCTCCAATCCCTGTGAGACCACTGCAGGGAAAGGATATAGAAAAAAAGTAGATCAGATGGCTATAGTACAGATCCGGAAGAGTGCAGGTTATACATAATAAGCTGCTTTTTGGCTCAGTCCTTAGGCAAAGTCACTATCTTGGAGAAAATTCCCTGACCACTCCTGTTCTCCTCGGACCTAATTCTTCCCTCCCAGGTCAAATCACTTTTTCCAATTAATTTTCCGATTAACTTCCTTTTCATTTTGTAACTTTGCCTCTAAATTGTAATTAACATGTAATTATCTTTTAATATCTATCTTCATTTACTGTAAATTCCCTAATTGCAGGGACTATGCTTGCTTTATTTGTTACTCTGTCCCCAAAGTCTAGCCTGGGACTTAGTAGACACTCAGTAAATAAGTACTTATTGAATAAAAGAATGACTTCACAAACTGATGGATTTTATACAGGTTTGATGCCAAAGCCAAATCAAATAATAATCTAGATTATGGAGAACTAAACCTTCCTGCTGATAACCCCCAAGCAGAGGGACTGGGTAGCCACATTGAGCACCCTATAGATAGCTGTTGTGGGCTCACTGTCATCAGCATCCCTCACAGCGAACAGTGACACCCATATGAGAGGTGCAGTAGTGCTGTTTGATTAGTGAGCCAATAGTAGTGGTGCAAAAGCGAGACTGACAGGCCGTCTTGAGTCCCTTCCCCCAGGTGCCATCAGTGGATTCATGACAGGTGATACCTCAGCCATCTCTTTGAGCCCCTGTCTCTTTCTCACAGTGCTTTTGTGATGAATCATTCCTTTAGATCCCTGTGTTTCTTGCCTTACAGAAGTACACAAGCTAGTGGTCTTCAGCAGCACAAGTGTAACTAAATGGAAAGGATGTTTTCAGATCTCTTACGATGATATTTGATTTTGGGGCCGGGGATATAGCTCAGTGGCCACAAGTGCCTACCTTGCAAGCACAAGGTCCTGAGTTCAATTTCCAGTACTGAAGAAAAAAATCCAATGATACTCGATTTCTTTTTCTTTTCCATTTTTTTAGGAAGTGCTTTACTGGTTCATCCAGTCACAGAACCAAAAGCAACCACCGTTGATATATTTCTGCCAGGGTCAAATGAGGTAAGAGTCCTAACAAATGGCTACATATCTCATACCTCATATCTCTCACCCCTTCATTTCTGAGAGATTTCTTCATCATGCAGCTGTGAGCACACTCCAAACATCTGTGCAACTGATGGCCACTGTCCTCAGAAATGTAATGAAGGAGAAGAGAGGCAGAAAACCAGGTGATGACTCCAGGAATGATCATGATGATTTTTTTTATAATCACACTTTGTCTTAAGTGAGTCTTCTATAAGTACCCTGAAGCTTAGAGTAAGAAGAAATCTTCAGTCAGCTGTGAGATAGCAAACTTGGGTTAGGAATGGGAAATGTAGGTATAAAGAGATTTTGCTCTTTGGTGTCAGCCCCTTCTGAATGCCAAGTTTGCTACCAGAAACTTGGCTCCTAACACTCTCTAAAGTGGATAAAAACACCACCTTTTTCTTCCTTCTCTAACTTCTGGCCTTCCTCTGCTGTTAGTAGTTACTATTACTGGGTGTCATCAGTGTACTGTATAAATACCAACTATACTGTATAAAATACTATACCTGCTAGAGCCCAGAGTACAGTGGAAAGGTGGGAGTAACCCATGATCTGTAGAGCAGAGAGATTGTATGCATCCAAAGGGGCCCAAAGAAGACTCGGGGTAGAAATCTGGCTTGTCAACATGGAATGGAGAGGAGGAAGGGACAGACTTACAGCGTTGGGCACCAGAGCATTGCCCAGACTTCGGCAGACGGGGAGGACACCAGCGGTCTTGGCTGCTGGGTACTGCCATGCCACAATGAGGGGCCAACATTCAGCCCACCACACGTGGCATTATTGATATGACAATAACTGGGATTTTCTCCAGAATGTTGATGATGTGTGGTCTTTCTTCTTGGTTTCTCCAGTGTTTTTAATTATGAAGTTGAGAGCTCTTTACAAAGGTTCTCCTGCCAAGTGAAAACCTGGGAAAGGTTGAATACAACAATAACTAAATAAATGGCCCCACCAAGTACATACATTAAGTGTCTTGAGTTGATTCTGACAAAGGAGGCAGCTCCCATGCAGCGGAACTGGCACCCTTCCAAACATGGCCAAGAGTTTTTATTAATGACCTGTCACCACTGCAAATGCATCATTGTGACTGTGTGCTGCATTCCTTCAGCACTTTCCCAGAATGTTCTGTGAGTGTCCGTCTTGCTACATCTTCACAAACCCTGGATAAAAGAGCCGTACTATTTCTTACCAGGCCTACCCCTTTACCTTGACTAGCTACAAGATAGATAGATAGATAGATAGATAGATAGATAGATAGATAGATAGATAGAGAGATGCATATAGATATGAATATGTTGGTTTATTATGTCGCGCTCCCATGTGACTGTGAGCTTCTGGAAGGCAGTTGTTTTTATCTCTGGTTCACTGTCGGATCCCCAGCACTGAGATGGATTTCTGGCATGTAGTGACCCTCAGTAAGCACTTGCTGACCGAGGAGCTGGGGAGAGGTCTGGATCTGATCTTCATGGTGTTCTGTACCAGTTCTACCTTCTTGATGTTGGAGATCTTTGCAGGGGGCATCTGTTCACAAACCCTACACCTTTCATTTAATTTTTTTTTTAAATGGTAGATATGGAATCTCCAAATTTGTTTGCATTAACTTTGTACATTTCCCCTACCAGCTCTTTGTGCAAAGCTCGTGGAATTGGTCAGAGAGATAGGAGAAAGCCAGACGAGGGCATACAGGAAAAGAAAGCTGAGGCAGCATCCCTCATGATCACAGACATGCAAATCTTTGGCGAGATATTAGTAAATTGAATCCAACCAAGGGTCACACATCATGACTGCAGTGGGGTTGAGCTCATTGAATGAAGAGTTCATTATAGCTAGTGATTGTCAAGTCACAATACTGTCACCTTCCCAACAGGACAGAGAGAGACTCAGTGCCCCTGCTAAATTAAGAATGTGGTAATCCCAGCAGGGGCACTTGTGACACAGACTCTGTGGCTGCCAGAAAGTGCACTGGGCTAGGAGAGAGAAATGAGATGTTTGCTTTCATGGTGATTTTGAAGATATTTTAAGGATTAATTCCACCATGTGACTTAATGGGACCCTTTTGGTACTTCTGCTGCTAACCTTCCGTGGTGAGAGCCTTAGCTCTGAATTGTGTTCTGTGAAAAAGGAACTCTAGGGATAAAAGTTCCTGTGTTTTCCTCCCAGATTTGTTCTTCATTGATGGTTTCCTTTTCTTCTGCCTCATTTGTCTTCAGTCTGTGATTCTCTTCTTGCTGTTTCTTTTTTCCATTGTAATCATATTGTTTACTTGTAGATGTGTTAAGTTGTTATAAGCCAGATGATCTATAAGAACCACGAAGGCAGGAGCTATGTCTTTTCTTTTCACGCACATAGAGATTTTAGTTATCATGTACACCCAGCACTTACCATGGAGGTAAGTTGTTCAATAAATAACTTTTGAACCAGTTGCTGTGACTTACTCCTATTCAGGAGGCTGAGGCAGGAAGACCACAAATTAAAAGGGCAACTTAGCAAACCCTACTTCAAAAAGGAAAAAAAAGATGAGTTGGAGATTGTAGCTCAGTGGCAGAGCATTTGCCTACCATGGGTACTGGATTCAGTCTCCAGTACTGCAAAAGAAAAAAACAATGGCTTTTTAGTCATTGTCCCTCGGGATCTTCTTCTTCTTCTTTTTTTTTTTTTTTTTTTTTTTTTAGCTTGATTGACTTTGCATCTTGGGATTTTCTTGGTTTTTTTTTTTTTTTTTTTTTTGTGTGTTTTTCCTTTTTATTGGTACCAGGGATCGAACTCATGACTGCCTGCTTGCAAGGCAGGCGCTTATGCCGCTGAGCTAAATCCCCAGCCATCTTGGGATTTTCTTAAAAGCATATACTCTTCCTAACTTCTACCCAAGTTAAATTCAACGTACTTTATATTTCTGGGCTTTTCAAGATGCAGATAAATGAGTGTTTCCTAAACAAAGGTGTGAGCAGAGTTGCTCGTGTATTATTTTTCAGTGGTGTCTGTTACTTTTTAGGTCTGGTATGACTCTAAGACATTTGCTTGCTGGGAAGGAGGACGCACCATGAAGATGCCGGTAACCCTGGCTACTGTGAGTTCCTTCCAGGCCACTGTTTCTACCTGCCTTGTTACTCAGGTTCCCATAACAAAATTCCACAGACTGCATTAAACAGCAGAAATGTATTTTCTCACAGTTCTGAAGGTACAAGTCCCAGATCCAGTTGCCAGCTGACTCATTTCCTCATGAGAGCCTCTTCCTGCCTTGTGGACTGCCACCTCTCCCTGTGCTCTCACTGACACGCACAGAGGGAGGGAGGCGGGAAAGTGAGTAAGCGCACACAGCGCCTGCCCAGCTCTCCGCTCCGCGCCGTGGAGACTGCTGCTCTCAGGGAAGGCCCAGTTCTGGGACTTCATTTTTAACCTTCATTACCTGCACAAAGGCCCCATCCACCCCAAATACAGTCCCACTGAAGGGTCGGGTTTTATACTTGAATTTGAGGGGGGCACAGATAATCAGTCTATAACATGCTTCTGTACTCAAAGAAGCAAGTGTTCTGCTTAGTAACGCATACAAACAGAGGCAGGAGGGCAGGGGGTGCAGTGGGGGCCAGTGTGGGTGGACTGCAGTGGGCTGTACTGTTTATGTACAGGTTTCTTTGGAAGTACTGAAAATACTTTAAAATCTGTTATGACAATGTTGCATGGCTGAATATACTGTAAACTAAGTGTATGTTTTAAATGTAAATTTTGCAGCATTTTAATTGTGTCAATGAAGTTGTTAAAATGTGAGCAAAAAGAGTTGGTATGAAACACTGAGGATAAATATAATTCTCCCAGATATGTTGACATTTGGTACATCTAAGAAAATGATAACACTGAAAACAGAAATGGTAGTCACCACATGTGCCAAAAAGAATGTCTTAGGGGCTGGAGATTTAGCTCAGCGGCATAAGCGCCTGCCTTGCACGCAGGCGGTCGTGAGTTTGATCCCCGGTACCGATAAAAAGGAAAAAGACAAAAAAAAAAAAAAAAGAATGTCTTATATGGGACAAATGAAAATGAGTTTTTGAGCTGGTCATTGGAGGTACACGCCTGTCCCAGCCCTGGGGAGGCTAAGCAAGAAGGACCACTTGAGAATTCGAGGCCAGACTGAGCTACGAAGCAGTCCAAGGCCAGCCTGATCCACATGTGAGACCCTGTCTCAGTTTCAGATGTAACTCGGGCCTTCAGACCCCAGGGAATGCATCTATTATGATGTTAGACTCACAGTGGCCCTTTTGGGCTGTCCTGAGTTTCTAAAGGAAGTGTCTTCCCGAGGTGATTCACAACTGTGGGAGTGTTAGTGTGAGGGTTGGTATGAGATACATATGCAGATGGTTAGAGATTAGAACAGTGCCTACAGGGCCACAAGCCCAACTAGCACTTTGCCTTAAAGAATGAATGCTCTGGCTTACATCCTCCCCATCCTCATTCTCCGATTTATTACCTAGCTTGGCCCTAAGGTCAGTCACATAACAGATCACCCTGACCCCCTTCCCTGTACCCTACGTGAATTCCTGAGCAGGCTTCCTTTATTGTTCTTGAGGCAGGGTCTCACTATGTAGCCCAGGCTGGCCTTGAACTTTGAATGATCTTCCTGCCTCAGCCTCCCAAGTACTAAGACATTCTTTTTTGTCCTTTATTCTTGCTTCCTGTCCTTTATTCTTGCTTCCTGGTTCTACCTATAAAAAGCCACAGAAGCTTTGGTTGGGGACATCCTTTTTCCTGAGCCTCTCCTGCTGAGAGGTAACAGCCCTTCCTGGACCCTCTTAAAGTCAAAGTGGACATGGACTCTTGAGTGGTCTTTCATCTTTTTTTTTTGCCTTTTTCCTTTTTATCGGTACCCGGGATCAAACTCACGACTGCTTACAAGGCAGGCGCTTTTGCCGCTGAGCTAAATCCCCAGCCCCTTCTTTCATCTTTCATGCCACAACGCCACAGCACAGTCATGAACTGTAACACACAGCCACTACCACATGCCCTGAATGGTTTGAAATAGTGATATTAGGGCCACAGATACAGCTCAGCAGCACAAGCATCTGTCTGGCAAGCACAAGGTCCTAGGTTTGATTCCCAGTACCAAAAAAAAAAAAAAAAAAAAGAAAGAAAAGAAAAGAAAATAGTAATGTTATTTCTTAAATTTTTTAGTAATGCGTGAATTAAAAGAAGGACATTTCAGTTATCAACCCTCAGATGCAAAACAGACCTTACTAATCATCTGCTCTAATCCCTCACACTTACAGACTCAGAGAAGTTCAGTTTCCTGACCAGGATTGTGGTAGAACTGAAACAGGCCCCATCTGCTGGATTCCTGGTCCAAACCCCATTCTCCTATAACAACCGCCTTGTTCAAAAAAAAAAAAATGTGCAACAATAAAATAAGAAAGAGATTGGCTAATCAAGAAGGTGTGGGGTAAATAGATGTGCTTTACTTTTTGCTGCCAACTGTAGCTTAAACAGAGGTGGCATCTTAAGTCTTCCACCCTCACTCCCAACTTCGTAAATGCTTATATATGCTTCTGCTTGCTAGTACTTTACTCCAAGCAAAATATAAACTGTCATCTGATGCAGGCAGCTGCCTTACCCGAGGCAGGAAACCTGACAGAAGGCCAAAGCTGACAAAAGTGCCATTGCACAAGGCCACTAGCTCTGCACCATGCCCACAAGTGTGTTATTAGAGTTACTTAAAGAACTCTGTAACAGTTTCACAAATTTGCCCTCAGAATTGGGTCTCCTTCCTGCTGATCCAGTGATGCAGGGAGCAAGAAGTATGCAGGTGCAGTGAGAAAGGACAAAAGTCATTGCCTCAAAGCAAGCAGCCCGTCACATATGTACACATTCACTTGCAGTCCACCCGAGCCCAGTTCCACAGGCAGCAAATGCACTCATCAGC